TTGCGTTGATGAGAGTCCGATTGAAAAATAAATCAAGGTACTAACCTGAAACAAATTCTGGGGTTGACCAGTTGGGGCTGCTGGGACAGGTTGGGCTGCAGGTGCGGTGGGTGCAGGTGCAGGTGCGGCGGGAGTAGTAGGTGCTACACCCCCCGTCTGCGCTGGTCGCGCAGCAGGGCCTGCTGCTTCATGCATGAGATGCGCAGGAATGCCCTGTGGTTTGAATGAGTATCAGACAAATAAAATGAGTTATATTGAACTACCGTCATCAAGTATTCGACAGCACGATCAGGGTTGTTAAAACTGGCTCTCAGAGCGCGAATGACTTGTTCACGTTCAAAGCCCATCTCAACCATATTACTGATTGTCGACTGGAGCGCTTCTCCAGTCAAAAAGCTGCCGTCAGCCGTTATAGGTGCTGCCGCGGGAGCAGCAGGAGGGGCAGATGGCGCAACAGGTGCTGGTGCTGCTGGTACTGGTGTTGCAGGGGCTGGCGCTAGAACCTGAGGTGCTACTGGGGCAGGTGCGGCAGCCTCGGGCTGTGGCGTCGATGTCGAGGCAATTACCGGGGGAGGTTGAGCTGGCGTAGGTTTAGACTACGATCACGGTGAACTTGACATCTGACAGGTGGAAACTATTGCAAACCTTCGAAACCATCAATACCAAAAAGTCCTTTTCCTTGATCTCGCATGATGCAACTGTCTTGTCATCTGTAAGAATCTTGCCTGCGATGCCGGATGAACACTGTGATGCTGTGAAATGACTGTAAGGCCGTACCAGAAAAGATGAGCTTTTGGCTTTCTACAGAATGGCCCTGTGTGTTTGATATCTTCTGCTTCAAATCCGCGATGGTTTCTGACCCCTCGGCTTCGAGCTTTATTCGCATAAGGGATTGTTGAAGACAATAGGTAACGTTACGCACCTGGAACATCTTCTGCTGGAGCGTCTTTATCGTTAACTTCATGATGGGCAATTAATGATCTGATACGACTACAATCAAGATTTGGTCTTTGAGCTTGTCGATGTCTTACTGATGATGATGAGCTTCAAGAGCAGACTGACGCGTTTTAATCTTGTCACGATATGTTGTCACGACGTTATGTCACAGAATGGGGTATGCGGGGTCCTACTTAGACAGGTTTCCGCTCGGCTGCCTGGCTGCCTGCTGGTCATAAGGCCTATCTTTCTATTCACCGTAGTCATCATGGAACCACAGCCAGGCGACGATTATCTGCGCAGAATCGCAACATTCATCAGAAACAATGAGATGGGACTAGCAGAAGCCGGCTTTGTCCGACGAAGGCGTATACAGCGTCCCCCTGCCAATAACACCTCTGTCTTCAATCTCGCTGGTTGGTTTTCTTATGATTCACAAGTGCCATCACCTGTTCCTCCGAAACCTGTTTCGTTCAATATCGACACGCACAGGCTATTTTACATTCTTATGCGCTTAGAGGCGCTTGGAATTGACATTGGCACATTGGATGTGAGAGTCGACAATCCCTCAAAGCCCATGCATTACACGCACATCGATCTGTACCCTGATTCTGACAATTCCGACACACTGTCTCTCGCGTCATTTCGCTCGTCCCTTTCAGCCGTATCTGGTTTGTCGCTTGGAGTAGGGTGGTGGGGAAGACAGGAGCCGCAAACCATAGATGCAGAGCTCAAGTATATTTACAGCTCTTTTACAAAGCTCCCTGCTCTATCCATCAGGGCACCGGGCCCGAAAGTCATCGCTGAGCTTGCAGATGAACCACCCAATCAGAATGCGCTCCCACTTGACGCATTCAAGAATATTCAGACCTTGGAGTGCATTGATATAGACCCACGGACATTACTTGGGTGGGATAGGCTGGCGGAAAGTCTACGGAGTTTAACAGTTCAGCGCAGTGGCCTGGAGGACGTCACTGATATCTTTATTGGTGCCGTGTTGGATGACCAGGCTCGAAGAGATGGTACCGCGAGCGACTTGAGAAGCAGACGCATACCTCGTTCACAACGCTCTTTCCAGAGTACTCGCCTACCCGAGTCCGTTCCCGAAGATGATGAAGACGATTTAACACCTCCTGTGCCTTCACCTGCTGCTCCCCTCTCGCCCTATAAATGGTCATTATTGAAGCACTTATCGCTGGCAGATAATGCTCTCGCTTTTCTTCCCACTGACCCCTTACCATACCTCACCTCGCTTAGCTATCTCGACCTATCGTCTAACCTCCTCGTGTCCGTACCGCATGGTCTTGCCACATTGCACAACCTCGTCTCTCTCAACCTCTCCGATAACATGATTGATTCAGTCCTTGGTATTTACACGCACCTTGGCCAAGTTCTCAACATCAATCTCTCCCGCAACCGGCTTGAATCTATTTGTGGCTTAGAGCGTCTAATGGCACTTGAGCGCGTCGACTTGCGCTCAAACCACATAGAGGAGAGCGCTGAGATTGGGCGACTGGCAACATTACCTAACATCATGGAGGTATGGATTGAAGGGAATCCGCTCACCGAGTACGAGGACAACTATCGCACCGCATGCTTTGATCTTTTCCTGACGGAGAAAAAGGACATCAAGCTCGATGGGGCATCACCAGGGTTTTATGAGAAGCGCAGTCTCAGTGCATCACTGTCTGACCAGCCGTTATCAGTAAACACGGTTGAGACTCTCCCCTCTCCACCTGTCGTACCAGTAGGCAGTCCGAAGGCGATGACACCCTCTTGTACAGGGACGCATAGTGCCATGGACACTCCGCTATCTGGACCCTCGTCACCGTCTCATGGTTCTCCTCTGCTAACAGGTGCTGTTGCAGGGAAGAGAAAGCGGAAAGTCAAGCGCATCGTCGACCTGGCCCCCGTGCATGGAACAGGTGAGTCACTTCTTTGAATATTTAGCATTCACCAGACTTACCGTGTTTTAGCTGGTCAGCCCCATTCCTCGAATAAAGGAGGTACTGTAGCGCCGCCAGGGATCTCTGTTGGCCCTGCGAGCTCGCTGCGCTCACCGTCTGCCACTGTTCGTATACTACGTCCACATTCCCCGAATGGCAAATCAGGCTACCAAAGAGCGAGCACGGTATTTGATTTACCAGACGAGGGTCAGAGTCAGAGTCAGATACGAGATGCAGAGCTCTATCGAGCGCGGATGCAAGCCCTGCGTTCTGACATGGGAGATGGGTGGCTAAAGGTGTTCAGCCAGAGTCAGACGCCATCACCAGGAGTTGCTGCGGGTTAGATTTCTTATCATGCTGGTAATTTAGTAGGATATACCCATCTTGCATGTATCCATCGGTCTGGACTCTTCCATTAATATTGTACTATCGATAATCTCATTACATATCACTACACTGGCCGTGGTCCTATCCCTGCTTGACTCTTATTTTAAGTTCTTCCGCATTTCCGGCGAGGAAGCATGAATGAAACTAGCAATATAGCGGGTATCAGAAGCGGGTTTTCATTTCATCACTGGAAGCTGCTCGAAGCGATGGTCGTACATGGAAGGCATTGCAAGGAGGTGTTCGGGGTCTGAAATGGCGTGTGTTTACTTCCAGTGTTTCTTTTCCTGGTTTACCTGCTTTCAGTCTTTCGATACCATTGCTTGTGGCACCAAACCCGCCTCTGTCGCTCTTTACCTTTGAATCTATATATCATCATGGGAGCTAACTTGTCAAAGGCACTGGGTGAGTGTTTTGTCTTGGGCGTGGTCGAAATTATGCCTATCGTGTGTCATTCCGCTGAACGGCATGTCTAACAGGCAGATTATTCGGCAACAAGGAGATGAGGTTGCTGATGCTTGGCCTTGACGCTGCGGGGAAGACAAGTGAGCTGACTTTGTTTGTTCTCTTGCCGTGTTGAACATTTTGCCGCAGCTATTCTTTACAAACTCAAGTTGAACCAGTCCGTGACCACCATACCTACGGGTAAGTACCCGTGTAGTATGGGTCAGCTTGAAAGCTTATGATGCGCATTTAGTTGGCTTCAACGTGGAGACCGTCACCTACAAGAATGTGAAGTTCAATGTCTGGGATGTCGGAGGCCAGGACAAGATCCGACCGCTGTGGAGACATTATTACACAGGCACCCAAGGGCTTGTGTTCGTCGTCGACAGCCAAGACCGAGAGAGAATCGATGAAGCAAAGCAGGAACTGCATCGCATCTTGAGTGATAGAGAGATGAAGGAATGTCTATTGCTCGTGTTTTCGAACAAACAGGACCTTCCCGGAGGTACAGCGACCTTTTTGTACCATTGGATAAAGGCTCATTTCTTCTCTAGCTATGTCTCCTGCAGAGGTAACAGAAAAATTGGGCCTCCACCGCATGCGGGATCGCTCGTGGTATGTCCACCCAAGGTCAGTATTTCGTTCGTTCCGGGAGAACGTTGCTTACTCCATGTGCCGCAGTTGTGCCACGACGGGTGAAGGATTGTTTGAAGGCCTTCAGTGGCTGAACCAGAACGTGAAGAAACGCCAGCCATGAACGATACAGCAGAATACGCAAGACTTTGATACCCTCGTCCATACCACCTACTTCGATTCAGCTGTGTCTTCGCCTCGTTGACACCCACGTTATGCTCTCTATTATGGCCTGCACGACTCTGCATGTATGACAGACTACCTATTCTATGTCTGAGCTTGTCTTCTTCATTCAGCCCTGCCCTTTTTTCTTGCTCTGTTCTAGACTCATCTGAGCGCTTTTCTGTTCTTCGGGTGTCTTTATCTCTACATCTTAATGGATAGTTTTGCTCTTTGATGTGACGATATATTCCTCTTCATACATGATTACCGTATAATTCGCCATATGGGCATAGCGAGCAATGAGGATATCGATAACCCGCATTATAATTGAATTCACTTGCCAAGTCTCACTGTAAATTATTTTACCCGGGAATATCGACACATGATGCATCGATGACCTCTAAATGCCGTGCTCGTGTCAGGCCCGCTCCATTCTCATGGATGACTACTAGTGTGCGCCACCTCTTGCATAATTGTTTCTCTCTCTGAATTATCATGCTATCAGCTTTGCGACCGGCTATTATACAACAAACTAGAGGATTTGCGACCAACAACATCGCTGTTGACGGTTTTACTGGTGCAGTGGGAAATACACCATTGGTGAGGAATCACCGCGCAACGACAGTGGAATCCTTTCTAACACCATGATCAGATCTATCTCAAGACGCTCTCGGAGCAAACGGGAAGCAAGATATATGGAAAGGCCGAATTCCAAAATCCTGGAGGCAGCATTAAAGACCGTGCCGCTGTTGGTATAGTTCTGGATGCGGAGGAGAAGGGTCGGTGAGTGGGAGTAGCATGTAGCATGATAAGTACTAACATCAAAGATGTACGCAGCATAAAGCCCGGTGGAACCGTTGTCGAAGGTACCGCAGGCAACACTGGTATTGGTCTTGCCCATGTCTGTAGAGCCAGAGGTTACAAATGTGTGATATTCATGCCTAACACTCAGGTGAAGTACAGCCGACTACCTGGTTACTATCTCCTTTACTGATGCTTTGGCACTCAGAGCCAAGAGAAAATTGACCTTCTCAGCATGCTCGGCGCCGAAGTGCACCCAGTACCTGCGGTGCCCTACGAGAATCCATTGAACTATAACCACCAGGCGAAGGAGTATGCTGAAAAGCTGGAGAATACCATATGGACAGACCAATTTGACAATACCGCCAATACGTATGCACACTATATCTCTACTGGACCCGAAATATGGGAACAGACGAAGGGCGACATCGACGGTTTTGTATGCTCAACCGGTACTGGTGGCACTCTGGCTGGAGTTGGCAAGTATCTGAAGCAAAAGAACCCCAAGACGCAGATATGGCTCGCCGATCCGCCTGGCAGTGTCTTATACAAATATATCTCTAGCGGTGGAAAACTCGTTGAGCGTGGCGGAAGTTCCATCACAGAAGGTGAGACTTTTTCTATCTAGTCGTCATGGCTGAACATTCTATTCTGCAACCACACAGGTATTGGTCAAGGCCGTGTCACAAATAACCTGGGCACATTTGTCAATGACCTGTCGGGAGCTCTGCACATATCGGATGAGAAGTCAATATCCATGGTGTACCAGCTTCTTGATAGCGAAGGTTTATACCTAGGTGCTTCCTCGGCCCTGAATGTCGTTGCAGCTGTTGAACTTGCTCAAAAGTTAGGCAAGGGTAAGTACAGAGCTCAACTACTTCTCATTGCCCATGTTAAAGCTCGATTCTATCTATCAGGTTCCAAAGTTGTGACTGTACTGTGCGATGGCGCATATCGATACCAGAGTCGTTTGTTCTCCAAGAAGTGGCTAGAGTCGAAAGGGCTAGGAGATGCTATACCAGAATATCTGAGGAAGTACGCAGTTCTAGATTGATCAAATTGTTGTTATTACATTGATCTATCATGTTCTTGGAACTCTGGCATACCGGTCTGAACTCTGCTGAGGGGCTGAGAGATAAGTAACAAGGCCACTCCGTATCAGTTCATTTATGAGGTCTTTATCGCGAAAGGTTGTCGATGCAGTATTCACCTCACGTTCCCACCTAACTCCGCAACCATAATGGATACAGGCCATGTATTCACTGGCAGGCAGTATGAAATTGCTAGTAGGTACAGAAGTATACAACATTGCTTGATTGTATTCATGTTCACTCCCACTTGAGCAATTTTTACGAAGGGACAGCGGGGGTCAGCCTTGAGGCTTTGAAAGCCATGAGCTTATGCATGGCAATTGACCCCCTTATTTCTCGCGTTTCCTCGGGACTGGTCGGTTTTATAGCGCGGCAAATACTGTCAGATAACGTTGCACATTATACCGTTGCACTCTGGATGACTTCTTCCATCTGATATCTGTGGAAAGGACAACCTATGATTAAAATTCCGTCGTTCACGATTGGTACTCGTGTCTTGAGGAATCTGCGATCCATCAGCCGCAAACGCCCCACCTGTCGCTCATTTGTTGGCGTTTTCAGGGCGCACTTTCCAGCGTAGGTTACATCCATTTTGTCACCTGACAACGATACGCACCGCAAGAAGCACCAGTGACTGGTGGAAAAAAACCCCTTTTGAGTTGGGCACGCAGAAAATAACACAGTCTGATCTAATTTGCGTTGTGATATGTCAACACCATGGTTGAAAGAACGGCCAGACTTCGCATAGGTTGCCGGTACTACCCGGCCGTACCATGCACCCTCTGTGTTAGATACCTTCCCTTGTTGGGTTCATAATTTCTTGGCGAGTAATCTCTGAGATTTGAGAAGTGGACCGCTACCTCATCCCCAGACGTCGTGTTGATATCTTCAAGCGAAAGTCCCTTCATTCATTTCAGTGTCGTCAAGAAGTTCAGCGATTAGGAAATTCGAGCGCGTTAGGCTTACCTCTAGGAAATGATGTTGCCATAAATCGTGACATGAACCGTCCAACGAAATCCATGACAAAGGATGCGAGGAATGTCGCCATTGTTGCAGCCATAACATATAGTGCACTGAGGATCTAAACCAATACCCCGTTAAAGTCCAAGTCGTTATACAAATTAACCATGTAGTCTGTTCCGGGTTTATCAGTGTGTCGACAAGACAGAAAAGCATGTATACGACACGACCATTACACCAAGTAGCTTGGGGAGATTATTGGTGAAAAACCCAATCATCATCCTTTTACAGTACGATGCCTTGCTATACATCTGGCGGGCGTCACCTATAGCGATCCATGCATGCAAGCACATTTCTACGTGTTTGACCATTTGATGGAGATCTTTTTGGGCATATGAAACCTTGTCGGCGTCCGCAATATTTCCGTCGACATGAAGGCGGGAGATAATATCCTGACTTTCTGCATGGCACCTTTGCATGAGTGCTTCATGAATTCATCAACTGAGGAATCCTAAATACACAATAATCCAACTTACGCCAACGCAGGGACTCAGAAATCGACAGACTGCAGCAAAATAAGCCAAAGAGAAAGATACATAGAGAGCAAGACGGAAGTGCCACTGAAAGCTGAGTGCGGAGGAAAAGAAATTCCGCACACTCATCTAGCTTGCAATCACATACCCGAAAACGATCCAAGCCCCTTGTATTGTATCATGGTCAGATCATTGGTTCGGGTAATAAAACAACAAATGCCATGTTGGTTAATGAGAAGGCCATGAGAGGAGAGATTTCTTCCTGGAAAATAGGTATGAGAAAAACGATCATTCCAATCCCACATCCAGTGATGAAACGTGCCACGAGAAGCATGGCAACATTAATTGAGTCTGCTTGAAGGGCTCCGCCACTGATACAAATCAGAGCAGCACTAGTGTTCATAGTAATCTTACGACTGTGTTTGTCGTACGTGTAACCAACTACGAGGGCTGCAAGAATGTCTCCAGCAGAAGATAAGTCGCTTATTGGGCCTTTATCAGCGAGATTGAAGTGCCGAAGAAACCAGGCTATGCGGATGTATTGAAGATAGCACTGAAGTGTAGCCGTATGCGAGACTTCCGAGGGTCAAAACCAAAATAATCCGGATATTGATAGTGACCATCGTGCATGCCAGTGAATGTGGGCCGATGAAGGCAATCCGAATCACTCACGGTGACAAACTTCTTATGTTTCATTAAAATGCCATTTTATGACATGCCAGTAGAGCCAATCAGGGTCAGCTGAACAGCGGTGAAAGGTATTCTTGAAATGTTAAACGCTCGGAAAGGAGGAATGTCCGAGTTACTGACCGCTGCTGCCTTCATGCCACTATGAATGTCAATGTTATACAGATGTCATCCCGTAGACTCGTAACCAGTCTGACTATGCGTCACCACGGTAGTATACGCCAGGCTGGTCACGAGCCTAGTCATCACTGTCGTTGTGACAAAATCACAACCGTGACAACACGCGTGACATCCCGCGTTGTGTTTGTTCAGTCAATTAGGCCTTAGGAGCTCAAAGGACGCCCGCTTTCACGTTTCGCGTCGTGATGTCCGAGTCCATTCCTGTCCAATGGATATCGCAGTATATCATAAAAGTTGCTGAAACCTGTGGAAAGTCATTTACTGATGTCCCTCTCGAAGCCATATCACCTAGCAAGAAGAAGAGAGTTCAAATACTCGAAGTACGTGCTTCTACTCATTTTATGCTCTTAGCACTGACTGTTGCAGTTTTTAACATACAATCCAGACGCAGCAATATGGGGGAGAGTGTCCGATAAGGAATACAGTATTCCCGTGTGTTTCACTAAAGACGCCGTGTTGCAATATATGAAGTGAGTTGCATACTTGCCTCTTGTCAACTTCTATTTGACGTATTGCTACAGGGATTTGCAAGGTCGAAGGCTCACAGAGGCAAAGCATGCCGTCTTTGTCATCGGGCAATTTCGCCCCATCTTCGTACGAATTCCTGTTGGAAACAATCGTTCGAATTTTAGCGAGGTCCCTCATATAGCTCTAGAAGCTGGTGTTGTTAAATTTGTTGGCTCTGGTTTGGGCGTTTTCGGTTCGCCGCAGGACGTTGAAATGAACTCTCGAGTGAAGGCATGGGTCCGCGGACTCCGACAAGGCGGTAATGGCGGGTGAGTATCAATAAATCTTCGCATGAGCACTTTCTAAACTGCAACAGGGATGTCCTAAAGCGTGTTCAACAAAACGCAGGAGATTCACAACCCAAGGAAATCTGTCCAGCCATCAACCATGTGGAAGCACCTCCCATGCTTCAGGCTCGGGAACCAGAACGCAATTCACCCCATATCTCGCCAGAACGTCCTCTCCGAACGGCCGATCTGATGAGGGAATATCGCAAGCGCTGGGCAGTAAGTTTGTAGAATTCGTGAGAATTCGTTCGTTGAACCGTGTTTATCAGCATATCGAGAACTTGGAAGATATCTGGACAGCTACAATAGATCCTTGTGATGGTGACGAAATGCAAACGCTCGCTGGTGGTACGTGTGCAATTTAATACATACATCATAAGCTTGATTCACGTGTAGTACAACCTCAAATGGGCCAGCTTCCTGTCGAAGAGTGTGTACCTCCTGATACTGTGGTCGTTGGTAAGCCCCATGTCACAACCACAATGTATCAGCGGGAGCGTTGACTATAACCGAAATACAGTCGCAAGATCTCAACCTTGTACCCCACCGCGCACATGTACACGTACACCTGAGCAAGACATAGATGAGCAGACCACACCCAGAACCTCAGAATGGCCTTCATCTGCTCCCGGAAGCCCTACTGGAGTGCTGCCATCTCCAGCTCGTGATGGAGACGACGATCTTCCAAATCACTGTGTGAACGCAGGAGCTTCGCCGGAGGAGAATGATTCCTTACACGAACCATCCATACCCCCTGCTACTTCGCCCCTTCGCCCGCCCACACCCGCGCAGCGCATTAGACGGCCAAGTCTTCATCCATCCCCTTCAGATTCGTCCCCCATACCTGCACCACCTTCCTCATTTACTACCCACATTCGTAGAAACATAAAGCGAAGAGTTCCTCACCCTGGTGTACCGCTGTTACCAGCCGATCACTCAGGTCCAACTCAGATTCTCGTCCCCAATTCTGATACTTCGGGAACTCAATCTCAGTCTCAATCTCAACCACAGTCCGAACCTTCATCACAACTGTTCTCCCAATCACAGTCACATCGACCCGCGTTTCCATCCCAGCTGACGCAAGAATTCAAGCCAGGACCAACGTCGACACCCGCTGCTGTCAAACAGAGCCTCTCAGGCACAGATCGTGGAGCTTCGTTAATGCCTCCAGGTGACCAACTCGGTCATTGGGGCGGTGATCGTGCTTCTTCTCCGGGTGTCATCAACTGGGACGTTCATGAGAGTCCTGGCCACGGCGATCATCGACCATCCGACACCAACCCAGATGCACATCAAGTCCTACAACAATCGACGACTGAAGATCCTGATACGATGGATGTTGACCCGGTCGATGGCATTGAGATTCCCGCTGCTGTGCATACCACTCCCTCACAAGCACCCGGAGACCCATTGGACAGACACAAACCCATGAGGGACACCTCACCGCAACCCTCCGATTCGTCTATGCATTCATTGTTCTCTGGTTCCCCTAGCTTTTCACTATCCCAGTCCGAAGTCATACCCTCCATTGTACCCCGAACAATCTCAGGCGAACCAACAAGCCAGGCCCCTTCACACAATGCAGAAGCTTGGAAGGCACCCAGTTTCATGAGCTCTCGGAAGGGTAAAGGTAAGGCTATAGAAGTGCTTGACAAGACATCCGGGATATACAAAAGAAGACGGGCGTCGCCCACATTTTCGTCTCCACTCGCTTCTCACAAGCGCGGAAAAAATGTGGTGGATGAAACGGAACCTGGGCCCGCAAGACCTGTCAATGAAGACGAAAGAGCGATATCCACCGTCAAGAGCAACCACGCCGTCACATTGGATATTAGGCAGTCACACGAAGAGACTCCGAACATCAGGCAATCATCTTCACGTAGGATATCCAAAGATTTAAGCCAAGTACGGGACGCGTTACTCTCCCAGAGCATCGACAAGAAGCGCAGGATACGTTTGATGGGCTACCAGGTCGACTTTGAGAATATTCCTGTCAAAGCTGAATCTTCCAGTCCAATGTTGAGCCTGGGACGTTTGCATTCCATCTTGCTACGAACCGGAAGAGTACGGACGCTTGGTGACGTGGTGACCAGAGATGGGAGTATATTTATGAAGTCTGATTAGTTTGATGTCCTGTTCAAAATCCACGTTGATTAGTAGGCAATACATGTTCTGCTTCAATTACTCTTCACGTATTATCGAGTACGGACAGACGTATGCACAGTACTTGGCTTAATCTCTGCAACCCAGTAGTGAACTTCAGCATACCGTCTGATATCATCTGATGTCAAGACCCTTCTAGGAGCCACTGGACTGATGCAGCTGATGCGGCTGCACACATCGTTATATTGTTTGTTCTGTGGTGGCAGAAACAGTGGGTTTATTAGTCAACGTTAACAATCATATAATCATACTTGACATATGAGCGAATCGTTATGTACTTCGGTGCAAGGTAAAACATAGCGCATCTGGGGCAAAAGACAATCGGAATTCCCGAATGAGTAAATCCCACACTCAGGACTTCGCAACTGTTCCTGTGATATCGCCACCAACAACTGCAGAAGATTTAAGATATCCGAGATGCCTGTTGACCTCGGCCCATTTCTTGTAGAAGCCTACGGGGGCGTTCCAACAGTCTCGCTGGGTTGGAATTCGGTCGATGCAAGGGAAGACGGAAAAAATGATGCGAGCGACAGTTTCAGCATCCTCTATATCAGACTGGGACAAGTCCAAATTATGTAGGGTGGTATGCTGAAATGACTCGGCTGCAGGATCGATATCGATATTCACGGTGTCCATTAATATATGCAGCGTATGCAGGTGGGGACATAGATGGAGCGCTGCGAATAGTCCGCGGAATGTGACTGTAGGTGGCATTTTCGTGTCCACTAATTTCAGTGAGCGGATGTGCGGCCAACTTGACATGACTTCCAAAAGAAGGTCATTGTCAATGTGGATGCAATAATGCAAATCGAGCCGCACAGTCCGGAGATGGGTGAAACAGAGAAGTTGTGTAACCGCTGCTGAAGAGTCAAACGAAGGCTCCTGGACCTTTGAAAGACGGGCGGCTATGCTGATATGTTCAAGAGTCTGATTTGCTTTGCACTGGGATAGCGCACGAAAGAGCTGCTCAGCCTCTGCACAAGGCAAAACATCGGCAACCACCTCGAACTCTCCAAGCGAGGGGAATTCCGAGTGTTGCAGGACTGTGATAGCGTACGCAGCCGTGTTTACATCGAAAGAAAGAGTCGTGATATTGAGGAAATGTGCGAAATTGACAATATCTCGGTCCAATGACCAACGAGAGGCACTGCGTGGTTCACAGACTGACACTTTAAGAAGGCTAGGGATGTCGGAGAGGTGCTTCCATGCTGCCCAATCGAGAGGTAGACAGGACAGAGTTACAAGCCGCTTGCATAAACGGACACTGTCAGATAGAAGGGTTCGATTATTTGCTGACTGCCGTTCCCATTCAGGTATCTTGAGAGATAAGTGCTCCAAAGCAACACAGCGGGTTGCAAAAGATTTAAAATCCGAATTAATGACAGATAGGACACAACGGCGCAGCGTAGGGGACAGAAAGATATACAAGTATTTATGTTGAAGACGTCGAACTATAAAGGCCAGTGATAGCAGTCTCGGGAACATGCATGTCTCGATGGGGAGGATTGCGAAAAGGTGAAGATCCGCGCTGCATGATATATGCAATGAGCGCACACGGGCGGCGTGACGCAGAAGTCGATGGGCTTCATGCTCGGATAATGGATCCACGCCTTTAGACCAATCCAACTTTTTGGAAGCTCAATGAGCCAATAAACAGGAATAAGCGCGACGAGCCCGGACTGACCTTCGAGCCAGTATGATATATCAGTTGATGTAGCCTCGGTACACAGCCTAGCAGTGGTATTATGCCATCCAAATCAGCCCAAAGCAGATCCATTGCGGGCTCGTGAAAGGCTTTGCATGTCCTGGCAAGCGCCTCAAGGGATAGTTTCTTGCCAGTTTGTAGGCTCCGATTTTCATTCACATGCGCGAATATCTCCGAGAGGACTTCGGAAATAAGTAGAGCCCGATGCATGAGTTGTACTTTCCAACGTACGTCACTAGTAAACCATCGATGGCAAGCGAGTTCCCCTTATGCAATGGCACGTGGAAAAACATACATGTACAAATAACCTTTATGGCCGGGCTTCGGTACGGTACGGTCTAGTCGGTACTGGCACATCTTCAAGAAATGGATCCGAGAGTCCATATGCGAAGTATCTGGAATGGACATATATACAAAGAGATTGCAATCATAGACAGCTAAAATCACACAACACTGTGACCAAAACAACATGGAACTACACCGGTATAACGAATCGGTTTTTTGAATGCCAAAGGTGCCCTCGCACCGTCCATAATACCCCCCTCCAGATCCTTGAACATTTTCTCATAGAGACGGCGTTTTTGTGACAACATTATCGACCTCGCAGAGTGCCGATGGCGCTCTTGAACCCAGAAAACTGCAGACCAGCTGCGAGGTGGATGACTTCATCGAGTGTCTGCTCATCACCGACAGCGGTATGACACGCCGATAAGAATGTGCAATCAGCTTGCGGTGCATTGTTCGCCATGAGATCGAAAATAACCTGAGAGCTTTGTCCCTCATGGCGAAACGCAAATCGTATGGCTACTCGCGGTCCTGCTTTCTATGGCAAGCGAGATCTACCTAGGCAGCTTCCAGTGAACCTGGCTTCGTCATCGGACATATTGATGAATTTGACATTGGAGGGAGCAAGTTTATGAACAAGCCCTAGTAGGCTCGCTGTCGACAGCAGCGAGCGTCGTGCCTTGCCGTGCGCCCGGTTGACCTTGCCCGATTTCTGCAAAGAACAGCGGAGTCACATGCGTCTTTTTGCATTCTGATCAGAGCTGAGAGTGTGGGCGTGAAAGAGCAGACATAATAATTGTCCTCTAGGCATGATTCCCGCCCAGAGCATGCATGGAGCGGAATGGAAGTGAAGGACAACCTTCGCAACTTTCAGATCACGCTGGTGTATGTTGACGATGGGTAGCATGACCTTATCCCATATAATCTGCAAGTCATCTCCCTCCTTGGCTCCATTGAGGCTATGACAGTTGCGTGCTGTATTGCCTTTGCAAAGTCATCTTTGAGCGTCCCGAGATCTGCGAGAGTAAGAGATACTAGAGGGGGACGTGATGAGGCTCTCCTGATGCCGGGACGATAATGGGATTGCACGAGTACCGACTCACGATGAGGATGGTGGCATGCCACTTATAACTTGATACAATGGTGAAAGGAAGAATCGCGAAAAACCTCGAAGATTGCAGATTTTAGTCACCGTGTCGTTTCATCGCGTTTTAAGTCTCCGGAACCCCTGTTCCTTCATCAACAGCAGCTCGATCTGTGCTAATAACGAGCCTTTTGGCGTCAAACAGGCTCTTGCTGAGCTCTGAGAACTTGTGAGTTAGACTTGGACTCGTAGACTTGAGGTGTCAGCGACCACTGGTGGTCACAGCCCTGTTCCAGGAGTCTGACAGCGTTGCATGGATTATTGCGCAAGGTAGGAGATGTTGCATCCTGAGGAATTTCTCTGATATCATGAAAGGCTGAAGCAGCTTTTTGCTGTGTCGGACGATCTCGTCATCAAATATCTTTCAAAAAAAATCCCAGATATCGATAGAAGTCTGCGTAGAGAGCCCATTGATTAGCCCGCATACGCATAGGAGATACTCGAGTAGGCTGGCTTGATGACAGTCTGAAGTTCTCCACTGCGAGTGCTAGATGAGCAGGAAGGTCATCAATTCACTTACACAAGTTGGGTGATGTCTATCAAGCAGAATCCTGAAAAGCTGAGTACTCATAACGAATTGAGAAGCAAGTTAGCCCCTTTGAAGTGGCCCTGAGCAAGGATTCACATCCCATCGTGACGGAGCACAGAGAATAGAAAAGCACGTATGACTCGGGGACAACACAGTTTAGTCGTGCGGCGACTGGGATAAGCATTATAATCTGACGACAACAAAAGCGCAGTATTTGTTGTCGAGTCGCAAGCAGCGGGGTAATCGACGATGGTTCGTTTGGATTCAAATCAGTAGTTGCTTTTCAAGAAGTCCATAGTTATTAGCTAGTGTGATTCAAATTTCAATGGAGTTGGAATGGAATGAAGTAATGCCGCGCTTACTTGCAAGCACGTGACCAAGACGCGACATGAACCTGTCACAGCCGCGTTACATCGTCCTTGAACATTTGCACCGCAGCCCGCATTTCGGTTTAACAGCTCAACGATGCCAGGAATGAAGCGCGCAAGAAAACCAGTGCCAAGCATATCAGAAGAGGTCAGCGAGGATACAGGTTATCAACGACCGTCCATAAGTTCAAACAACTCGTGAGTGCTCTGTGCACTAACAAACGAAGAATATATTGATGCATGTGTAGTGTGGACGCGTCATATGTATCCATCAATCAACAAGTAGACGAAACGCTCATTCACAATTCAGTTGGTTCGCACGAGTATACAAATAGGTAATGTCCTGGCGGCGTACTACGCGAATCACATTCTGACCGTGCGCGAAATCAGCGAAGCATACTTCGAGCAAAGTGCTGCAACAAACAGATCTATTTCCTCTAATTCTCGTCCGCCTCCGGAAAGGTATCAACCGGGGCAGCTACTTCCAACGATCATGACCGGGGAAACATTGGATCTTGAGGACTCGTACACAACTGACGGACCTACGTCTTCGCAGGATCATGACCCTTTCTCAGACCACCACACTCCCGCGCACCCCTACCAGCAAGCCTCATGCACTCAACTGTCTCCTGCACGAGGACTCCCTCAACCACAATCGAATACATCACATGAACACCTCGTCGCCACCCCTTTCAGTTCTACCCCAACTATCTATTCAAATTATGGTACAGGGCCATCGAGCAGCTCTGTTGATCATTTCCAGCATGATACAGAAGCATATGCATCGGGTAACTTTACCCGCTCCTCCTACCTTCCCCCCAGATCACGGTCGCCCACACCGTTCATGGATGAAGACTACAAACTTGATTCCAACAACAATACTCATTATACGGGATATTCCCAAGCTCGCGAGTTTAATCCTTATGAAGACGAGAAGACAGCGTACAATGACGAGTATGATATCTCGCGGTATGCTGACGTTCCCGGCACCGTAGAGTACTACGACGATGGCGAAAAGACACCCGATGCTTCAGTTGGATATCAAGAACCAGAGACGCCTGTTGAAACTCGTCACTTTGGACCTGCACCCGTCGGGCGCGTTCGTAGACGCCTGAAAAAGAAACGGGTGCAACTGACAAACGGCAATCTCGTTGTAGACCTCAATGTGCCTCCAAAGCTCGTCCTCCCTTACAGAGGGGAGCCAGAGATGACCAAGACGCGGTACACAGCGGTCACTTGCGATCCCGACGATTTCGAGAAAGAAAAGTTCTTTCTACGGCAGAACGAGAACGGCCGCACAACTGAATTATTCATTGTTATCACTATGTATAATGTGAGTTCAAGGGTGGTTGAGACATCTACTTTTCAAACCCGTCATTGCAGGAAGATGAGGTCCTCTTTTGTAGGACCTTGTATGGAGTGATGCGCAATATAGCACATCTTGGCTCGCGCAAGAATTCCCAGACATGGGGACCGGACGCCTGGAAAAAGGTGATCACTCCGCTGCCCACGCTGCTCTACCCTTCTCATACCCTCCAGGTTGTCGTTTGTATTGTGGCGGATGGCCGCAAAAAGGTTCACCCGCGTGTGCTTGACTGTTTGACGCTTCTTGGAGTTTACCAGCCTGGAGATCACATGAAGAACAAAGTTAACGACAAGGAAGTCACTGCGCATCTTTTTGAGTATACGACTTCCTTTGCATTGGATCCGAACCTTCACTTCAAGTATCCAGATAAGGGCATCGTACCAACGCAAATTATGTTTTGCATGAAGGAGAAGAACCAGAAAAAGATCAATAGTCACCGATGGTTCTTCAATGCCTTTGCGCCCATGTTACAGGTAAGCGGAAATGTCAATAAAGACAGTGTAAAGCTCAATGTATACTTAGCCCAATATCTGTGTGTTGCTCGACGTCGGAACACGCCCAGGCAATAATAGCATATATCGGCTGTGGAAAACATTCGACGTCAACTCAAACGTTGGTGGCGCTTGTGGTGAGATCGCAGTATACAAAGGCAAGAATTGGCAGTATCTGCTGAATCCCCTAGGTTCGATAGTTCTTATGTTCGACAATATCGCTTCTTGACATCCAGTATCTTCCCAGTCGCAGCTCAAAATTTTGAGTACAAGCTTAGCAATATTTTGGATAAGCCAACGGAAAGCATGTTCGGTTACATCAGTGTCCTGGTATGCTGATGCGCTGAGTCTACCGTGAATGATGTAACTGATGACCACAGCCTGGCGCTTTTTCTGCTTATAGGTATACTGGAGTTGCCAGTTACCATCAATGCCCATTTTATAGCTTTACACAGGTATATCGCTTTGGCAAATAACAAGGACGGAACAGGTCCTTTAGCTTCTTATTTCAAAGGCGAAGTTCTTCATGGCCACGACACCGACATATTCACATCAAACATGTGTAGGTCTTTGCATCAGGCTTCTTTTGCAACTTCCCTAATGTTTGAGCGCAGATCTGGCAGAAGATGTATGCCTCCTTGCTTCCGGATGATGCTGTGTGCTGAGATTATTTCAACCCCCAGCGCATCCTTTGTTTCGAGCTCATAGCAAAAGCAAATTCGAATTGGTAACGCTCAACCTGTCATGGATTTGCACTCCTAACTGGGTGCTTTCAACAGGGTGTTGAAGTATGTGAAGGGTGCCATTGGTGAAACCGACGTGCCAGATGCGCTACCAGAGTTTATCAGCCAGCGCCGGCGATGGCTAAATGGCTCATTTTTTGCAGCGGTATATGCTGTGGCACACGTAGGGCAAATTATGCAGTCTGGGCACAGTTTTAGTCGAAAGGTGACCCTCATGATTGAGACCGTTTATAATATTATCAACATAGTATTTTCATGGTTTGGAATTGTAAGTGTTTCATAGTTGTCCAGATGAAATGCTGACGGACAAGTGTCAGGGAAACTTTTACCTGTTTTTCGTCAGTTTCAAGGTCATTTATGATCGGTGCAGAGATTGAGTCGTTTTCACAGGTCGTCCTGAGTTCGTCATTAGAAGACAAGTCTTTTGGCGTGCCCTCCATCAGGTATTTCAATGCCGTAGTTCAGTATTTTTTGGCTTCGATAATCATCGCCTGCTTCCTCCTGTCCATGGGGAACAAGCCCAAAGCGTAGATGTTTCCTTCGACGTCCAAGTCGCGTTGATGTTGACATCTAGACAGGGCTCATCGTAAATACCTGCTAGCCTCGCTGTTCCTCGCGGTCCTAATGGTTTACCTCATCATTGCATCTGTGCTATGTGGTATGGCTGCATATAGCCAGGCTGGTGGAGGTGTGGTCCTTCTGAGTGTGGCAGTAACCTACGGAGGTGAGTATCATTTGCTACGTTGTCCTTTCGCCTGTGATTGACTTCGATTTGCGTAGTGTATATCCTTAGCAGCCTCCTGGCGTTCGACCCATGGCACATGTTAACCAGCTTCGTGCAATACCTTCTACTAAGCCCGACATACATGAACATCTTGAGCATGTATGTCGTTTCATCGACTCGGTTGTGAGTGTAATAATCACTAACACATTCAAAAGATACGCGTTCTCGAACCTCGATGATGTAGGTTAGAGCCTGCACTAGTCGGACATCTAATCTGACGGCGTCCTAGATATCATGGGGCACTAAACAAGATGCAATTCCAGACGCGGACCTCGGTGCCGCAGTACAAGACTCTCATTCTCAAGTCGATATTGCTATGCTTGCCGAAGCTGCAGACGTGAACGGTATTTACGAGGAGTCAATCGATAACCTGAAATACCGGAAACCTACAAATAACGACAAGGGCAAGGTAATTACGGAGCGAGAACGAGAGATGGCAGCTATCGACTACTACGCCAACGTCAGAACCAATGTGCGTTGGTTTCATTGATTTAAGAATTGGAGGCTGACATTTCATAGGTACTGTTGGCTTGGGTGTTGTCGAATGTGAGTCCGTCGAATCGAAATTTAGACCATGTGTTGATGAGATGTCTTCCTGGCAGGGCGTACTCTTGCTTTTCATTCTCTCCGGTTCCGATCTATCAAGTACTTTCAATCCAGACGCAGGCGTATCACGGACGAAGGCATATTTGATATTTATCCTTTCATTTGCGGCAATCACTAATTCAGTGGTGTGTATTCCATGTTTGCCTGGTCGGACGAGAACTCAAAGTTGGATTACAGCGCCTCGTCGGCTCAACCTTATATCTGCTGACGAGGATATTCACCGCATGACAAAGCGGGTCTCAGTCTTACAGAAAGTAGAAATCGCACCGTCCTTACATATGTAGAATATCATTATGTTAAATCCTGTTCAGGCATGTGTGCGTATATCAACGGTTCATCACATGGTGTCACGTGGTGTCTTATCACTTCGACTTTACTCTCGACCGCGATGTCAGAATATTGGGTATCGCATAAACGTTACCACTGCAAGTATTGTAACATCTATATAGCAGACGATGTTCCATCCAGGCAACACCACGAGAATGGAATGCGTCATAAAGGCAATGTCGAACGTTTTGTACGCGGGCTGTACAAGGCTGGCGAGAAAGCTGTGAAGGATAGGGACGAGGAGAAGCGTGAGATAGAGAGGGTTAACAAAGTGCGTTTATATCTAATTTGCATATACATTCACTAAGTTACACTTCAGGCCGCGGCTGCCGCATATGCTCAAGATGTAGGTGCTGGACTTGGGGACGTCGGATCGTCTTCACGTGGTGCTCCTGCTGCAGCATCTGCGCCAAAGAAGCCTCCAACAAAACCAAGCAATCCATATACCAACTACTCAACGGCTGCATCGCTGGGATATGCTGATCCTGATGCGGAGCGAGCTAAGGCAGAGGCAGATACGAGGCAAACAATGGGTGTCGCAGGAGAGTGGCAGTACGTTCAGAATTATACATCGGGATCTCGTGCACCGGTACGGAATGAGGTTCCAAGCGTGTCCGAAGATGCAAATGGAGAGACGACAGGGTCTTCTGAGGGTAACAGGAAACGTGAAGCACCGGTGGACGATATCGAGGACGAGCGTGTTTTCAAGCTGAGGAGGAAGACAGTTGGCATTGGATTGGGAGACTTGTATGACCCGGGCATTATTCCTATCAAGCTTAAGGTGAAGAAAGAGGAGTCGACGGAACTGCAACTTGCTTCATCAAAGACGGCTATCGAAAATATCAAGGTGGACGACATGCTACCTACTGATTCAAAGGTGAAGATAGGATGGAAACGTGCAGCATTTCAACCGGCCGCCTAAGTACCATAGTGTTTGCTCCCGTTGAGGACTGACTTGCTGCTGAAATCAATCACATAGTCGTTCTCTGAACCTTGAAACTATCATTGGTCGACCGTTTTGGACAAGCGGTATTACTCTCGATTTCCAACTTCCAAGTGACAGCGAACCGTTTGAAAGATCTTGCTTACCATGCTGATCATGGGAATGCTGGCGAGTTTCCTGTTGCTGGAGATCATCCTGCCCAAAATACACCCGTCTAAATCAAGCGACATCATTTTTGATCTTCTCAGTCCCTTCCAGAACTCCCTTCTGTTGTGCACCAGCGCAGGCAGTTCCGGTATCAAACACTTCGTAGGTTATGCACATGTGGCAGTGTACAAGGTTAGGCCAACAGTTGTGATCATTCGTCCAGATGGGAACCTTTGTTACTGGTGCTTGGTGGGATTGATAGGCGAGGGACCGACTTTAAAATATAGTATTCGTGTGTATAGCAGGTACTAATGATCGCATGTTTGGTTGACTGTCTTAGCTGCGAGCGTGCAATTGCACCCGAGGCCAATATACAATCTTATCTTTGTGACTCGCCACGTACGGTCCCGGGTTGCAGTTGACTTCCGTCTCTGAAGCCACAAATAGTGAGTCGAAAACAAATATTATTCTCCAGCATATACATTCTGCAGGCTCAGTTCTTAACCCAACACACAGACAACAATCTAGTACTGGCAGTATGGCTGAAGCGAGCAGTACTACAGTCCCTATCGTAGCCTGTTACTCGGAGCCTGCAGCTTCAGAGTCATTCATTCCGTCAATGGCTGTACCATCACTTGTACTGCCAGGTGCAAAGCAAGCAGGCGGCGTTTCGTCTCAGGTGCCAGACGACGGCCCCGTTCCGCTCTCGTTTCCTGCAATCTTGCGCAACCCAAAGCTCGTGGATCGGTATGCCCACCTCCGCGAGCGCTCGGTCGCTGCACCCCCCAAGGCCTCTATTTCTAAAGCACGCCGGGACGAACACGAGGGGAAGCGCTGGATACGGAGGAGGGAAAATGGTCCGTCGTGCCGCTATTCACATGCAAGTCACACATTGACAGTTTTTCTCCGTCTGTTCATAGCTAAATTTGTGGATAACCCTCATGTCGTGCCACCCTCGCACGGTGATCATGCGGTACCGGTCCCCTCAAAGCTCTCCACCTTTCCCATCCCATTACCTCCGTATCTTCCTCGGTCAATTGTGCTACCGTCTAGTGTTCCAGGTTCTCGGGATCCTGCGAGTGCTTCTGCTGGACTGTTTTCCCTCTCACTGAAGGGCGCCCGGCGAGCATTGAGGGCCAGGCCGGGCGCCCGGAATATAGTAGACGCGATTGAGGGTCATTTATGCGCCTGGCTTGAGGGAGGGACGTACCCGGGAGAGGAACAGGGCATTGTTTTTCCGGGGGAGAAAGTGGGAGGGAGGGAAGATGTACTAGAGCTAAGCAGACGGCCGCTCGATCTTGTGTGGGTTGTTGGGAAAGATGGTGTGGATGGTGCGTTTGAGAGGTATGTAGTGCATTGTCTGGCTCGGTGGTATGGGGTTGTTAGCTTCAGTAAGTGATTGACTGGACTCCGAATATTTTGGTCAGCTGAATCATTTTACATAGGTAAAGAGGTGAACGGCAAACGCCTGACATATCTACTGCGACCCCAAGTTACGCAAGTCACAGCCTCGATAATCGACACACCCCCTGCAACAGACATTTCCCAAGTCGATACCGAATCTGATTTCGTATCTGACACTCACACGTCTGACCTGGGGTCCGATTTTGCATCCGACATAGAACATGAAGCACATGCCAGAGAGCTCTCGGCCATTTCGGAGGCACCTTCATCACCCACGGCATGGTCCGTAATCGGTGGATCAGACTTTGAATTCGACGAAGGGTTCGCGGCGTCTGTGGAGTCGCTCTCCATAGACGCGGAAATGAATGATTTGGAGAGGACCCCACGCGCAGCTGACGTACGAGGCAGTGGCGGCGTATACGTACGGAATGCGCGTACCCGATTTAGTGCGTGGAACAAGCCTCGGAGCGGGTCGTCACCATCCAGGTCCCCTGCGAGGAGAGGGCCGTCTGCGCGAAGGGCCATGAAGCAACAGGGGAAGAAATCGGGGAGGAAATCAGGGAAGGGGACGTTTTATGATTATTTATTTGCCTAATGTAGCGTTGAAGATCCTTTGTTCCCTGTGATTATCTATATCGAGCTTGAATTCAGCTGGAATACTTTGATCAACCCAGTCGGTACCGGAAGCATGTGAAAAGGCTTGTGGTGTACAACAACCGACGTCGACGTCTAAGTATACAATCAAGGGAACCTGTGACCTGTGAGCGATATCCGATTGCGGTATGTTCACCATGCTGTGTCATAAACACAAGAACCATTGCAATTGTTGCACAGGAAAGCCCCCGCAGCATCCGCAGAACACGCGGAGAAACGCACGTCCGTCACTAAAGGTAACACCATTTGGTCTGAAAAGTGTCATGCCCTTCATCTACGAATTTGCTGTCCTGAACTATGTATCAGTTCTCACACTAACTTAGATTCGATTTCGCTGGCGGTTTGCAGCCACTTTCCTTTCCGCGGGTGCATTTTAAAATCTCATTCCTTGGTAACGCGTACTACTGAGACAAAGGGACTAGCTTTGAAGCAACCCAGCTGAGTATCCAGAAGTAACGGAAGGGTACAAGGTATAGTTTCGGGTCCAGTATATGTACCTAGCTTTAGCTTGATTTAGAAGCAAAGATGATACTTTGTCATAGATATGTCCAATTAAATAATAATTATAGTACTATGTAGTGTCCTGGCGGTGTACCCTAGCTGTTCGGGTCTACAATACATGTTTCAGGTACCCTTATCAACTCATACTTATAGTCCATCCCTCAATCTGTATTCTACTACAGCGACTACTACCCAACTCCTATGGCCATAGAGGATATATCCACTCTCCCGTCGCACCGCCCAATCTCCATATCAAGTCTTCACTCTGAACTATACCCCGATGCCAAAGTCATCGATACCAGCCAGTCAACTCGGCCTATCAGCCTCACTCATGTCCAAGAGATAAAAGATGAGAACGAGCAACCCCCTGTTTACCGCCTATACAGGCGTCGCTTCACTGGCCTTCTTGGTTTCGTCAGTCTGGATTTCGTGTTGTTACACCTTGTCATACTTATTGTGCCGTAGATTCTACTGGGCCTCGTGACCGGTATGCCTTGGGTATGGTTTGGCCCCATATCGACTGATAGTGCGTACTCTCCTTCAGTGTTGATATTTTACTTAACAGTCTCCAATAGCTGCTCAGGCCTTCGACATTTCCATCAACCAGGTGAACTGGCTTGGTAACATCATGTCCTGTGTCTTCCTCCCCGTCTCCCTCCTCATTCCTATTTTCTGCGCGCGCTTCGGCATTCGCCGCTGTGTGAGTTCCTTCTAGTTATCGTGCTTCAATTAATATCAAACCTTTCCAAAGGCGGAAGTCGGTGTAGCGATGCTCCTTATATCAGGCTGGGTGCGCTATGCGGGCACCATCGAGTCTTTGTCCCCTCAGAGTGCTTATACTCTACTCATCTTCGGCCAGGTGCGTACTGCTTTCTCATCTAATCCCATGTTACTCAATCGTTCCTATTTGCCATCACATGCAGTTGTTCTCGGCAATATCTCAACCTATCTTCCAAGTCCTCGGTCCAAAATATTCCGAGATGTGGTTTGACCTTAAAGGACGAACAACAGCAACAATGGTGATCGCCATCTGTGAGCCTCTTTCATCCATTTTTGAAACCATGGTCTTTAACTGAGATCCGCCAGCCAACCCTGTAGGTGGTGCGATTAGTCAATTGCTTAGTCCTCTGGTCGGTACTCCAAGGCAATCTGTGAGTCCCCAACAACTTTCTATTGTCGTGTGGCTCATAGTTTTCTGGGACAGATACTGGTCCTAGCGATCATATCTACTGTTGTTGTTCCGGCCATTTTTCTCATCGAGAGTGAACCACCAAGCCCACCTAGTACGTCCAGCGTGTTCCACATTTTCCCCACGTGCCTCTTACTAACTGTCCCGAATAGCATATGCAGGCTCCAAGGCCTCACAATCACTCTACTCACTCCTATGTGCGATGGTCGGACGAGTTCGCCGCGACGACCCTGCTTACATGACTCCTCACGAACGGCTGGACTTCACTATCAATACGCTAATTTTTGGTGTACTCGCTGGCGCGTGAGTTTTTTTTTACCTCACTGTATGAACGCGCATACGAGACTTGCACAGGGCAAACGCACTTAGCATCCTTTCCGCGCAATATTTCGTAAGTCTTTCTTCTCAACACAAAACACCATTATCAAACGTGTCACCCACAGGAACCTGAGGGGTACAGCGACATTATAGCAGGTCTATTTGGCGCAACCCTCCTACTTAGTGGGGTTTTAGCCGGTGTCATCACTGCTCCCCTGTTCGATCGGGTATTGACCCACCATCTGGGCATAACAATAAAAATTCTTGTCCCAATTGCTGCAGGAGCGTGGTTGAGTCTAATCTGGGCTGGTGAGTGCGGTTCTATTCGCTTCGTAGACAATTTCCCGTTTTGCGCAGTATTGCACATTGGTCCACAGCGAATCGATGACGTGGCAGTTTCTTTGTGATTCGCTGTCGATCATTTTCTGATGATCATGCCAATCACCTTCTATACATCCCTTCACGTGAGCTGATCTTTTCCCAGTCAAACCAAATGACACCGGCGGTATCTTCGCTATCATGGCCATCATCGGTATCTGCTCCCTGATTATGCTCCCAGTTGGTCTTGAGTTGGCGGTCGAGGTTACCCGAAATGCAGACAGCAGTGCCGCCATTTTGTGGTGTTCGTAAGTCCCATTTCTGTATATATTATCCCTCATACCTTCATACTCACTTGCTGCCTTGCATAAGTGGAAACGCATTCGGCATCATATTCATTCTCGGTATGTCACACCCACCCCGATTCAGCGATGAGTTACATTCCTGACATCCTTTGTGTGTAGCGGAAGGTGCCCTTCGCGCATCGGCGACCGCATCCCCACCATATAACATGCACACAGCTTTGGTGCTGCACGGCGTGATAGTGATGGTGGTGGGCTCGAGCGTTGTGTTTGTACGCGCGAAGCAGGTGCGGCGGGAAATGGATGTGCGCATGGCGCAGCAGCTTGATTCAAACCGGCATATGGAGGGGGTGCCGATGCATACATTAGGCACGAGCTTTTCAGGTCAGTCGATCCAGTCGATAGACAAGGAGGAGAACGGATGGATACAGGATGGAAATAAATCGATACCATTGCCTGATAGAAGAGATGATACCAGGGCGGAGGTGATCGGGACTGTTGTACGATAAGATTCATGATGCCTGATCCTCGGGTGGTTAGACCTGCATTTTTAGTATTGTTTTGAGACTGGACATAGTTCGCACAACCTAACTTATATAACTTATAACTATATTTATCTGCGACTTCCCACGGGTCTGAACTTAATATATTTAAGAGAGCTGTATTCCTCTATTGATCAGTGTCGGATCCCACGGGACTTGTAGCTTCGGAAGTTGTTTCTCCGGAACTGCTAGTTACTCTTTATCGCCAGATTCCTTGCATCAAAGTTGCGAGACAGATCTTTGGTATCTTGCATCAGTAGCAGTTGTTTCAAGGGTTTGACTTTAGCGAATGGAAATGCACTAGCAAAGCTCATCTCTCGTTGTCCCTCTTGAAACCCTGGAAATACTTCTCTCTGAAATCTTTATGCGCTGGAACGTGCGTGTCCCTGCTTTCCTCTGCTTCCCTTATGGAATCAAAAGATGGAGGTAGGTACTCGGCATGCGCGATCTTCTTTATCGTGATCAACTATTCAAGCATATCAATACCACAGGCATTCCGAATATAATGAGGCCCATAACTTACCCTCCGCCCCCAGCTTCCAAAATCCTGCAAACTGTTCGCTACAAGTTCCATCCCCTCGCACAATACCGTATTGATATCGGGTGGGGCGTATTCGGCGCTTACCGTAGGCAGGAAGAACACGAGACGTCCGCCTGGGCGGAGGAGATACCGTGCAAGGAGAACAAGATCTGTGACGAGCTGAGAAAGCTCGTAGGGCTTCGTTGGGGGTATGTAAGGTTCATTTCTACATCAAAATGTTCTGGTAAACCAGAGGAATTTGAGGGTCAAGAACTTACGGTCGTGGAATGGCGGATTGGAGCCGATCTTCACGATTTTTTTTGCGCCCGAGGCGTTTTGCTCCTGCACGAACACCATCTGCAATAAGCCCTTGTTAGCGGAACTGATATCATCGATCAAAAAGGTGCATACATGGTGGGTCGGTTATGATGGCGTCAAAGAAGCTGCCACAACGCCACGGGTGGTTTGTGACGTCGAATGTGCAAAGATCCATGATGCGGGAGGCTACACCGTATTGCGAAGCAGCCCGAATGATGCCTGGAGTTTTATCTGTGGGACAGTGTTGGTGCACAAAAATACTGGCAACGCTAAATTACATGCCCTTTCCACGCATTTGTCTCCCGTCGATATCCGAACCGTAGACAAAAGCGCCGAAGTAAGCTGTGGTCTGATGAAATTATCAGGCTGAGATGGGTGAAGTACAGTTGACCAACATATGCCATGCTACCAGTGCCAATGAATGGGTCGTAGATCAATTTGCCAGGGGAAGCCTAGTGGCCGTGTAAGTTCGATCACAAGCAAGCGCAGGACAAACGCACTAGTGTCTGATTCGCCATCAAGAGGGAAATCTCTGCCTCCATGCTGGTATTTCCGAAGTACTGGCGTTTCTTAACGTCGAAGGTTCCCATCAGTGAGCGTGCAGTTCCATGTACGACCTAAAGATGAGTGACAGTTCAGCTAACGAACAGGTAGAAGGTGTGCGAAACGCACCAACCTGCCGAAGTAGACTTGGGTGAATTCCCCATTCTTGTGCAGTCCACCATCGGGTGCTCGGCCACTCTCGTCTGGTGATTATGAGTTTAGATTGCACGACAACACTACAAAGGCGTGGGGAACATACACTCCTCAAAAACTGTGAGAGTAACTTCTGGGTTCTTCATCTCAATCTTACCCAAAAAATCCATGTATGCGAAGCTTTCGATGATCTGACGCTGGCGACGTTGGCTGATGGTAGAATTGTATCCTAGGACAAAAAATTTGAACGATGTGTCTGGGATGTATCGTTCCCATTGCAGGCGAGCTCGACTGTTTTGTTCATGCAGCATCTCGTAAGATGCGCCTTCGGCGTAGAACTCATGAACAGACCTGATTAAATATCTTTTGAGCAGACAGTTAGTGAATCTTATAAAGACACACTTTATCAGAATGCATCTCTGAGCCAAAATATGTGCATGCTCTTCCTTGTCTAGCATCAGGATCATGAATGGTCGTTTGATGGCATTGTCGAGGACGTTGGCGTAGCGATCAAAGCCTATCGTGAAGCCATGAAGCTCAGATATCGAGGAGAGCTCTGGCACACGGAATTCCTCGTGTGATTGAGCGAATACGAAGAGGTACTCCATTATTTGATAATCTGTCGGGAAGGCGTCATTTCCAAAACAGGTTTATCTTTGAGGTGTTGTTTGGCAAGAGCTTTTGATCCAAACATCATGCAGTCCCTGATCAGAACATAAGCAAAATATAAGGCAAGTATGTACTAGTGACCTGTATAAAGGCACAAGAGTGATTTTGACGATGTTTCATATGCCGTGATGATTAGTTCGTATTACCACCCATTGACGCCAACACGTATGGCCCTATAACCAAGTCGTAGGCGCGGGGCATCAGAGGACTGGTGAGCCGCAGATATTGTCATATATGCCGAATCATATATAGAAAAGGTTTTCGTTATATTGGAATATATAAAGTCATATAAAGCCATGTATAACGTCGGAAAACCACCGCAATCAAGCACCTGGGGAGACTCATGAGTTCTCTGATGTATGAACCTGCTTTCTGAGTCTTTTTCGGGGATACATCGTAACGAAAGTATCATTTACAAGGCTCCACTCTTGCGTCTCCCAACCACCCAGAGCAGAAATCGCTCGTGAATAATCCCATCCAAACCAAGCAACATGAGGGAATCGGCTGTGAGCAAAGCTGGACACACGTTGGCTTGCCGCAACTGAAACCAGGGACAATCCAACCCAGAGTTCACGAAGCGTACTAGATGACGGTCCTTCGTTCGAATGATCCAAATGTGCGCTGGTGACAGCAGTATGAGACAATACACCCTGGGTGTTGGTGCGTCTTTCTTGATTTTCGTATAACGTTCCCAGATCTTCCGCCTCTACTCCCTCTCTACTGGAATCCATTGTCGGATCATCATCAAACCAGTCCTGGGCGTTGAACCACATTCCTAGTGAAGAGATTTTATCACACCGGCTGGCTAGGAGCGCAACTTCGGCCAGAGTGGGTCCTTCTGATTCCCATGTTTCGCCGTCGTCGTCGACACGTGTGTCAGTCTCTGTGCCACTTCTCAACCACTGCAACCCTAGTTCCTCGATATCCTTCCAGGCCTGAGGAATAGTCTCCAGGTCATCTCTGCAAAGCGCCGGCAGCCGTCCGCCAATGGCACGATCTGCAGCCACTGTATCCGTGACATCGATCTTGAAGCTACGCAAGTCATGGAGTGCGAATAAAGGAGATATCATAGAGACTGGAGCCCCTTGGCTGAGGGGTACGGACTTGAATGGGTCTGAAAAAAAATATTCTGCTATGAACTTGAAGTTTTTGATATTGATAAACTTCAGCCGATCTTCGTCGGTCCGGTTGGGAGACAATAACTCCGCAATTGAGTAGAAGGCAAAGACCGACACGGGTCTATCCACCCACAGCGTAAGGTCCTCTATTGAATGGGAGCCAATCATTTCCAAAATTGCAGTGGTATGCTTCACAGTTGCCGCGCGCAGCCTGAGCTTCTTGAGGGTGCCGAACATCCTATGATACGGGTTATCCGAAACAAAACCCTGCGAAATTGTCTCGAATGGCTCATCAAGACCCAAAACCAAATCGAAACCTGCGTCTTCAAGGCAAGGCATCCTCCCAAGTTCTCTGACAATTTCTGCAGACACCGTCAGCCTTGGATGATGGGTATTCCAAGGTTCATGTTCCGACAGCATGTCCACAGCCTTGAGGAATGTATAATTCTGCCCATTAGAGAATACCGGTGCGTGCAGTCCAGAGGTGACACCAGTACTATAGAGCGGGGAAAGGATGTGGACTTGCTCCAGCGTAGAGCACTTTGCCATGAGGCAGCCTAGTGCAGTACCTAAAACTGATGCAGGAATTCCCCTGGGACAACATTTCACCGTCAATGATTGCAGGCCCTGAGATCCTTCAACTAGGAGTTGAAGGCACAATAGTAGATCCGATTCCGTGTCTGCAAGAACTTCAAGGTGGGCGAGATTTGGAAGAAGAGGCGAGGGACTCTCTGTCAGCATCTTATAGTATGCCATGCGATGGGTCCTACTGAGGCAGAGCCGCCGAATGCGAGAGCTGTAATGGAGCGTCCTGTCCCACGTTGAGCAGTGGGAAGCGACGTGGGTATGAAACTAAGACAGTAACATATTGAATGAACGTTTCAGGACCGGACATGATGATATACTCACTGTGACCCATGACGGAAGCTTTCGAATGGCAAGCGAAGCTCTTTCGATCACAGATGATGGCAACAGAAGAACAAGTGGCCAGAGCGTTCGTTGATTTTCCCAAAGGAGGTCAATAGCAAGTTCGTGGATTGAGTGACTAGTACGCGCGAGAGCCGATAAACTGTCCAAATCGTGTTGCTGTAGAAAAGAGAAAATGTGGCGAAGGACATCGTAAGGAAAGCGTTCGAGCACCATTTTCAATACGAGAACTTAGAGTCTGGTGGCTTAATTTCTCGGCATTTATGACGCGTTGTTTGGCAATGGTTTTGGATCCAAACAACCACGATATTTATGTAAATTGATTTAGTATCATAAGTGTGCACTGTGCAAGTAATCACAGGCCTGGCTATGGGTCACTCCAGTCAATGATGCCCGTTGAAACACTTCAAGATTCACTACACATTAGGCATGTCCTACAAGCAAGCATTCAGGCGTTCGGCTCGGACGAAGAGAGCTGTATGTCCTCTCAGATCTCTTCTCCCACAACAGGATGCTCACAAACCCGGCATGTAGTCGAAGAAGGCATTGAAATGCTTCGCACTCTTCTCCCAGACACGATGATTATAGCTGCTTTGGATATTATCGATCGCGAAAGTGGTGAGTAATGCTTCCATACGCTACATTTTTTGCAGTTGAATGAGGGGCCTTCAGTCGTAAAGTACAAGACCTCTTGGGGCCGGCAACACTACGAAGTTATAGGCACCACCTCAACATATACCGTCTTTCCGCAGCTCGATGTTGCATCTACAGCTGTGTCTAGTTACTGTACCTGCCCATCATTCGCATTCGCAGTGTTAATATCCGAGAACCATTTTATGGTGCGAACTTACATCTCAATGGTAATAGCTGAATGACACCCCTGGTAGTGCAAACATGTTTTGGCGGTATGCCTTGCAGATAGGTGGTCTCGTTGTGTCGTGCGTCCCATCGAAGATAATGACTTACTGTTGAAATTTGCGGGGCATGTCTCTCCCTAGACATTCTGCTTGCAATTCCTGATCGCAGGTATGTCTTCATTTTCATCAGAGGCATTGTGAAAATAAGGAGCACCTGATCGAATAATGTGTTAGTTTGTCCTAGTTCTTTGCTTCTTTATCGCACGATCGTCTTCGTGAAGACTTGAAGACCTCGTCATGACACCGTAGCACAACAACACGACATTCAATTCGGTTCCATCTGCACATGAAAAAAATGCCTTCATCGATCTTGGTTGCTCTAGAAGTATTTGCAGCGTGAAGTTGAACCATCCACAACACCGCGGTTTATACCAGTCAGGCCATTAGTTTCTCTAACTGGGAGGTGTAGATGAATCCTTGATCATCCAGTCAAGCACGCAATTCTCGATCGCACATACCAAGCACGAATACTATCCATGATGTGTAGTAGTCCAACGACATTGCAAATGCAGAGTCGTTGAGGGGTCGCGACATCGGCTTCTTCTATTGAGAAGTCCGTCGGCACTCAGAACGCCAGCTGTGGCAGCAACTTATTGCAGAAATTACTGGACGTGTGAGGAATCGACGGCTCATCGATTTGGAAGAAATGCGACTGCGTCCTCCGAAGAGGTAGGGCGCTCCGCTCACCATCAGCTCCTCTACAGTACTACTGATATTTGTGTTCCGTTTTCTCATTTGATCATTCCTTTCTCGCACCCTTCAAAGGCATGAGCAACCCCCAAGACAAAATAGTCACTGATTTGCGTGACAGTCAAAGCTGTCGGGAGGAGCCCTTCGATGGCGAAATTTGATGGTGATTCCCCCGACTCAGACAAGCTCAGATACCATCACAGCAACATTATTCAATATTCAACCTCCAAAACTGGGTAACTCTCGCTCTCGCGGTTTTAGTGAGTATTATACAGCTAAATAAAATTTCCCCTCAGACCGGACCTAGTCAGTGCAGTACTGCAGATCTAGGTACATATCACTCTTCCCCCCAAAAAAAAAAATTTCATATGCACACTGCCAGATATGAACGACTGTGGCGATGAAATGTATTGTGAAAATGAGCGCGTGAACTGCCACGTTGGAGGAAAGAGATGTCTGAATTCAAGGCCCCAGAATGGGCGTTTCAAAGAGATTTCAAATGAATAGGTTCTTTCTGTGTCACCCCGAGTATGCAGAATGATATTCAGCACGTGGTATAAGAAGCTGTCTTCCCTCAATCAGATCAGTATCACCCCACAAACAATGCGTCTCTCACCCAAGACTCACGCTGGTGACAGCCAGCTGAATGCTACTGTGTCGGAGTTTTAAACAGATACTACGACTGGCTGTGACGACTTGTCAGACTCGGAGATACTTAGCTGCTCAAAAGGGCATCGCGTGGTCCTGCATATGAGCAGTGGATTCAGGCAGCTTTGCAGGGTGTCACAAACAATATCTACAAGACCATCAAAGAGGCTATGTTCGCTTACAATGTAAGCTAGAGCCTAGTATTTCACCCTCACATGATTTTTTGCTCTGACATCTGGATCTGAGGCATTAACTGAGCGGGCTTAGAAATGGCAGCTGTGACAAACTGTGACAAAAGCGTTACTTGACGACTTGACGGAGGGATAAATTCATACCACGAACTCATTGCCGCTTACGTTGCGTTGATGACACATCGTTGATTGACATATCAGGCGCGTATACTAACTTGATATATTTTCGCGACTTATTCCATGCCCAAGACTATTCTTCCCCTCGGTCTGCTCGATTCTAGCCTTGGTCATATCCAATCGGTAAAATGGGCATGTTGTTCACGGAACTTACACCAGGCGGTAACCCTTGCACCGTCTCCTGCTCCGTCTTTCGAGCCCGCTGAGGAAAGAAATGTGTTTTCTAGGTGAATTGTCATTCTATATCAGTTATCAACCGCTTATGCAACCCAGGCGGCGCGGACGCCGCAGCGTGGTCTCTTCTCCGGTGTTCAAATTGCTCAAAAGGTTTACGTCCCCAATGTCCGAGCTCGAAAGGAGAGTCCTTGCATTGCAAAATACGCAAGCGCCATCGGATGTCATGCAATCTCAGTCGGTAAGCCCTCGCTTTGAATCTAACCATTCATGTACACTTTCTGACGTGAGCCTATGTTTGTTCAGTTGGAAGCAACCCCGGAGTCAGAGGCAGCGCTTTCCCCTCGTTACACGGACGAGGAGTTATTCTCAGTGTATGAAGACTTGATACGACTTACTCAACAACCGGTAGAGGTCGCGAAGCGCTCTAAGGAAGACGGAGAGACACAAGCCATGGTTGAAATGAGAGAACGGGTCTGTGTTTATGTGCGTGTTTTTAACTTCAAAAAGATGGGGTCAAACATCTTATAGACCTTATAGATGCGCGATGGAGACTTGGAGAGCGCAGAAAGTACAATAGAGTCTTCAAAGGTTAGCATTGTAATTCCATCTCACTTTCAGACGCTCACGAACTACTCAGCTTTCCGGTATCACACTACCCGAAGACATCGTGAATATCGTGCTCGGATATCACGCATCGCATGGAAATATAGAACGATTTGAAAGATTCATGGAAAATATTCTAACCGGTGCGTATTTGATACATATACTTGCAACTGTCAGTTAACTGTATTCATGCATAGGCAAACCTTCTGAAGCTCAACGAGACCTGCATATCAAGTCGTACCTGCGCGACCCGGCTGTCTTTGCATCGCGCGCATTCCCCACTCGTGCTATCGACCTTCTGCACAAGTACGAAGCTTCTGGGCTCCATGCCCCCATGAAATCCTATTCACGCATTATATCCTCCTTATTCTCTGTCCGCCCCTCTCCTTCACCTCCCTCGATATGCTCAACACCGGACGCACCATTAGGAAGACTGGCTGCGAATTCGCAAGCTTGGGACCTTTTCGCGCACATGCGCTATGTTGCGCACCCGACCCCAGATGCTCATCTATACGCATTGCTGATCCGCGCCTGTGCTTCAGCTTCCCTATCTCCCGAACCCCAGCGTGCCCTGGACCTGTGGACTGAGATGCTCGATGCGGGAATTGTGCCGACCGAAGGGACTTACGATGCAGTGATCCGTGCTTGTGCGAAGGCTGGAGGAGGATGGGTTTCGGAGGCCATCAGGTTTGCGCGGCAAATGCGCGACCGCTTTAGACGCGGTTCTTCTGAAGTTGGTGGTGGGGACCTTGAAGGGGTTGGTGGGCCACGTACTTGGACAGCTCTGCTGGACGGCTGCAAGCGTGTTGGTGATTTGGCCCGTGCTAGATGGATCCTGGCAGAAGCTGTAAGAGCTGAAAGTCTAACTGAGGAGATGATGCAGCACATTTTCCACGCTTATGCCGCATATAGGCCCCCATTCCAAAGGGGTGCAACCAGGATCGTGAACGACGGGGCGGTTGTGGCACCAGCTTCAAATCAAGACGGGCCGCTAGCAAGCGCTACTGAGTGCTCACCAGACCTGCCTTCAGAATCTGCAGGTGTTTCTTCCGATTCCGATGGAGTTCCGAACGATTTGGCTTATATAGCCACAATGCCTTCATTTTCACACCTCCCGCCCCAATCACCAGGCGAGGTCGTCGCAGAGGCTAGGGCTCTCTTCGATAGAATCCTTCAAGATGCCAACCCTACCTCTCGTTCATCCTCGAACATGCCTCCCGACCCTCTCGCTGGAAGATTCAATGTCAGACTCACACCACGCCTCCTCAATGCCTACATATCTGTGTATTATTCGCATGCAAGTCTCGAACGTGCGCGCGATGTGTTTGAGAGGCTGCTTTCATCTTTTGGCGTGGACCTTATGGGTGATTCACGCACTTATGCCGATGCCCTCGAGAGGTGTGCACTTTCAAGGCCGCATGAACGTGATATTGCAGGAAAATGGGTAGATGAGCTATGGGCACGTTGGGAAGAGCTTGAGCGCGAGTGGGCTAATGGGGCTACGGAGACGACAGTAACTGCCAGGCTAGTCGAGAGAGCGCACACTGCTGTCAGAAGAGTCCATTCCTTGTCAGTCTCTTATTTTTCCATTATCTATAGTCATACTCATATCCTCGTCCAGAAATGGTGATGTCGACCGTGCAATTACACTGCTACGCACATTTATGTCACGATATCCTCCGACCGCGCTGCTGCCTCCAGCCCGCAATCCATCGTCTGCTCATGTAGATGCTCAAGATGTCATGAAAAAACGTACGATCACCCTCTTCGCAAAACCGCCCATCCTCTCGACACGTACTATTCTCAGTAATTCAGCCGCTACGCCTCGACCCCTCGTGCGCCTCACATCAGCCATCGGTCCACCTGACGAGCGTGTACCGCCTTTGCTGAGTTTCGTGGATGTGGAGTTGTTGCATGCCCGATTAGTAGAGCAGGGTAGGGGTAAAGAAGTTGGATTTCTCAAGTGGGCTTGTAAGGCGTATGAGGGAGCGCTGAGAACTCGTAGGGAAGCTGTGCTTGGAGCACGGGTTCCGGCGGGAGAGGATATCCGATGAACTATCGTCCATGCGGCCTACTATGTGCATGTTGTTTGCTCCAGGATAAAAAGTACGAGTCTGTGTCGCAAAAAAGGCTGACACCAGAGTTGCGCATATAACATTTTTATCTATCAACCGTCACTGACTTGGCGGTAGCGACAATGTTTGCAAATACTTCGAAACTTGGTATGGCACCGTAAGCACACACTGCAGCGAGCTGGGTGAAATTTATCCAAGAAGTCTATTAGGGAACCGAGGAGCAGCGCCGGAAGGCTTGTTTGACATAACAAGTCGTCGAAAAAATAAACAAAGTTCACAGGACCATCGTCGCCTGTTTGCTCCCAAATTTTGTGCAACGTTCTCAGTATGTAAGAATTGTTCTGAGGAAAAATGTTGATAGTACAGCAGAACGTCGATAGCCTTAGTAATGGATCAGCAGGCCCCTGGCCCCCGGAAGCTCCCTATAATGTTCGGCCGAAAATTTGCCTATTTGAGGCCAAAATTTTGCGTTTTCCTTGTCCGTTTTTACCTATTTGACGCCTTGGGAAGCCACTCCCCTGGTAGTGTCCTGTAAATCTGGTCTGATGCCAGATTAACGCTGCTAATTTGCAGAGGCCATTCGCGAGGTCAAAGTATGTAAATTAGCGTAAATTTGCAAGCCAGCTAATTAGCGCTAAAACGAAGCTTACCAGTAATATGCTGAAGCTGGTGACTGAATGAAAGATTGACTGCTAAGGGGCTACAAGATGGGAAAACCGAGCGACGGACTGATGGTTTGTACCGCTAAGTATTCTGCTCTTGTGGCTCAACGGGGTGCGAATCTTCATGCGAGGAAGCATATGGTCCCTATATTCGATTAGCAAAGCAAGGCGCTCACTGGCGCAGAATTTTGACCGCGCTCTTGACTCTCTGAATTGAGCGAAGATCAGAGTTCAAATCCAGTGTAGCAAAGCTCCACTTAGCCCCCGTGCGACTCATCAAGTCTGCAGTTCATAGCATCATACCCGTCCTTTGACAATATTGGATCCCAGTGCCTGTGGTAAACTGCCGCATCTGATGATGTTGTCAAGTCACCATCACTGGATAAGCTGGCTTACCGCGCTGTACACGTCCGAGGGCAACGTCGATGACAGGGCCTCGCCACGAACGGGGACCAGGCAATATAGAAAAGAAGCAAGAGAAAGGAGACACGAAGGGAATCTTTAGATCAGCACCTTTATAAGGCGGCTCGTAGGCCTGTGCTTCTCTAGCATAGAAGCGCAGGAGAGAATCTCCAAGTGCGCGTTGACACAAGGCTCAGACTATACGCGTCAACGATGCATGTTATCTAGTGGCATCATTCTGAAGCGAGCCGAGGCTTAAAGCATGAGCCGCCGACAAGGCATATATTCCACCTACAGTGAGTCGATTTACAGTTAATCAAATAAAAATGCATTTTAGTTCTTTCGATGCTTTATGTAAAGCGTTCTGCAGCATTGATCGTCACCTTTATACCTCCAACCAGTCCAAGAAGTCCGGCGTGAAGTAAGACAGGATCAAAGTAGCACCTTGACAAAATTATGTCAAAACACCAAAAACTCAATACATGTGTACTCACCTGCCCGGACCATACTCTCCGTGGTCTCGAATGCCATGGTTTTGAGATCGTAGACGCCGGCAGCAGCACCGGCATGAACCATCGCGAATTCACCGCTGACTTGATAGCAAGCGATAGGATGGTCTGATGCGAGCTGTGTAGCATCCGAGATGATGTCGAGATACGGAAGCGCAGGTTTCACCATAATGATGTCTGCGCCTTCTACCATGTCTCGTTGCTAGAAAACATGACAATTAGTAGCGCGTTGTGTAAGAGACGGAGAATAGGAGTTACTATTGCACGCCGTGCGAGTCCCTTGGCAGTAGGAGGGAGTTGGTAACATTTGCGGTCGCCGAATGATGGGGCGCTTCCGGCAGCATCGCGGAAGGGGCCGTACAATGCGCTCGCGAACTTGGCTGAGTAGCTCATAAGGGTGCATTTGCTGGCTAAGTCAGCGTCAATTAATGCCTGTTTGATGGCCTTGATGCGCCCATCCATCATGTCGCTGGGAGCTACACAATGGGCGCCGGCCTTGGCGTAGTTGACAGACACTTCTGCGAGACGTAGGACGGATGGCTTGGTGTTGATGGTACTGTCGGCATGGAGCAGACCGCAGTGCCCATGTGAAGTGTACTCGCACAGACACACATCACAGGCTATGTACAATGATGGGAATAAGAGTCTGATCTTTTTGATAGCTTGGATGACGGGTCCAGATGGATCGTCTGCTGGGGTGCCACGGCCATCCTGCAAGGTCTATAACACCGCACGCAGTTTCACCAGAAGGAAGCTCACCTTTTCGCAAGTCAAAGGCACACCGAAGATAATGACGCTTTTTAGTCCTTTCTTCACTAATGGGCCGAGGAAGGTTTCGAGCTGGTTGACACCCCAGCGGCGTTGACCGGGTAGTGAGGGTATGACGACGCTGGCATCTGGATCATCTGTGATGAAGATGGGATACATGAACATTGACTTTGTGAGCTGCCTACGACCCTGCCATGAGCGTGACAGGGGGTGCTGATATCCACCCTGGAGGATTGAACTGAGCGGAATTAGCGTTTTAGATATGAAACCATTAAGCATGAACGTAGGTACTCACGAGATATCCATGTCGTTCTGGTCGACGTCAAACGTTAGCAATTTCAACTAGCGCGTCTACGTCGTGGTACGATATCAAGACTGGCAATGCGCATGGGAATTTTGATCTCAACAGCACAGTACGTGGTCATTCACTAGAATGTACTAGACCTTCCTATATATGCTTCACAAATCACGGGCGATGTATTTGCGCATAAGACAGCTGGATCCTTCATCTTTGACACCGTTTTCTCATCAATTTCGGTCAAGAGTCACAGCGAACCATAGTCTGAGCATAGCCTAAGTCTGTTGCCAGTTGGTGGCTGTGACGAATGTCGTGGGAATGAAATTTATCCTGCTGTCACGCCCTCCCCTCAGCTAGCTCACTACTTTCATTTACTCCCTTCCCCCTCCGCTCCCTTTTGACTCTTCACCATGTCTCATGCTGACCACACAAGAGATCCATGGTGCGTAGTAAACCAATTATCTGGCCAGTCCAGGTGATAATTTTGTAAAGTCCATGGGTCATATTAAATGACTTTGGAGGCGCATTTGCTATGGGCGCTGTCGGCGGCGGTATATGGCACGGTATCAAGGGCGCACGAAACTCCCCTAGGGTTAGTTCTCTTTCTCTCATCTTATTTTCTTCCTAGTCAAACCGGAACAAACATCACTGACATGGACACTCACAGGGTGAACGTTTGGTTGGTGCCATATCTACCATCAAAGCACGTGCCCCAGTTACAGGTGGCAACTTCGGCGTTTGGGGAGGCATGTTCTCCACTTTCGATTGTGCTGTGAAAGGTTGGCGGCAAAAGGAGGATGCTTGGAATGCCATTATTTCGGGGTTCATGACGGGTGGATGTTTGGCTGCAAGAAGTGAATTTCTCCTCATCTTTGCACATTTCCATATTTCTGATTTCAATGCGTCGGATGTCAGGTGGCCCAAAATCAGCACTAGGATCTGCAATTGCGTGTGGTATCCTCTTGGGTGTATTCGAGGGTGTCGGTGTCCTTCTCTCCCGTGTGTTCAGCGAGGGTACACGACCACAGCTTCCGCAACGTACGTCACGTTGTCCGACTTTATTCGTTGACTGACCATTTTTATCTGCATCACTTGTGTTTCACCTCCCTGCCATACGCTCTCCTTGCTTCCCATGCGCTTTCGGTGCCACGTCCACAGTACCGGACACTATCCAACCACAGCCCTCAGGACACTAGCTCCATACCTGCCTTGCAATCTATATTACAATAGATGTCTCTCTCCGCCTTACGGCCCACTTACCCTCTTCATTGTATATTCGCGCTGCAATGCAATGCATAGTACTAAATCTACTCATCATCAGACCTGATATGATCTGTTGCCATCGGGCTCTTCCAGTCTCGCGACTCTTCGAATCTTGTGACTGCTATATCAATATTGCAAATTCGTGTAGGAAACTCGTACACAGGAAGGACAATTACTATATGGATCACGCTCTTGGCCAAGCTCAGTGAGTTGACGTATATATATCACCAAGACACTGACCTGGATTCCACTCTGCCAAGTGCTACCAACGCGAGCAATGTAACTTCTTGAGTTCAGGCACCTGTCACAGCAGCCGTTCGCTACGACGGAAACCCGTCAAACTATACGCGACGTCTGACTTCGCTTTCCGTGGGCTCACACTACATTATCCTGTCCCTATCAGTTCCCTTCATCCCCTCACCTCACTCTGCAGTAATACGAAGATTAACACATGCTAATATAAGGGACACCGGTTCCTGATGTACTTCAAGTCCGCGAATGCCCTGACGTGAGGAATTATTCCTTGCCAGTCCGCCATTCCTGCTGGCTGTTTTAATCGCGCAACTCAGAGGATGAATTGACTTTTAGAACCTAGCGTGGCGATGAATGTGATGGGTAAGAAAGGTATGGGACGTGCTTGCTAATAAGAAAGGACTGAAACGAGGATTAGTAAAGCGCACAGATAAAAATATGATCAAGTACTCACTTCGTAGAGTCCCTGGGAGCATGCGAGTTTGCATGAGGCATCTATTGATCTGCTTGCAAGCAATGGTCCAGGGAGATGAGATATCCGCCTCTTTTTTCCGTGGCTTCATAGAAGTAACATCAATTCAAGTCGATGTTACTGAGCCGGAGACTTCAAAACAAATGCCCGTCAGTTCTATGTTATCTGCATCCAAAAGAGACCTGATAAATGACATGATAGAACTCGTTACATGAAATCACTGAGAGTTTATCTAGTTTTGGATGTTATCAGATAGTCTGTCAGTGACCTGCTTATCGGTTGTCGAGGCTGGTTCCTAGAGTCATAGGCACAGCGGTGTTGGCTCCGAGACTTGTATCCTGCGCTGATGTGTAGAAGGCCTCAAAACTGCTGAGACCAGGGAGAAGGGGGGTGGCAGCTGGGTACCTGCTCCGGTGGGAGATGAGGGTGTCACGATGGGAAACACAGGATAGCCATGCGTGGTGAGAGGCAGAAAAAGCCAAAGGTGGGTTCAGGGAGAGAATATGAATTGGGGCTTATTATGAATAGTGAACACTAGGGGGAAACAAGGGGTACCATTCATTTCGTGCTGGTCTGTCCTAAAAGAATGACTGTCTAGTGTTCATCGATTGTCGGTTGTCGTTGGCGCTGATTCTGCTACTGCCGCATCTCAGATGTGACTTGACCGATCTGTTGTCGACAGACCCCGACTATCTCACCAAAATCCAAACCGCCTACCGTTCAGGATAAATGTCCTGCGTGATGCACTGATGTTTTTGGGTGTCCAAACTTGTTGCATCGTGCGGCTTAACAACTTTGTCGTCTCGTTCCATATCACAATATTGTTCTGCCAGCAACATCCTGACAATATTCCAAGGTGTCATATCATCTTTTCAATTTGAACTCACCGCCCTGTTTTCCTATAGGCTATCTCGCGAATTCGGAAGCTCAAGTGTGAAGATTTTTAGTGGCCATTGATCTGCACATGTTCCTTGTCCCTAATATGCCCAACTATATTTCTACAATATATAAGTACGAAACGTTTGATCCCGCGGAACCAATTCGCGTGACTCTCCTGTTTGTGCTCCACCTGTGCCCGTGCTGAGCTCCACCCGTCGTCTAAATTGGTCTAGCGCACATGGCGTCTATCGATCATTGTCCTACTAACTACATACTCCTGTTCTAACTCATCCTGCATTCTCTCCTATCTAGAAAACTTTTGCGCGGAGGCCATCTGCAGACGCACCTGAGCAAACGCCGGATTACCTCGCCATGTTGATGCATCCAAACACACCACCGCATCGACTGGATCTCAAAGTCGACGCGGTATGCGCAATACAACGCAACATGTCCGAGTCCGTCGAGAACAGATTGGTGCGAAATGCGCGTGTGCGCGCCGCCGCTCTGCATCGCAGATTCGTGGAGGTTGAGATTCCTCACACAGGAGAGAGACATTGTCTACCTCGGATTACGTTCTCTTTCAATCCCGCGAGATCAAGCTGGACCACATTCAACGGATGTCAAGGACTCACACTCGAGAAAGCGGTACTGGACCTCCGTACAGATTCGTTCGCGCACGGACAGCTTTACACTGCGCTATCCAGAGTGCGATGTCGGCGTGACATTCGCGCGCTATTTCCTTCAGAGGGTGAGGAGAAGACAACGGCGAACGTAGTATACAGACAACTGTTATTGTAATTGATTGTAAAACAGACGCGACGTCCGAAGGCGACCGGTCCGCTTGTAGTATTAATGCGTGTAGAACCCTTCTAAGGCTGCATATTCCATGATTGCATCAAAAGACTAGTTAATAACCTCGTCTGTATTTAGTGTTCGCGTTTGAATTTAGCACACGCATTTGTATATGAAGTCCTTGTGCATGTTGTATATACCAAGTAGTTTTCTTGCAAGTCAAAGACAACACTAGGACAACGGACTCTTCTGCATCGTAACTCTCCACTGGACTAACACGGTCTGGGTGGTTAAAACGATCTCCACATTCGCGAGACAAAAAATGTCACGAGTTCCAACCAGCCAGAAATACCCTTCGAGGGCCACGTCCATAATATCAAAAGCCTAGAAGCCTAGAAGACTTGCGTACAATATTATGAATCATAGATGCATCATATTAATTTTTGATCTAGTCCATCATGCGATGAGTCGAGTTAAAGGAGGGCGTGAACTTGCGGCCTAGCCTCTGCTTTCGAACTGAGTCGGCTATTGTGGGTGAGATGTGGCTCATCGGGGAAGGGAATCAGTGATCCACTCGCACCGCACACCATACTCTGTTGGAATAACAATGGTCATGTCACGTTCCACAATTCGAGGATGTTCCCGAGACAAAATCCACAACAGCTTGAATATAAATCCAGGTAGTCTATGGGCTTAAACCTTGAACCCACCTGCTTGTGATTTCCGTCATCTGCTCTCTTGGTAAGAACATGGAATAAGAAACTCAGCCGTCTGCAACTGACCTACTTCCAGAGCCATATCTTAATATGTCTGTCGAAGAAACATACTATAACGTCGAAGTTATCCAGTTTTGGCGAGGCGAGATAGAGTACCTTCGGCCCCATCCCCTTCACTGGGTCATCTACGTCCCAACCGGTCCTGGTGTCGGAAACACGTACCACCTCCTGGGAGACACAGAGACCTACACCGTGGAGTTCAGGCGTAACCAGCCACATGTCAACCCTGATGACTGGCGCGGAAGCCACACCATGGGAAGAGTGGCTGCAAGTAAGCTGGCCCTTTTCGAATGGAACCTCGCGAGCGTTCCGATCATGCGTAACGACCCTCGATGGAACAGCCAGAACTGGGTGTGGGACGGTCTTCGCCGCCTCCGCCATCAACGTTTTGAGATCAGCTGGGAGCTTAGACAATGCGACCTTCAAACAAAGATGTGTTGCCTGTTGGAGGACTGGGATTTCGGTCGAATTTAGAGGTGAGATCTGGCGTGCCCGAGAGGTTGATCAAGTATTTAATGTTCTTATTCAGAGTCATTGGGAGCACTCGCCATGTAAATCATCATTAGTAGCATCATAAATATCTTGGATGATCGTGAGTGCCCTTCATTGTCCTGACTGAATAAAGACTCAAGATCCAATTTCTGTCACTCTGACAGACAGAAATGATGCGTGAAAGGATGACGTCCAATCCCCCGTATTGTCAGTGGGAGATGGGCACTTGGGTGTCGCCCGCGTGTGAGTCGGGCGAAGGAGGCGACGATGAAGTAAATAGTAATTTGCATTCCTTCAACATGAGCGAAGCGCTGCTAGCAAGACGCGACGGTAGACCAGGATTAATGGCCCCATTATCTCAGTTTGACCTGCAGTGACCTGAGTCGACAGCAATGGATCTGGAAATTCAAGCTTCAAGCTTTCAGGCTTGGGTTGCAGTGACGCGATGCCACTTGAAGTCAGTGAATAAGCTAAAAACTTTTGTCAGTACTTTGCCTTCCAAGGAGACAAATTTAAACAGGCTGCTGTGAGCACGCTGGTTTACCTGAGTTCCCATACTCAGTACTGTACGTACATGAAAGGTAAGTTTTCCAGATTTCCGAGTCAGCGTAAACGGTTATGCGCCTGACCCAATGGACAGAAATGGAAAAAAAAAAACTCGGTTCTGCAAGTACTCCGCCTTAGTCAGCTGCACCCTCATGCCACATCACTGAAAACCAAGATCTATGATAAACCCTTATATACACATTATAATCCCAACAATGTGTATAATCGTATAAAATATGGCAGTGCAGAAGCCATAGTCTTGTATAGAAATATATTGTTATCCCTTGCGACCAATCTTTATCATGATTACCTGTGCCCGGCATTAGTTGAATGAATTTGGCTGTGTAAAAACTCAAACGGATTGATAAACACGCTAATTGCTGAAAACAAGATATATATGTGTAGAACGCTATCCCCTATGACCAATAATCATCAAGATGGTTTTCATTTAGCATTAGCTGCATGAATCATGTTGTGACAGTACTAAAACTGTACTGAAGTGGTGAAGCATGTTCGAAAAAGTGTCTCTCATTTAGCATTTCTAGCACAGAGGCTCTCCTGTCCAATAAGTAAAAGAGATGGAAATTCTTGCCATCTGTACCATCATATGGACAATTGTTTCATTGGCATCATGGTATTGCGGGTTTTATACTTGATTGGCCAGGAAGTCACATTGGGTTGTATAGGATTATACAGAGACACTCGGTACAATACATGTAGTTTATCAATGCCTCGCCAATTCTCTACCCTAATCTCATCATCAACACCATCTGCAGGAACAATAACATGGGTTGAACCACAACAGATATCGTTAGTGCCTTGAAGTCCAATGAAAGCAAGGTGTCGCGGCAACTTGACACTATTGTTTCCTTATGCAAAATTTGCACTGCTCAAGTGGTTGACTGAGTTTGGCGGTGCCAGTGTACAATCAAGCTCGGCGGTGCCAGTATAGGATCAAGTTTGGCGGTATATAATCGAACTCGTGGTACCATAGGATGTAACAGGATCGAGTTCAGCCATAGGATCGAGTTTTTGGCCATGGAATAGAAGTTGGTCGCAGGGATCAAATCCAAATATGAGATCGAGTTCAGCCATATCATCGAAGACCAGTCATCCTTAGACAGAAACATAGACCACGACATGACATATCCTGTTGCCAGACCATGTAGTACAGTGCGACTTTCTGGATGGCATCCTGTCGAGAAACTTGCAGGAAGTAGCGTTAATGAGTGATTGAAGGCAGAGTAGGTGATAGTGGGGATTGTAAATAAAATCTGAGTCGGATCCTTACTTATCAATGACCGGAAGATATGCTCGGCCGGTGGTGACTGAGGTCTTGACCCTTCCCAAGGGAGTTGTACCTTGTTCGTTTTGAGATCCGGTGGTCAAACTATTTCAGAATAGGAAAAGAGAAGGAGCAGGGTCGGAGCCGGGTAAGGCTGCGAGCTTCGGCGTCAGTTGCAGACAGCTAAAACCAACAGAGATAACGGCAGTTTCGAGCATCGGTCGAGGACACATGGCCAATGTTGACTTTGAAGAAAGGCCAAAATGCAGAATAGGTTTCAAGTGGGATTGAGGGATCATCCAGACCACCATTCACTACTGCCCGATCCCAACAACCGCCAGTGCTTAGCGCACATGCCCAGCACATGTCAGCAAATGCTGACGTGGCTCAAACATATGCGAACCACACCGGAAGGCGCCAGAATGAGAGGAGTGGAGGAGGGCGAGAAGGAGATGAGGGAGAGGTAAGTTTAAGTCTTGAGTACCTATGGAAATGAGGTAGTTAGCAGCATAAAAATGCACAATACATATTACACGCACCTCTGCAGCTTAGAGAAAGGTACCCACAATCCCTCGGCCGCGTTCAACACCATCAATCTCCAGTAAAATGTCACAGCTCATTCCAAGCACCACATCCCTTCGAGCTTCTGACAGACCGGCAGTGCCTGTTCGAAAAGTCGGCTCAATGTCGAGTAAGAGATGTTAGGACCTCAGAAGCGAAGAAGGATGGCACTGACTGCGTCTTGAGATGAATTGTTGAATCAGAAAATATGACAATGACAAGCAAATGTAGCGAAGCCATGGAGGACGAGTGCAACTCACAGTGGTGTGTGTGAGTTTTGTGTCTAGAATTTTTGAATAGATCAGCGCCATATACGTTGAGCGTATGCCTACAGCATCGACGTCTTCCTATCATTCTGCACTGCTATATAGTATTAAGCAATTTTTACGCATGAATGCAGAAACTATACCACCAGCTTAGAATTCGACATACTGTTAAATTAATGTGTCGAAACGACAAACAAGCTCACGGATCAGGAAAATGATGCTTGATAAGTAGGCCAATACATGGGCATATAAGGACAACACAGATTTCGCCAACCTTATAAGGTAAATATTGTCATACCGGGTTATCCGGTTTTCAGTGATGCAAGGACTATATGCCGCAAGGCCCTCTTCACTCCATTTCATTGGACATCCACAAAAAAACATTGCCAGTGAACGGACCCGCTGAGCGCCGTAGGACAAATAAAACAAGCACGTTACGTCATTGTCCTCCCATCAATTGATGGATGGCAAGGTGCGGATTCTTCACTGAGGCTGAATGAACTTCCGATATCGACGAGTTGGTGAGGGTGAAGACCCGCAATGTCGAGCTGATTGTCGGCCTGCGTCTCCTTGGTGCAGATAATATTGTCACCATTGTTCCTCCGTCCCTCTTTGATATTCCTGATGCCAACGTACTCTACAGAGCATAACCGTATCCAGACACGACAGCTGCTGTATCGCTATTCTGTGCGTAGCGCTCCGATCATCCTCAGTTTTGTACTCATTAGCCAGACGCTCGACATTGAGCTTGTGTTCTTGCAATCTCATCTAGATAACTTCGCGCTGCTCAATTCTGCTTCGATATTCTTTGCCGTATCTATTGAACTTTATGGTTGTCAGTACAAAGCATGGCAGATGACTTCAAGCGATGACGACTCAACGATCTTTCAGGAGGGTCTTAGACTCGAGCAACAGGATGCCCTGTCTGACCTGGATGAGGCCATCAAACTCTACGCTGCCGCCCTAGCACTGTGTCCCCCTGGCCATAATACTGAATTGGAGTATATCAACAGCCTTGCCACCAGCCTTAGTGACCGATTTCAGCAGCACGGAACCCTGTCTGAACTGGAAGATGTCATCGAGCTCCACAGAGCTACACTCATATTCTATCCACCTCACCATGCTCTTCGATCCAATTATATGAACAACCTTGCCGTCAGCCTTTGTGACAGATTTAGGCAGCAGGGCGCTCTGTCTGACTTGGACGAGGCCACCGAGTTCTACCGGGCAGCACTCGCACTGCGTTCCCCTGGCCATTCTCTGATTCATGTCTCAACGACTTTGCCAGCAGCCTTCCAACCGAATTCATGGAATGTGCCGCCCCATCTGACATAGGCGATTCGTATTTCTCTACCACCTTGACATCAACCCTGAAACCATGTTCAAGCAGTAGGGTACTTGGATGAGGCCTATGGGCTGTATATGCAGCTCTCAAAAATATCATCCAGTCTCTCGCCGATGAGGTACACCCGATGAACAGATCAAACACCGTTTTGCCTTGCTTACTGTATTCGTTCACATATGGCGCTTAGTTTGAGACTAATTCCCCGATCTCTTAAACATTTGTAGTGCCGAACTTATACTCTGTCGTGTCGGCATAAAGTATCATATAGTTTTCTTGAAACAAATTCAAGTGATTCTCGTACATATTATAAGAACGGAGCGTTTGATCCCGCAAAACCAATTCGCGTTGATACCATGTGCGCGCTCCACTCGAACTCCTTGCATATATTAGTTTACCTAGACCTTTCAACATACTTCAAAATCATATATGTTAAATAAATATCACGACGGATCCTCTCCACCAAATTTCTCCTCCTCATAGACCACTCGGCAAGCAATTTTCCTACACCGTACTGCAAGTTGGGACATGTACACGCTCCTGGAAGACAATCGAACTCATGCTAGTTTCTGCATCGGAGTCTGCCACGATTTTGGCGTGGTATTCTCGAACGCTAAGGATGAGGCGTGGTCCCAGCACAAACATCTGCACGACCAATAAAATTTGAAGAACACCACTGAGTGTCTGAACTGCAATAGAGTTCGAATTCTACAGAAATGATGAGCGGTGGTTACACGCAGATGAGTCGGCGACAGATCGGCGCACCAAGATTTCTGGAGAGAGATAGGTAAACTGGAGGCAGGAGACACCAACAAAGCTAATATGTACGAAACTTCAGCAGAAGAATATAACCGCATTCACATTACAAGCTCACATTGCAAAATAAAGAGCGTGAGATTGTATCAGCGCTCTGAAATAGTCCCCAGTGGTTGATCCTGTCGATGGGTCGAGTCGTCGCAGGTCACGGAAGTGTTTCACAGCAACCCAAACTGAAAGACACAGTGCGAGGAACTCCCAAACAGTGTTGAGCATCCAAATCATTGCAAAAAGAAGCTGATCGTTCCCTTCATATCCATAATTGCACATATACGTGCCAGTGAGTATCAATTCCTCTGGTGTTTGTTCAATGAGCCGTATTCTCCAAGTCAACAGGGGAAGCTTACCTCCTACAACATACTTGAGGTCTATTGCCGAGATCACTACGCAGGTAATGTTAACACCCAGAAATATAATAACAAGGAAGATGAGCATCGTTCTAGATCCCTGATACATGGCATGTAAGCGAGCAATCATGATGACTTGCTTGAGGTTTCAGCCGAGTTAATATCACAGAGGTGATGCAGCTGGGCAACTCACCGCCCAACATGGCAGCTACAACCACATATGTCCCATTCAGTGCGTAGTTCATAATATTGCCTAAGACACTCGATTAGTGAACACCCTCGTACTGGGATCAAACACTTAGACTCACACCTATCAAGCCATTACGTTGAGCCGAGTTAGTAAATGGTCAGAATCATACTCACCCCTGCATATGAGTGTATTCATTGAATAGGAATGAGATGGTTGTGGAATACTCACTGCATCTGTCAGCATGACCAATGGTATAGTTCCTGTGTGCCGACGGTCAGAAGAATCAAACACAGCACATATGACACACACGCAGAACATCGATACACTAATTGACAGAGATGAGCCATTAGCACAGTGCCGATTTTTTGGCCTCGACACATACAGAGTACGGTATTCCAATATAGCGTATCTTAAATATTTTGGAGTCAGCACAACCGTCAACCACGCTATAGCATAACATGAGGTACGAACAACCAAATACAGCAGTCATGAGAGACCAGCGTTGTTTCTGTCGCCAATTCATTGTTTTTCTTCTGATACGAGACTCTTGTTACTCCGAGTCACCCAGATCAGTTCAATCTAGTATGACACCTTTCTTAGCAAGTTTTGCGCTCGGACAACAATATAGACCCACCTCTTGTCCGAGTGTTAAGACTAGAAACATCATGAGAAGCGATTGTCAAACACTGTCCTGCTCACCCCAATCATATACCACCACAATGCCGGCGGCAACTGCGAAACCGCAAGTCAGCATTAAATCTGAATAGCTTAATGCAACAAACCTATCCAATAGCTGAAAAAAAAATTGCATTGATTATCGGCCACCAACCGGGATCGTTTGAGACGTAGGTCATGTTCGAGGAACGGGTGTGAGCAAGTGGCAGAAAGTTAGTGGTATACAACGACAGCGTTCGTGGTAGATATACCACCGTTCAGCCCTTGTATCACCAAAATCAGCATGATGGAGATACTAGATATTTGATTCCGTCCCGAGACCCCTGATTGGGTGAAATGGTGCTAAATGAAACAAAAAGCCGGTAAGATTCTGATTTCCAAATCAGTATTAGTACGCACGAGGAAAGTTCCAGTCATTGTCGGCAACTGCTGCAAGCTTACAAAATCGAAGTGTTCCCTATGAAATCATGTAGTCACCGATCTAATACAGGTCAAAGTGTGACGTGCGTGAAACAAGTATGTACACTCTCTTCGGTATCGCTAGCCGAGCCTGGGCCTGAGGCAGGTTTCAGGCGTAACAGCCTCTGATTACTCTTATGGAACAAGGCTATGATAGCACGTGACACAGTGTGGGTCGAATATCTCACCTTATCCGTTGCCTCCGAGTCGTACGCTTCAACTATTGGGCTATCAAAACGATGAATAAATATATGACAAGGATATAAAGTGAATCTGACATGCATCGTACATACTACACTTAGTAGTACTAGTAATGTGATAGCGATGTGATACCAACGTGATTATGTAATATTTGTTGAATTTTATTATGCATGAGTTGTGCGCTGTGTGTATCACCTATGCTGTAAAGTCTAATTATGAAACGGCCTGGGTCGACGTCCACCACTTGTTTCGCGTCACGGTTTGCAATGTATACTAGTGTCGGCTCCCTTTTGAATTCTCAATACACATACCAGCAGTACAACTATGGAATATACAAACCCTGCACCGATGAGGCGCAGCTTCGGGACGACTGTCGCTGGTCCAAGGAGAATGGACCTGGCTAGCCGGCCTATTCTCAATCATGATCAATCATACCGTGCTGATGCAGGATCAGATTACTTCTCTCATAACCATCCGACTGTTCAGCGACGTCAGTCAGCCAAGCAACTCATCGACAGATACGAGTCCATTTTGCAGGAACCATCAACTGCTCGTAGGCCACCAAGCGCAGCCCGTTTTCATGGTGTATCGTCCTCTCGCTCCATTGGCAAGGGTAAGAGAAGGTCTTTGAGTGCCTCGCTGCGCAATTTCCTGTCCGTCTTCCAGAAGGGAAGGAAAGGAAAGGACGGAGATGATCAAGAAGAAGACATTCCTACAGTTGTGGTCGACGCACCGAGCATGGGTCAGATCCCTCCAATGTACACTGAGAGCGCTCTTCTTCCTCATGATACAGGTAGCATGGCCCTTTCAGCGGGTAAAGTCTCTGCACTTCACTCCGATGCGCTGTTGTATCTTTCCATGTCATCATCTTCCACTACTTCGCCTATCCTGCCCACCTGGACATCCTGCGATATCACCTTGCATACCCTGCATATACTCATAACATGGTATACTACTCACGGCAATCCTTCCACTCATATCCTTCCACTAGATGGCTGCACCGACGTCCGTTCTATTTCTATGAACCGACTGGATCCTGATGAAAAGGCTCTTCTTCCGACCTCAACAGACCAGTCTGAGCCAAAGGTGTTCGAGCTTTTGTTCGAGGGCCGCCGAAGAGAAAAATTTGCGGCATCATCGAGTCAAGAACGAGCACGATGGGTCAGCGCCATATGGTATGATAATGCACAATCAGCAATGCAGATTGATGCGACAACTTTTACAGGGATGCGTTACTTCAAAGGCAGTCGCAGGGAACAACACGAGTACAGGCGTTAACGATACGGACAAATTTGGAGCGTAAAGGTCAAGAATACTTGCAGCCTCCGTCAGCATCAGAGTATCCTTCCTCCGAATACACTTCGTCCAGTGGTGTTGAATCCGAGACCTCGCTGACGACGGAGCAGTCTCTTCCTCCGACACCAAGCAGCAAATCACCTCTGTCCACTCAGTCTCCGGCTCGTTTCAGTCTACATGATTCGCCACGGAATCGTTCTCCCATGTCTCTCTTGCCTCCGCGACCTCCGCCACAAATATCACCATGGAGTCCTAGTCCCAAAAGTCACTCAATTGCCAAACTTGGAAATCTTTCCGTCGTCACACAACGGTTGGCACAGATTGATCAAACGAGCTCCCCAGGATCAGCAAGTAGTGATTCTACCATACCGCACTTACAGGGTGCTCAGACCATCCGGCCCATGCGTGCTCGCCGGGCGTTTGCGGAAATTCATAAGATCAAAGACGAAAGCTTTTCGAGCGACTCGCCGTTGAGCAGTGGTGGACCCAGCCCGCAACCGAGATCGCCGGCATCGATCGAGACATACTCTTCGCGGTCAAGAAGTGCTTTCGCTCGTAATGGGACATCTCTAACGCCTGCTCCGGCTTTTCCTGAGACACTGCGAGTTCTCGTGGAAGGTTTACCGATTCAATCTCCCTCGCCATCTACAGTGGATAAGGATCTGCAGGTGGTGCCCATTACGGACTCGATCAAAGAGGGCGCAGCAATGACTTTAGATCAGACGATAGGTATTAGCGAACAAATAGCTGTGTTACAACACGATATCCGACACCTTCCCAGTGAGCTGGCACCCTTGTTGGCTGACACCACACGTCAGTCTTCTACCGAAGCTAAAGAGGCCATCACTTCTGCGATACAAGCATTGGTTGCTAGGGTAGAGGAGATTCAGCAGCAGGGCTCCTCCAGCACTGTCCAGCTGCAGGGAAACTCCATTATGAAGATCCTGGACGTCATGCAGACGCAGTTGAAATCGAGTCTTCCTCGCGTTCTCGAAAAACTCGATACGATCCATGACAATCAAGAGCGAGAGATGTCGACGTCACACGCGAACATCACCATGAAGAATCTGAGGCCTCCTTTTTCTACACCGACTTCACCGGCGGATGGTTCCAAACCCTGTCTGAACGTGGATCTCTCGGATATATATGCGAAGCTGAATGAGCTCGCCTCACTTTACAAGACTGGTAATACCCCGTCGAGCCCCACTGTAGGAAGCCCTCGAGAAAATGCAGAACCCCCAGAGAAGCTAGCACGTGACCTGTTAGACGACAAGGTTCGTTTATTCTCAATCACGCGGTTTCATTGGCTGAACTTTCACAAGTTGAAAGTTATCCTGGATTACCTGAATGCGGATGAAGAACAAAAAAAAGTGCAGCTCGAACAGCAGGCCGATAGTGTCCGCTATCTGAACGAACTAAATTCGGTTAGCTCAAGAGCGTAAAGTGTGCATTGCTACTGACAACTTTTCACCAGTGGCTGGATGCATTTGTCAGCACAGGCACCACGCAGATACAGGTTGTCGCAACTGGTGTTGAACAAATTTGTAAACAACTAGGTATCAGCACATCCGAAGAGCTTTCAAGCACCAACCTGAGTGGACAGGTGCAACAACTGCTAGAGGCGGCGCGGAGTCAAGTGCACAATGAAGAAGACTTGCGATCAACAGTCCACGAGTTGATCCAGGTCGTTCAAGAACATCTCACTCATGGAGATGAGCGACGCAAAGCACTTGGTTTGTTTGTCTAGTTGTCTTTGTGGCGTCAGTGGTTAATTGGCGACATATCTTAGTGACGGACTCGGTAATGGAAATCATCAATCGTCAAAGAGCAGACCAGGAGCAAATGCTGCGAGCGTTGTCGAGCGGTAAGCGGTCTCCTTTACCCGGAAAAATTTGTCTGACATATGCATATGTTAGAACTGACGGAGGAGATCCGAGGGGAACGACTGCGATTCGTGGAAGCGATGAAAGAGGCCACAGCAATTAATGTACAAGGCGTGTTTTCCTTTTGTCCTCACGGTCCTTCATTGACGGTGTTCTGATGAGCAGCTCACGTTGAACATTTCAAGGCTGAATTGGGTCGTGAAGTCGCAGTAATGACACAAGATGTTGGGAGGCTGCACAAAGAGAAGCAAGCGATCGAACAGCAAATTGCAGACCTATTCGCATTCTACTCCAAGCAAAAGCAGGAATCCGAGGTGTGTCCCGTCCATCTCCTTTTGGCTTGATAATTTTTTGTTCTTGAAATTGCAGGCCCCCTATCGGCGTGTACTTCCAAGGTCTTCGGGTCACAAAAATGTTCAGAATATAGCTGCCTCAGAATCACCACAGCGACGTCCGTTACCTAATCCTGAAAACCACGGTGTTGATGCTGTTAGGTTTCAGAGGCGCGATCCTCGGAGTAGGATCAGAGCTGAGTAAGTGGGGCATTGAGATGGGAGCGGAGAACGATCTATGTTGAACAGTGATCTATGTAGAAACAAGCGAGCGTTTGATGGATATGCCAATATAAATTAGTAATGTTAAGCCCCCACCTGCATAGGCACCACTGACACGATTAGTTTATCACGGCCGCGCGCGCGATAAACGACAAGGCCTCGTCCCAACCCATTCTCTCCCGCTCCTTTCCCAGAGCTCCGCCTCTGCGAACTTCCTCAGCATCAATGACTTTCCAGTCATCGTATTGGGTGACCATGCCGTCTTTAATTCCATGGGCAATCTCTGCTGGTAATGCATCAAGATCTGGACGACGATTGAGCAGTTCATCTGGTGCGATTTCCATTTCTGGCGAGGGTGGTGCAGCAGTCGTTACCGCTTCTGATGAAGGTGCTATGTCAGAGAGAATAGTGCCTGCGACCGCATATGCATCGATCATAGTTGACGCAAGCACACCCTTAGCACCATTGGCCGCCCATCCGGAAGCATACATATTTTTCAAGGCTGAACCATCGGGAGAAGTAATACGCCCTGCGGATGAACGAAGGTGGCGCAGAGCAGGATCAAAGAAAGTCGTTTCTGGATCTGCATGAAATCCGAGGGAGGTTACGACAAGAGAAGTAGGAAGAGTTGATGTCTCGCCAGTAGGCACTGCACGATGAGTGGCAGGATCAAGACGGGTGTGAGCAAGGGTAAGATTCGCCATATCTAACGCTGAAGCACTTGATGGAAGAGTAAGACTAGCGGGAGAGCGGTAAAAATGGAGTGACCAGGATTTGGGCGTCGATCCTGGTCGATTCTTGGATCCCTTCTGGAGTAGCTCGAGCGTGCGCCGCTGCTGGCGTGTTAATGCGACACCTGATGGGGGTGTAAGTAAAGTGGGTTCGATAGGAACCATCGATGCCTCTGGAAGATTGATCATCTCCCGAAGCTCTTTAGTGGTGAATGCAGCCTCCAGAGGTCCCCGCCTTCCAACTATGGAGACATGCTTGACGGTAGAACGGGAGAGAACTTCGAGAACATGCTCTGGTACATCATATTGACGAAGTACTGAGGGGGAAGTCAAAAGAATACGTGCAATGTCCAGCGACACGTTTCCCTGTCCAATTAATGTGAGGTGTGTTATCTCGTCAAGCGCGGGGGGTGGCGGCTGGGATGGGTGTTGTGTATACCAATGGACCAGGGACAATGCAGGTATGCAGTAAACAGACGGAGAGATTGCAGGGTGCAAGGTGGGCATGGTACATCCTGTCGCGAACAGTAAGTGGGAGTAATTGTTGAGTATGGAGGTCAGGGGTAAATGAAGCGCGTGAGGAATAGAATGAAGGGGCGTGCTGCCGACATTTACGTTTCCAAAGAAACGGAAACGCGGGTCAGTTGCAGTAGCATCGAATTTGTTCGTGCAATTCTAAGGGTCTCCTCAGTGATTAGCGAGAGACATGAAGAAATCCAGCTCACCTTGACCTCTGGATGATCTGGTGCAACGCCATAGCGGACGAGACCATGAGGTGCCCACAGTCGGTCGTACATGTGTACCCTCAGTGGTGGAGACATTGGATCCTTCAGTGGAAGGAGAGAGAGCAGGCGCGAGGCTACATAAAAAGCAGATGGCCCTCCACCGATTATAGCTAATTTCACCGGAGGTGGCATGGTCCAAAGGACCAGGAAGGATTAAAAGAGCCTGTAAGAAAAAGATAAATGAGCGTTTGATGAACGTGAGTGCGAATGACACCAACCGTGACCGACGCGGCGGCCGCCAGTAGCGCCTCAAATTGGCCGTACTTGAAGCTTGACTCATCAGTCGCGATTCATGCAGGCCACACTCAGTGTTGCCGCTCTCAAACGTTTGCTCCAACCTTAATATTGCATTTTACAGAGCTCACTCGGTTCCAGCGTTCATTAGGGCACTGACATGTCTGTCGAGATATGGCGATGATGTTGTCATATCGGCAAACCCAGAACAGCTCTCTTTAAGCGCAACTAATTCTTCACTCTCTGCATACTGTTGCTTCAAGTATGGGCGCAGGTTCTTTTCCAGATATAAATTCAGAGATGGCGTGGCACAAGACGATGTCCAGGACGTGAAAGGACAGTTGCTCGCTAAGGTATGTCTGTTTTATTGCCCAACCGCGTTCCGTGACAGACTGTTTAGAAACATAGACATTTCTTTCCATCATTAAACATAGAACTATCGAGAAGACATTGGAACGCTGCGAATTCATAATCGTTGAAGCAACGGATCTATATGACCAGCATGAGCCAGACGAGGACCAGGATACATTAGAGAGCAGATTGATAATTCGATTGCACTGTAAACATGGTATGTACGAAATCTACTCCACGTGCACAGACATGTAAAAGTCTCCGCAGGCATCGTAAAGACTCACCGACTACCACTCTTGATCCCTACATCATTGCTTTTACCGGGTACCTCAGACCCTTCGACTGAATCCCATCTTACAATAGGTCCACGCGCAATAAAAGACATAACGGAGCATTTCCCAAATGCTCGAGGGGCGAAGGGTGATCCTCAACTTGTATGGACCTTTGGAGATACCGACGTTGAGGTGAAGAGCCTCGAGTCCTCTATTGACACTAGAGGTGGGAATGCCTAATCCAGATGGTGGACTGCTCATACTATCTCCCAAATCAGGTAAAGCTCAACTATCAACAGAGCTGACAATCAGCGCGGATGAGTTCGATGTCTATGACGTCTATGCAACCCCAACTATCATCTCTTTTCACCTGCGAGAGTTCAATGCATGTCACCACAGTTAATGTCCACTTCTTACAGTCTCTGACTTTTCTTATCTGACAGGCCACAATTGCTTTCGCGGAATCCATGGGTCTCTGCCTAGATCTACGGTTCACGGATTCTGTGGCCCCTCTCTTCATCGACGTCGAAAGCGAAGAGTCAGAGTGTCTTTTTGTCATATCTACCTCGCAATACGGTGGTTCAGCCGCACCTCCATCGTCAAACTCTACTCAACACAACACACACAAACGTCCTTCTCCGAGCGATGATGGTAAAGGCAGTTCGAGACAGCGAAGCGAAACACCGAGAATAAAGAAACCAATGAAAGCCGTGCAGCGTATGGATGTGCGTACACCTGATGTAACTGCTACTTCAAAAGCACAAAACGATGCACGATCAATGCCACCACCATCTTATATTCCTCAGCACACGTCAGGCTCTCCGCTGAATCAAATGCCGCCTCTTCCTTCGCCGTCTTGGAATCTTCCGCCTGATCCATCCCATGGAGTTACGGTGCAACTCGAGCCTCTTTTCTACCCTCAGTCTTCTCAGTTATTATCGGATGGGCCAAGCGGGAGCCCTGAAGTGGGTCGAGCTAAAGCACGGGATCGGACTCCATTATTTTATCCCCTTTCACAACTTTCTCAGGCAGACAAGGAGGTGATACGCGCATCTGGTTTGGGTATCGAGGACATGAACCAGGATGAACTAACGGAAATGCTCGAAGGAGAGGGCGAAGAAGTTGGCTTTGAGTTCGCTGCGTCTCAGAGTCTTACCAACATGGAAGATGCAGATTCAACTATGCTTTCTGTGGATGATGATCCTGAAAGCTTTGAGCTTGTTGAAGACATCGGCACTGAACTTGGGCCAACGCAGGACGACGTCGGAGGCAGGAAGAAGGTATGTTTTGTCATCCTATGGAGGGCTGGGTGCTAACCCATTGTCTACCTCAGGTGTTTCAGCCTCTGTTTGAAGATTAATTTCGACACACATAACATGTCAGGATTTTGTTCATCCTTTGTTGTTGTGTTTACTACTTATGATTTTCCTGACACACTGTGGTGGGAGAGGGTTTTGTAGAAAATAAATGTCAATGTCATATATGCCTTCCCTTAAGATTCGGTTTATAATACAGTTACGTAATTAACAGATAAGCAGGGCCCGAACTCAAACCGAACCGAACGTAATTGCGAAAAGTTTTAGGTAGCCATTGCTGCCCGAGCCCGATTATGAGGCTGCCACTAGACCATCAACATGCACAGAGTCATTCTGAAATTCCGTGGTCAACCTAGCTGGCGCAGCTCACGTTCCTTCCTTCCCTCCCAAAAGCCGTTCGTTCGTCATAATAATACTGACCTGCATAAGCGCCTGGCCTCATCTGACGCGCCCCAGCGTCCTCAAGAAAAGTCTTGGCTTTGGTATCCGGGGACTCTTCTAGCGCTCACTGGTGTAGGGTACTATGCATATGAGAATCACCAGCCTTCCCGACATGCTGTATTGGCGACTTTACGGTGCTCACGACTTGCGCGTAAGGTTTTACCGCGACAAATTGATGTTCAAAAACACTCAATAGTAACGCACAGGGGCTGCAATATCCGGAGCAATTGATTACAAGCTTACTCTTGCGCGCACCTATACTTCTGAGGAAGAGAGGCTTGAAGCAGTCTCACAATGTCATGTTCGGAGCGCTACGAAGGTGCTGAATGCTCTGTTGGCTAATGGAGGTTTGTTCCAATACGCTGGTCGCGCAATGGACCTCATAGCTGAAATGACGAATTTTAACCAGGCATCTACATCAAATTGGGACAACATATCGCGTCGCTGTACGTTCGGATTTGTGTCGATATACCTTGCAGATTTTAATCACTTGAGAACAGAATTGTACTACCAAAAGAATGGACCAGCACCATGGCCCCGCTTCAAGATAGGTGCGACGCCACTCCATACGAGGGTATTGCAGCACTATTCTTGTCAGATATGGGACAAACTATAGGCGAGCTTTTCGACGATTTCGACCCGATTCCTATTGGTGTTGCAAGTTTGGCTCAGGTTCATGTGGGACATCACAAGGCATCGGGTAGAAAGGTTGCAGTGAAGGTGTGTGCCGACAATTTGTGCTGGTTTGAGGTGCTTACCTTGGTTGAAGGTTCAACATCCTCACCTAGTTGAATTTTTCAACATTGACATCAATATGGTCCAGTCTACTTTGGGTATGAGTGTTCGTTCTTTAGAGCCCAACTCCACTTACAGTTTGTTATAGGCTGGATCAAGTACTGGTTCCCGGAATTCGAATTTACCTGGTTAGGTGAGGAAATGCGGGAGAACCTCCCGAGAGAAATGGATTTTGTGCACGAAGCTCGCAATACAGCTCGTGTGGTCGCTGATTTTGAAAATATCAAGACGTCATTATACATACCCGAGGTCATATCTGCGAACAAACGAGTTCTCATCATGGAGTATATTCAGGGAGGCCGTGTAGACGACCTTGCATACCTTTCACAGCACAACATTGACAGGAATAAAGTCGCGCTAGAGCTTACGCGAATCTTCAATCGAATGGTGTTTATGAACGGGTGGTTCCATGCGGTGAGGTGTTTTACAAACAGTTGAGCCAGGTCTGACTCGGGTTTCCTACAGGATCCTCACCCTGGTAAGTGAATTTCTTTCTATGTGTTTAGCTTGACTGACGTAGTGCAGGTAACTTGTTGATACGGCCTGCTTCTAAATCATCCAACTCGCCCTATAACTTTGAGATCGCACTTCTGGACCATGGATTGTACTTTGATCTTGAACGAGAACTTCGTGTCAACTACAGCAGGTTGTGGTTATCGCTCATTGCTCGCTCGTCGCCGACTGTCGACGCTGACCGTCGGAAGTATGCAGCATTAGTCGGGGACATCACGTCTGATTTGGTAAGGGTTTGATTTTTTTTTTTGGTGGAGCAAAGCATGTCATGATGTATTTATCAACAGTATCCTGTTTTCGAGGCAGCAATCACTGGCAAGCCCCTATGCTGATAGATGTTCCTCTATTGACTGTTTTCATTAGGCCGACTGTCACCCGATGGTATAATTGAAGCAGATGACGGACCCAAGAGCGACACCCAGCGAGCCACAGGCATGCTCGACATGGCTTCCCAGATCGAAGAGGAAATGGAACTAGTTCGCAATACTGTTGCCCCAGGGGACATATTGGTATCCGTACTCGATGTCCTGCGCAGATTGCCTAGGCGCGTGCTGATGGTCATGAAGCTCAACGACCTGGCGAGGTAGGTTCTATCACCTTCTCAAAATTTGCCACCAATCAACCACTCCCGTAGACACTTGGATCATTCACTGGCAACGACTCATTCCAGCGTTGGTGTCATTTTTTTTACTTCATGGTTATATCTTAACACAGACATAATAGGTCAGGATATTCCTCATCACGTCAAAGTACTGCATGAAAGCAGTATGGCAAGATGAGAAGAACCGCTTCCGCGAGGGTGGACTTGGGCTAGGATCCTTCTTGGGTAGCGCTTGGTGCGTTGAATCCTTTGCGTTGACCACACACACTTGATTACATCCACCTGCAGGGTATTCGCAACTGAGTATTCCAAAATCACATTCATTGAATTGATGATGGATTGGCAAGCTTCGCTGGTAAAGTCGAGCGCGTGGTTGCGTGGGTTTTATTCAAGAGGACTAGCGGGAGCGCACGATGCGGCAGCTGGTCTTTACTAGTCAAATTTATGATACATATACAATTAGAAGGTTGTTACTGTCGTGACAGATAGGGTTTTAGACGTTATTTCTTGATATCAAAGAAAGAGTCGATGGTGTTGATACTCTTTTTCAGACAAGCCCACTGCAAGGTGTTACTTGGGACAACTTAGAGATACAAACGGTGGACTAACCTGATCCGCATTCAAGCTAATGCCTTTCTTTCCTGGCTTTTCGTCCTCCTTGTCCTTACCATAAAATTCACGAATGTCAACAAGAATCTTGCCTGCTTTTTGTGAGCAACATCGTTGTATGTAGACGCAAACTATTGCAGTTCACCTTTGAACTCACGGACAGTTACGCGTTTCTTTTGACCCAGCTGAACATATCTTTCACCCTCAGAACTGGTAAAGACCTCCACATCATTGTCATGGGTCGACCTTTTCTTCGAGCCTGTTGGGGACTGACGACCAGTGGCGGAATCAGGGGTTCAAGTACAGCGGTTGTAAAAAAGCGCGTACTTGGTTGTCTGAATGACCAATTTTTGGCTTCTTGATAGTCAAAGGTTGCTCAGTTGCCTTTGAAGCCTGTTTTGTCTTCGTTGAAATCATCGACGAGCATGATATCACAAACACGGTACTTGGCTTGCCTTAGTTTTGATTTTTGGCTGGTCGTCTTCAGAGTGATCGTAGTCTTTGTCTTCGTCGTCGCTTGAGCTCTTTCGCTTGGGCATGAACGTGTTAGACGGTGTTGAAGTGTTGAATATGTAATTGGAAAATATTCGGCTTAACCGTTTTGCTAGAACGCGTCGTTCAACTTATTAATGAGGATGTGGCTGAAGACGCGTTCGTGGGAAACACCTTCCTGGTATATTGTTAGACATGTTACGTCGTCAACTCCCCTCCATTTAGTTTCCTATCTTCTACAGTCGAGCTTTTTAATTCAGAACTGAAGCCTCAACTTCATCTTCCCGCATTCGCTGCGGATCAATGAAGATATCTCAGAAATCAAAGAGGGCGGTCTCCCCGGTCAGTAGTCTAGATCTTATTCTCAGGCGAAACAACTGGTATCTGACCAGGGTCGTGGCGTTTTCAGCACCCTCAAGTAGCAGAGCTTGTCACAAAGCTCGTAAACACCCCAAACGATGATCTTGCCGACATTTTGGCCGATATTGACACCTGGAAATGGCCGCGATCTGATCTCAACGCTTGGACTAAGGTCCTTGATAAGTTCGATGTCATCCTAGAGGAAGCCATCCGGGATTACGATGTGGACAAGTTGCAGATAAACGTTTTCACTCCAGCGACGAAGAAAACTATAAGCCATATTCTTAGGTTTGAGAGGCTTCTGTTGGAGAACTCCACCAATCGCAAAACCTTCAACTCCTATGATGTGCGTCCTTTTCATTCAATCGTCAACCTGTGTTTAATCATTGCTATCATGCACTCAATCTCAGAGGCTTAATTCCCTGCTGTTTACATCAGATCTTGACGTGCTTACGCTGGCACTAAGCCTTCTCCTTCGCCCCGCACAACAATACTCCGCTCAGCCCGCGGTATCGACAGCTCTTAGCATATCCACACCCCGTTTGCTCTCCCTTTCCAAGCGGTGGCCTCATATCCACGAACATGGAATAAGCTTGCTGGATCTTGTCAGTGCAAACGGTCTGTCGCAGGTTGATGTTCTGCCTGCCGAAGCTCGTGATGTAAGTTTCGTTTGTTACCGAACTGACCCGAAGGAGAAGGGACATGGGAAGGAAACCGATCACAGCGAAGCCATACCGTCCAGTCCTCGCAAACTCTCCGTTCCGCCCTCGACTTCACACTCATATGCGTCTACCATTCATATTGACGAAGAGACCCTGAAGAACAAGACAGTCATGGAAATCATGGCGGATGTATTGGAGACGCATCCGCTGAATAACGATGACAAGTTTGAACTCCTTTGTCGTGTTCGATCTGCCAAGGCACTTACCAGCGGCAACGAAATTATGAGAGAGGAGCTTGTCGTCATACGACTGATTTGCATCGCCATCTATGGCCATACACACAACGAGACTCAAGCATCATCGACACTTTTCCTGTATGAGCCGGATCTCACTACCCACATCGCTGAACTACTCCAGTTGGATCGTGGGGTTTCGATACCTGTGCAGACAGCGGCTATCTCAGCACTGGACTCGATCGCTAGGTACCGAGGCAAGGTGACCGAGGTGCTGGGTGCCGTAAATGCTGCCGTCAACCATGGGATCATCATGACGCTTCTGCGAAAGACTATCTTGGAGGTTAGCAGTCCGGAGAGCAGAATCTCAGCTACCTTCGTCGAGTCTCTTCTTTCATTTGTGACCTACCTTGCGCAGCATGTCAACGGGGGAAATATGCTTGTTAGCGCAGGCCTGGTTCCCTTATTGGTTCAGATCATGGAGAATAAGTTGGCTCAGAGACTCCAGATGGTCTCGAAGGCTATGCAATTGGTGGATAACATCCTCTACGCTTTCTCAAATGCGTTCCAGGTATTTTCAAACTCCCGTGGGGTCGAAGTCTTGGTAGCCAGGATCCAGGTAAGCATAGGATGGATCACCCTCGAGCCAATCATCTCACTTCTCAAAATCTGACCAGCACGAGGTCGACTTTGATATCACTATGTACGGCAACGAGCGCTCCAGGGACTTATTTGGTTCGTACGGTGAGTGACTGTTGTGAGTTAGGATTAGAACAAAGTAAGATAATGGCCGCAGGACAACTTCCAGTTCCAAGGGCCGCTGTCCTCAAACACACGTTACGCTCCATACATCGCATGATGCAGTCAACCGGTACATCTGAAGGGCTGCGCGGCCTCATTGATTCCACTCTGCCACAATCAATCAAGAAGATCATGGAATATCGTGGCCTGTTTGGTCCCAATCTTCTGCCTCTTGGTGAGCACCCTGTATGTTATGCAGGTTTGATTGATTAATCAATGCCGATGAAAGCCATGAACATAATGGCCACATTTATTCATAACGAGCCGACGTCGCTTGCGACGATTCAAGAAGCAGGCTTGCCTCAGGTGTTTTATAAGGTGATCGAAGCAGGTTTGGAACCTGTCATTGAAGTGAGTACTATCTTTCTACGATTTGCACTAACTTACACCTTCCTTCAGCTCATCCAAGCTATTCCCAATGCAATCGGGGCGCTTTGCCTCAATCAAGTCGGTCAGGATCAGCTTGCAACTCGCCCAAGCGTCATACCTGGCATTATCTCGATCTTCACTTCTGAGAGCCATATCAAGGTCCTTCGTGAAAAGGAAAACGCCGTACTAATGGGCACCGCCATTGACGAGTTGATCCGTCACCATCCAACACTCAAAACTCCTATTTTTGATGCTGTCAAGTCTGCGTTGAGTAAAATCGAGGATCTCGGGAATGCTTTCGTGATTCCCGAGGACAAGAAAGAGTGGTATGGTCTCATGCTTGCGTCGCAAACTACGGACAAGGACGACAAGGACGACAAAAGCGATATCATTCTGATGGATGTTGTGGAAAGTGACGTTCGTTCTGATGCTCAAGGGGACGCATCTGACGATGATTTGCTGAGGAGTCATGACAATAACATAGTTCTTTATGTAGATGTCTTGTGCCGAGTGAGTTGTGCATACTTCTTTCTCAAACTAGCATTCACGGTATTTTGTACTTGGCAGTTTCTTGAGGGTCTGTTTCAACATACGCAGCATTGCAGAGATTTCATCAAGAATGTCGAGGGTCTCGAGCGTATTGGCAGGCTCACTGCCTTGCCATGCCTTCCATATGATTATGCGAATAGTGTTGCTTCAGACTCGCTAGTACAAGTTATTCGGACGATGGCGGACGTAGAACCCAATCAGGCACTTCGCCATCTTTCAAAACTTGTGGAGAATTCCCTTTCCGACTCTCGAAGTTTCTGGGCGACTCCTCAGTCCCACTCCATGTTGGCGCCTTTCATTGATCTTACAGGTAATCTTTTTTCCGCGATGTGATAGTGAGAGCTTGCTCAAACATGTTCTAAAGAGGAACAGGAAGGTGCAGCAAATCAACAATTCCGGAGCCTGGTGGCCCTTCACATCCGCATCACTGTCTTGGCTGATGTTTTCTCTACTGCTGGCTATGCACACGGAAGGTCTGCAATCGGACTTCTTCAGATTCTCATGAGCGATCCGCCGAAAGTCGTCAAAGAGCTAGGTGCCCTCCACCGTGCATCAGTGTGGGAAAACATCGTGTTCAAAGCCGACATGGTGGCCAAGGGGATGGAGGTGGGTCCGAGCAGTCAGGGATCTCCCTTAGGGAGATCGCCTAGCCATGGTTCGATACCTCTCCCTGAGCCCAATGTTGGCGTTATTGCCAACGGTGTTCAGCCGGGATTGGTGTTACCCGCACAGTCATCGTCGCCTACATCACCGAAGATAGACACATCGCGAGAGAAGAATGCCAAGGCTCTCAAGCACCTAACGCATGGTCTTCCAAGCGCTTTGGCTCCCTTTTTCCAGGGTTCGTTTTATGGTTCTACCTAACTTTCAAGGCAAATGACTGAATGTATTCTTTCAGCTATCGTAAAGTTGTTCTATGCGAGGCGAAATCCCGATGCAACTCAGAAGAAACAGATTCTATCTGCCTCAGCAACTATTGCAGAGATCATGGTGGAGCATCTAAAGTACGAGGTCGAAGGTATTAATGTGCCCCAAAAAGATGATTGCCTGCTCACTGTAACCTTCGTAGGCGATCGAGTCTGTTGCCTAGACTATCACAGTGTCATGTTGGGACTTGCGACGATCTTAGTTGTCGACGGTATGTACTCGTTGCTTCTCCTCTCGTACTCGAACTGATGTTCTACAGAGCGGACGATGAATCCCACTCTTCATACCGTGTTGCTCCTTGCTTTTCAGCGTGCAAAGGGCTTGGAAGCCATCTTCACAATCTGCAGATACTTCACTGACTTGGTCGATGGCGTAACGGCAGTGAAACCTGAAGATCGAACAGAAACTATGCAGCAGGAACTTGCTCATGCGCAGGGAGGACTGAAGGTTGCATTGAATCTTTTGCACCCATTACTTTCTTCGAAGCCACTGGTCGAGTCTGGCCAAACGTCACTAGTCACAACTCGGGAGAAGAAAGATACGGAATCCGGTTATTTTGAGCCTCACCATTTCCTTGTCGAGCTTCGCCTCGAGAGCATACCCCTGCTACGTAGGATCTGGGAAGCTTCTTGGCTTCGTTCATCCCCTTTGACATTGGTCAGGTCGGTCGTTCAGATCATGCTCGAGGTGACGGCAGGTGAGAATGAAGAGCTCAAGGGGGATGCTTCCCCAGAAGGTCTCAATAGCGGAACTGGCCCTCCTGCTGGTAACGGCTTTCATATTAGGGCCGCTGGGCCAGATGAAAATCGTATCCGTCAGCTCACTGATATGGGATTCCCTCGCTCTGCTGCCGAACGTGCTCTTGCCCGCACTCATAATAATGTCAATGCCGCGACCGAACTACTCCTGAGCCAGCCTTACCCATTTCCCCCTGACCCGCAGCCAAACGGATCTGCCGCGGAGCAAGATGAGACAGGTGATGCCCTTGCGGACGGAGGCGACGAGGATCCCTCTGATGAAGAGATGGATGTCGAGGACGCTGCCCCGCCGGCTCTTCCAGCCGAGTCTACCCCGCCTCCCCAATCGACTAGCGAAGAGCAAGGGAAGGGTCTGGAGGAATTACGGAAAGATCTCGACGAGGCAAGGGCGAATTTGAAGAAAGAGCTACCTCGAAAGGCCTTGCAACTGGTTGATGAACATCCTTCGTTGATATTCGAGGTTCATCGGGCATTCACGCACCCAACTGATGAACTCCAGGAGCAGTCGATTCGCACGTTGATTGACGACATACAATCATTCTCACCTGCGGCTTATGACGTTCATGAACAACCGCTGGCTGCTAGATGTCGGTTACTTGCAATAGTTCTCTCAGAATCCCCAACGCTCCCGCAAGCCCTTGGACAAAGCTTGATGGACACCCTTTTAGCTCTACTCCTGTCAAATTCTGTCCGCGAAGCTTCATCTCATCCAAAGTGGTTGGCTTCTCACCTCCTTGTGACGGAAGCTTTGTTCACCATAGGCGAGCAGCCCTTTACTGCTGCTGTGCCGAAAGAGAATGAACCCGTGACCACTCCTAACATTTCTGCTGGCCCAGCATATGCTGATGCCCGACCCATTATATTCGATTTCTGCCTCCGGTTACTAGCTGATCCCGACCTCCCTAGGGATGAGCTGTTGTCTACGCTGCGCCTCCTAGTCTTGCTCACAAGAGATCACGGCACAGCATCTGAACTCATCAAGCACGATGGACTTCCCCATATCTTTTCACATCTCAAAGGATCTGCTGTTCCTGGTGGTCAATCTTATGCGGTGATCATACTTCGCCACATCGCTGAGGGGTTATCTGTGCTTCAACACATCATGAAGCAAGAAATCAAGCGGCTATTCTCTCAGCCACGCACAAGGATAATTGACATCTCAGGATATATGCGTAATTGCAGTTCAATGGCTCTCAGAGATCCATCTACATTTATCCAGGCAACTCAGGACCTTTGCCAGCTTCAGCAACCTTTCTCCGCAGTCCATCATGTTACCCTCAAGCCTGGAACTCCGCAGCCGAGCACCAACATTGAAACCGCAGAGCGTAATGACATGCAGATCGACCAACAAGCGCCGCCGGATGTTCATGAGCCTGACACAGAGGCTTTGGAGACAATGGTACATTTCCTTATAAGCGAGTTGATGAAGAATGTGCGCTCTTCTTCTGATAATGATGTCACAACGAAGCGCGAAGATGCAACACAGAGCCCTTCCGAGAGCGTTGATGCAAGCATGGATGATCTAAACGATCAAGACCGGCATTCGTACTGCTGCTTTATTATGCAATGCCTCACAGAATTGCTTTTTTCCTACGACGCCTGCAAACTCGCGTTCTTATCCTACTCTCCGAAAAAGAAAATGTCAACTCCTGCCAAAGATCCCACTACCAAACATCGCGCAGCTGTCCTCCAGTTCTTCCTTTCTGACCTCATAAGCTTTAAAACCATTGCTTCCCAGCCATATGCGAAAGCGAACCAAGCGTTCTCTCTTTGTACTTGTGCAATGTCCGTACTTGTGGCTCTCTGCGTCGACAGCTCTGCAGGGGTGGAATCCAAGGATGTTTCCGCGGACTTGATCTCAGTCCGCAAATTCACCCTAGAAGCCATTAGTCGAGCCATCAAGGAGTTCACATTACAGGACACTGTGGATGCGAGATACGGGCACCTTCTCGCTTTGGCGGATCTATGCAACCGACTTCTTACTGTACGCTTCAACAACGGCAGCCGCAAATCGCAGGACGAGAGTACAACGCACATTGCGAAGATCATGTTGGAAAAAAACTTTGTCTCAATCTTGACCAGCGCACTAGCTGAAGTTGACCTGAACTACCCGAATGTTCGTGGTCTTGTGGCATCGATCCTTAGGCCAATGGAAAACCTGTGAGTGTAATCGTGCACGATACGATCAGGCGCTTATCATTCAAATAAAGCACACGGATTGCCATCAAGATGAGTCGCGCAACTGAAAAGGCCAAAGACGGTGGCGATGGAAAGGTTTCCCACAGCGTAGTCTCCGAGGACGAGGATGAAGATGAGAACATTGATGTGGATGACGACGATCGAGAAGAGACTCCCGATCTGTATAGAACTTCTGCTCTAGGCATGTAAGTCGGAACCCTTATTCACTGCTCAACCCCCGCTCACTTTGGTTATGTCGTCTATAGGTTCGGAGGCGTGAGTGAGTTCTAAGTCATTCTTGATATCCAATAACGGTGATTATAGGAGATGGAAGATATCAATTATGCACAAGAGGATGAAATGGCTGAAGGAGACGACGACGAGGATGAAGACGTTGAAATGGAGTATGGCGATGAGACTGATAGCGCAGCGACGTCAGATTCTGAGGATGAATTGGAAGGTGGCGGGGATGATGATGACGAAGACAGCAACGGAGGTGAATGGCACGACGAAGACGAAGAGTACGAGGAAGATGACTTGGTCGAGAATGAGGACGGCGAGGATGATGATGAGCCTGCAGCTGGTGAAGAGGGTGATGAAGAGATCATGTGGCAGGTAAGTCTACGACAGTTGAGATGTTTTCATTTCTCTTACGGATTTCATAGGATATCCGGGGAGGGGATGACGAAGATGATGAAGTTGCTGATGAAGAAGAGGAAGAAGAGGAGGAGGAAGAGGAGGAGGACGAACACGGAGGTAATTCATCTATACTTTGACAAAATCTCTTGCTGAGCATTGGTAGAACCAGTTGCTGTCATTCATGCAGATCAAGGAGAAGAACCTGATATATTATCAGACGATGAAGAGCAAGTCATGTTGTATCGCTATGATGCTATTACTCACCCGTCGTTCAGTTTCCATGATGAAATGGGTGTCATTGATGTGCAAGGCATCATCCAAGATGGGGGATTCAGATTCACCGGTGCTGTTGACCTTGAGGGGGAAGAGCTTGATGACCGGGATCCCTTCATTCGCAGGCGCCGTAACAGTAGGTGAAGGAACTTTTTTTTTCATTCGAAAACTAAGTCGTGCTTAAAGCGGGCGAGGACGTTCAAGTATTCGGTCGTCCTCGACATGTATCAGCTGCGCTACCAGAAGCTACTGTCCACCCCCTTCTTTTGGATGCCTCTACAGGCACGAACCGTCCTGTTGGCTTAACTCGCGTGGCTCGCCGCTCTCACAGGGGCGCAGCTGGGGGCGTTCAACATGACCTTATACACTCCATCGAAGACATCATTGGGGGTGATGGAGGTCAGATCTTTCAAACCATCATAGACCGTCATGGTCCGGAAGCCATAAGAGTGGATGTCACTCCTGGTGCCATGGTGGATGGCCGAGGATTCCTTGGCCGAAGGGGCGCTACTCTATTCACTGGGGTCAGAGTCGACGGTGTGCGGGTGGATCGTGTGTCTCGACCAAGCGATTCCCGTGGCGATTCTCGCGCGTTCGATCCCCTGTTGACAATACAAAGGTGGACCGAAGAAGCCAAGACGTTGAACGGCAAGCACGTTTCCGAAAGAGCAAATAGGCTGGGCAACCATGTCATCATAGCGTTACTTCCAGCCGCTATCGAGGCCTCACAACAGAGGGAACAGCAGAAGCGTCAAGCTCAGATCAAAGCAGAAGAAGCGGAAGCGCGCCAATTGGAAGCTGATCGCACTGGGGTTGAGGAGGCTGCAACTTCTGGCATGGTAGCCTCTCATACAAGTCCGGAAAATATTGCGAATGCACAGCCCGAGCCTATCACATCTGATCCACCACCTCTGACCACCATTGCTTCGAACTCTGATGTAGAAATGGGTGATATACACTCCCTTGCTCCGCATTCTGACGAGCATGTCGCAGCTCGAGCTCCAGAAGCCTCCTCGGAAATCACCGCTGCAGGAGAAGTGCCAGGGCCTTCTCAACCTGCTCCCTCTGAGCGTGTTATTGTGATGATCCATGGTAGCGAGGTGGATATCACTGACATGGGCATTGATCCGACTTTCCTTGAAGCCTTACCTGACGATATACGAGAAGAGGTCATCAACCAACATGTACGGGACCAACGCGCAGCAAGGGTTGAGCGCCCGGCCGACTCCCAAATCAGTCCAGAGTTTCTTGATGCCTTGCCACCGGAAATTAGAGCCGAACTCATCCAACAAGAAAGGATGGAGCAGTCCAGACATGCTCCAGTGCCTGCACCCACACAAGGCCCTCCAGGAGTTGCAGCGGATATTGATCCGGCAAGCTTTATTGCTAGTTTGGATCCACAGCTCCGACAAGTTGTTCTGATGGATTCTGATGATGGTTTGTTGCAAACTCTACCGTCTTACATGATTGCAGAGGCTGGTGTTTACCGCGATGAGGTAAATGGATCTCGAGGCGGTATCGCTGCTCGCACTCTCAGAACTACTGCTACTGCTCAACGCCCTCTCCCACCTCGCAAAGTCCCCGCCCCGCGCGATGCTATTCAGCTTCTCGACAAGGCTGGGGTAGCGACGCTCGTTCGCCTACTCTTCTTCCCTCACGTTCTAAAGAAGAATCTGCTTTTCAAGATCTTGGTCAACATCTGCGAAAATAGCAAGACCCGTTCTGAACTATTCAATCTTCTTCTCAGTATTCTCCAAAGTGGCCCAGGGGACCTGGCTGCTGTGGACAAGAGCTTCGCGCAAATGACAACTCGTACTCCAAAATCTGCGGTGCTTCAAACACCTAAAGCCGCTGCCAAGGTGAAAACAGCAGCGGACCTCAGCACACCAGTGGCGATTGGCGGCTTCCAGATCGAGACAGTCCCAGACCTCGTCGTGCAGCGTTGCCTAGAAGCTATGACCTACATCGTCAGTTCAAATGAACAGTCGTCGCTATTCTTCTTGACCGAACATGAGCTCCCGGCCGGTTTGAGGAAGATGCCCTCTAGGAAAGGTAAAGGCAAGGAGAAACCAATGCCCCAGACGCATTTCCCAATTGTATTACTTCTTGGCCTTCTTGACCGACAATCACTCCTCAAAACACCCTCGACAATGGATTCCGTCGTGACGCTCTTATCGACGGTCACCAAACCTCTGACAAGTCTTAAATCGGATAAGAAGGAGCAGTCAAATGACGTTGCGCCAGAGACTTCCACTTCTGTGGCACCTGCTGGTGCACCTGCAACGATTACCTCTGGGGATGCCGAGGCCCACGAATCAACTGGTCAGTTTTCAATTATGGGTCCACATCAAATCTGATGTCCATTGACAGCAGCGTCAGTTGAACCTCTTAAGCCTGATGTCCCAGTAGAAACTCAGACAGATGTGAAACCCTTACTTGCTGTTCCCCCACAAATCCCCCATTCGGTGTTGCGTTTGATCGTGAACATTCTTGCGGTCGGAGAATGCTCATCACGCACCTTCCAGCAGTCTCTTGCCTTGATACAAAATCTCTCACACATTCCTGACGCGCGCGATATAATCGCGCAGGAGCTTAAAACAAAGGCGCAGGACTGTGGACATACCATCCTTGCTGACCTGGGCGATCTCGTGAGTGCCTTGACGAGCTCACGCGATGATGTCTTGGCATCCTCCGTCGCACCGAAATTCTCGTCGCCATCCTCAGACCAGACGAAGCTTCTACGGGTTCTCAAAACCATTGACTATATGTACACGCCCCGCGTGGTTGGTCCCGTGACAGACGAAACTCGGAAAAGTGAAGATGCTGAAAAGGTGCAGACTATCTACGAATCCTTCCATTTCGCACCTCTTTGGAGACGCTTAGGAGATTGTCTGTCTACGATTGAAGAGAAGCCAGAGCTGGAGCACATGGCAATTGTACTGCTCCCTCTGATCGAGGCACTGATGGTAGTGTGCAAATACGTAGGATCAAAGTCGGCCGGGGCTCGTGCCCTTCGAGCAGCAGCATCTCCTCGCTCTCCAACGACTTCTCGGGAGAGTATGGAGGACCTCTTCGTGTCATTTACGGATGCGCACCGCAAGGTGCTGAATCTCATGGTCCGCAATAATCCGTCTTTGATGAGCGGCTCATTCTCCTTGCTGGTACATAATCCCCGTGTCCTCGACTTCGACAACAAACGAAATTATTTCACTCAGCAACTTCACCGTCGCCCGCACCCCCGTGAACACCAGGGCACGCTCCAGCTAAACGTACGCCGAGCCAGAGTGTTCGAGGATAGTTTCCAGTACCTTCAGCGCAAGACGGGAGAGCAGATCAAACATGGCAAACTTAGCGTACGCTTCTATGACGAGGAGGGCGTGGATGCTGGTGGCGTTACCCGAGAATGGTTTCAGATCCTGGCACGTCAGATGTTCGATCCTAATAACGCTCTCTTCCAACCTTGCGCGGCCGACCGTCTCACTTACCAGCCTAACAAGAACTCATGGGTCAATCCCGAGCATCTGTCTTTCTTCAAATTTGTAGGCCGCATCATTGGGAAGGCGATCTATGATGGCCGTCTCCTAGACGCCTACTTTGCGAAAAGCATATACAGGCAGCTCTTGGGAAAACCCGTGGACTACCGGGACGTCGAGTGGGTTGATCCCGCGTACTATAACTCGTTGTGCTGGATTTTGGATAATGATCCAACACCCCTGGACTTGACATTTAGCGTCGAAGCGGATGAGGTTTGATAATCTTCCTTGCATTCTACTCGTGGCTAATCTTCCCAACAGTTCGGTGTGAATCGTATCTTTGCTTTAAAGGAGGGCGGAGAGTCAATACCCGTAACGCAGGAGAACAAGCGAGAGTTTGTGCAGCTCTCCGCAAATTTCCGACTATATTCGTCAATCAGCAAACAAATTGAGAATCTTGTAGCAGGCTTCCAGGAGATCATTCCAAATGAGCTTATCACAATCGTAAGTGTGTTTCATGACCAACTATGGCATGCATGCTCACGTATTCTCTTAGTTTAATGAGCAAGAGCTTGAGCTACTCATCTCCGGCACTCCTGATATCGACGTCGACGAATGGCGCGCAGCTACTGAGTACAGTGGCTACACAAGCTCTGACCCCGTGATAGTTTGGTGGTGGAGAGCTCTCAAATCCTTTAATCGAGAGGAGCGAGCCAAGGTCCTTAGTTTTGCTACTGGTACTTCACGGGTACCGCTTGGTGGTTTCGTGGATCTACAAGGTGTTCAGGGCGTTCAGAGATTCTCCATTCATCGCGCATATGGAGACCCGGATCGATTGCCACAGGCCCACACTTGTAAGGCCCCCCGTATGCGATTGTATTTCATTTTCTAACTTTGTTCTTTCAGGCTTCAATCAGATTGACTTGCCGCAATATTCTTCGTACGAGATGTTGCGACAACAATTACTACTCGCCATTAACGAGGGCGGGGAAGGATTCGGATTTGCATGATGCAGAGTATCTCAATGGAGAATAGATATTGATCACCGACATGTAGAAACACACATTGTATATATAAGCAATTGCATATTCCTCAGCACTTTTGGAAGTTCTTGTTGGCTCTTTGCCCATTGATATTATCAAACGTTTGCTTCTTTCCTATCATCGACCGGGATTGTTAGTGGACCTGGGGCTAGCGCTCACCCTGCGAGACAGAAAAGCCAACATCGATGCCGAGTGGATGAGATCTGAGGACTGCGAGTAGGCTATATCATGCCGGTGAACAATTGAGCACGCTGAACTGGTCGCCTACCAGTGGCAAGCACTGCTGGCCGTCCAGACAGTGTAGGAGGCAGAACTACTTAAGAGTCAGTTGTAACTTGTGAGCAAAACTCTAGACTATGCATGTAGGGTTATGACATTCCTAGTAATAGATAATAACATCAACGTTAGTACCTCGTCCCATCCATCATCCTCACCAAAGTTGCAATTAACCTCCACCTTGAATAGCCTGTGGTATATTCCTTGTTCGACACCTCGTCCAAACCAAAAGCATTTCCCTCGAGCACGCCAACTTCATCAATGCTTTGAACTTCTTCGGTCCTCTTCAACTCTTCGAGAACTGCAAATTCAACAGCAACATCATCAGGCGAGATACTCTCTGGGCCAACAAGAAGATCATTTGCATCATGAGGCTCGGTCAAGAGATCTAGAGAGGAGATGCTTCAATGATCTCGGCGGTGATAGTATTGTCAACCTCTTCACGAGTGTGCATCACGTAGTATGGCGCGTAGCCTCCGGTTTTTATAGTGCGCTGTGTCAATTAAGAGATTACACCATTGCATGGATTGTGTTCTGCCGAGATCAGCCTAGTGAGAGAATATGCCAGAGGCAAAGAACTGCAATGCTGCGTGCGTGGGTGTGACGCGAGGGGGCTTCGTTCAGCAATATTATATGCACCATCTTACTTCAGAAAGAATCCAACCAGATCATCTCTAGGCGAATCTCGGATACCCTACCAGGGAGCACACAGACCGGCTTAGGTCTAGACCTCCGGCAACCCTGACCACGTGGAAGGACAACCGGTTATTGTGAGTTAGCAATACCGCCTTGAACTCAAGTGTTTCTGTCTAATCGTCATCACAACATGCGAGCGTATGTGGTGAATAAGTGGGTCCATCCGTCTGAGCTCAAGCTTGTCGACAATGCGCCAGAGCCGAAAGCCGCAGGCGACGAGATAATTGTGGATGTATATTCGTCAGCTCTGAATTTCTTCGATGTGAGATGCATCGTTTCCACAATATCTCCAGTTGTTCTCTGACGCAGTTCTCATCATACGTTAATAGATATTGCAAGCTCAAGGAAAATACCAAGTCAAACCTCCATTTCCTTTCACCCTCGGTGCGGAGTTCGCTGGCAAAGTCGCCGAAGACTCTCCGATTCCAAAGGGTTGTCCCTACAAGCCTGGCGACAGAGTTTTTGGTCAAGCACAAGGATGTTTTGCAGATAAAGTGGCTGTCAAATGGCAGGCTGCAAATAGGCTTCCGGATAACATGACTTACGATCAGGGTGCAGGTGTGTTGAGCCCAAAACTATGGTCACTCGCCCGAATTTCCACATGTGCTAGGACTATTCATTACATGGCCGACTAGTTACGAGGCTCTGGTTGGTCGTGCAGAGCTCAAGCCAGGTGAATCCAGTCATCAAGTATGTCTTGCTCGTGCGTTAACAATCCATTCCAGGCGAATCTATCCTCGTCCATGCAGCTGCCGGCGGTGTTGGCATTGTTGCTGTTCAATTGGCCAAAGGTTTGTCCTCTTCCGAAATGGATTTCCGTCCTTTGATTTACCGTATACATCAGCACTAGGTGCCACAGTCATTGCTGCAGCTGGATCGCAGTCTAAGCTTGATATTTGTAAGACGTACGGGGGAGCTGATTATACGGTGAACTACACAGAGAAGGACTGGCAGAAAGAAGTATTGCGGATCACCGGTGGTAAAGGCGTAGATGTAGTCTATGATCCAGTTGGGCGAATTGCTGGTGAGTGCTATCTTCGCGAGTAGGATCTGGAGCTACAACTCTCATTTCCGCCAGAATCACTAAAATGCATCGCCTTCAAAGGGAGAGCCCTCGTAGTCGGCTTCGCTGCGGGCCAGATAGAGAAAGTATGCATTATCTGCTTTGCATTCATTACTGCTTACCGAACACGTCTGCAGCTTCCGCTAAACATGGTACTACTGAAGAATATTAGTGTTATGGGCATCTTCTGGGGCTTGTATACCTGTAGGTCTTATATTGCCTCAAGGTTAGACAGAGCCTGATATCTGTACAGCCAAGGAACCATCTCGAATTCCCATAGTATGGGAGGAACTGCTAGGGTGAGTAACATATGTGTTGTTCGAGGTCGCCCGCCTGCTAATGATATCGATTTGAGGTTATTCGCTTCTGGTCGCATTAAACCTATAATATACGACAAAGTCTTCTCCCTGGACGAGGTCACAGTAGGGTTGGATGCACTGGAGAGACGACAAACGTGGGGCAAGGTGATTGTGCGTGTCAAGGACGAGGAGCAGAGGATCGTAGCGAAGCTTTAAGCCTTTAAGCATCTGCTAGTAGTAATCTGCTTATCTTTTCGGAATATTGGTTGTTGGGTGCACGGGGTCCTCTTTACACTGAGCATTGGGTTTTACTCAGATGCCGCTTACCTCCAAACCACGACTGTAATACTTGATTGAAGTCCTTCCATCCCACAACCAGTCATGCAGACATATGAGGACAACGAACCCATTGTTCGAATACGCGATTACAAGCCAGACCGAGTGGATTTTGTACTTGAGAATGTCGACCTCGCGTACGCGTAGCAGCTTCATGCGATGAACTTTGCTGAAATAAACACGCAGATTCGCAAACTTCTTTTCGACGTGTAGTACAGGCAGACATACCAACCATCGGTCGGTGTCCTTAAAACATGTGATACCCTGCGTCTTGACTAATTTCCCCTAGCGGTCGACATGGTTGAGGTAGAAGCAAATACAACAGTGCTACCCGATGAATTCATAGCACATCGCATTGGAATGGTCCCGTTGGTGAGCGCAAACTGCGATGAAGGTATAAGATACACTCGAGTACGTCGCGCGCTTTCACACATATAGTCCACCTCACGATGCTTGTACAGGACTGCCTGTGCCTGTCTGGCTGCCAGTACTGCTCAATAGAGCTAAGGCTGGACGTCTCGTGTAATGATAATCGCACAATGGACGTCACTAGCAATCATCTTCGAGGTCATACCGCCCACCTATACTGAAGGAGAAACTCCTGGCGACGAGCTCACGAAAAGGGGAGAGGATTTCGGGCAACCGGTGGGGAAAAGTATGACCTACCTCTCTCGATGGATCCATGTGCTTACTTTGGCGGCCACCCAGATAAGGCTGACGTACCACCAGTCCTCATTTGCAAGATACGGAAGGGTCAAGAGCTTAAATTACGATGCGTCGCCAAAAAGGTGCGCGGCCACCTTTATGTAGTTCTTGTGATCTCACAGTTTCAACAGGGTATAGCAAAGGAGCACGCAAAGTGGTCACCGTGTTCAGCAGTTGCGTTTGAATATGATCCCTACAATAAATTGCGGCACACGACATATTGGCATGAAACAGATCCACGGACGGAGTGGCCCGTCGGTGAAAACGCAAAGGAAGAAGAGGCGCCAAGAGACGACGAAGTTTTTGACTTCAATGCGAAGCCAAGAAAATTTTATTTCGATGTTGAGACGGATGGAAGTCTTGGGCCTCAGGAAGTGATCATGAAGGTGCGGGCCCCATTATATGTCTTTCAGTACGATCAACAAACTCACACTCTCCCCGCTCCTATGGTATAGGGTCTTGCGGAGTTACAGACCAAACTTGCCAATCTAATACTTGGTTTGAAGGAAGGAGTGGATCTGCCGACTGGCGGGGATGGAGCAGAGGCTGGGGTGAATGGTCATGTCTCTGCTGGTGGTTGGGCGCCGCAACCAGGTGATGGCGGTTGGGGCCAGAATGCCGCTTCTGGTGCTGGATATGCAAGTCCTGCTGGTGGTGGCGGCTGGAGCACTAGTGGGGGTAGCGGTGGGTGGGGCACTACTAGCCCAGCACAAAATACTGGGGGAAATACTGGTGCATGGGCAACAAGTCCTGCGCAAAATGCGGGAGGAGCTCCCAATACTACTTGGGGGACGAGTCCAGCTCAAGCATGGGGAGCTTCAAGTCCGAATGCAGGAACTGGGAGCGGTTGGGGGACGTCTACTCAACAGGGTTGGGGTAGCCCTAGTCAACAAGCCAGTGGTTGGAATCTATGATGGGTGTTTACTTTTTCAATCGCACGCATTTGATTTGGACGGCCGTATTTTCGTGAGGGTTGATCGATGATCAGGTGTGTGTCTTGCCGTTTGCTCGAACTACCAGTACCAGACGATGCCCAAATGATCTGTTAGAAAAAGATGTCTGCACTTGCATTGGTCTTCGCGAGGGAGTTCCAGGCATCTCGGAGTAGTGGGCGGAGGTCGAGCTAGTCATTTCAATAGAATGAGTTGTCAAGCAAACTTGGAAGTGTTTTCGAAAGACCTGTGCGCAGTCAACGTCAACTGGTGTCGAGACCCGATTGAGAAGGAATCACGGAGAGATAAGAATTCCGGACAACCTTGATACACAGCCACTTGAACTTACCAGCAGATCGTTCCGAGTTCCGAGTTCCTTGATAGGGGGATTGGTAGGCCCATCGAGTGAAATAGGGGGAGCTCATCCATACTCACCCCTTATTGTTCTAGGTATAGTCACGAAGTTGGGCATCGGGCAGAGCACGTTAGTCTAGTCATGATTGGCAATCATGAAACTTTGCAATTGTAAGCAACTGTTCCTTTCCCAGATAAGGAAATTAGCCTAAATTAAATCTTACGGCCCACAATGCCAACACTTGGTGTAAGCACAAGGCTTGGGTCTACCGAGGGTCAACGAGTCTACGGAGATCGTCGACGCTTAGCGATGCTCGGATCACTTGAGTACCTTATGGTGTGCGAGCCTCGTGGTTGACCTTATGACAAAACTCTGTTTCTCTTCGTACACTCGGGCTGTACTGATGGCTCTAAAGAGGTTTAGTTGCAGCGCCGCATGGACCATTACATAGGCTCAGTAATGGTAGTCCTAAACGTACGAACGATAGGGGTAGTGACGACAGAGGCTCAAAACCGCCCCCGCTCTACTAGCCTCTCTCTGGCCCAATATTATCCCAAGGAGGGGTTCAGGCTCGACGGCGCTCTGCTGGCAGCTTCTGATGTGTGCTTCGCTTCGATGTTTCAACGGGACCGAACGTCCGCTTAGTTCAAACGCTGGCAGTATTACGAACAGCAGGATGAACCACGCAGTACTCTGTATTTGAAATATCGTCGTAGTCTTAGCGGCACCGCACAAGCTTATTTCATGTATATAGGTACACCAATGTTATGTAAGGAGCGAGCGCGATACGTTCTTCTTTTACGTACAACAGAGTCGGCTAGAACGAGAACCTGCCGCTGTACATGTGCTACCGGTTTCTTCCATCCGCCCAGGCTCACTTTTGCCACTGCAGACGTAGTACCACCGCGCGGCCGCGGCCCCTTTAACACAGCGTGTTAGCGATTAGGCTCAAGAACTCTGCCATTTCTGTGCTAGTGCCCGTTCCTCTATATCTAGAAATCTTCAGCGAGAAGCTGAGTCGATTTCGAAGACTCCTCGAGAACGGTCATCTTTTCCCGTTCACCCAAGTTCTAGCTGGCTATGAGCTCAGACTAAACTTCTAGCTGGGACTTCAGAGGCTAGTAAGTGGAGCCGAGGGTATTGCAGCGACGGCACTAACGATGACTAGTACCTGTCACAGTGAAGTTATGGTGTCGATAGCGATAACGGCGAACACGCCGATCTAATCGTGCCTCCCAGTCAAAGATAACGATTTCATGCACCTGTGCCCACTTTGAGGCCCTACTTCGAAAATGATGTTGGTACCATGCCCCAAATAATTCAGTTTGAAATTGGTTGCAAATGGCTATGTGAGTACAGGCGGCGAATGGTACCCCTGCCACGGTCGCTTTAAATCAAGGGGGTGCATGAATCAGACATCAAGTCAGACTTTCCATATAGTATTATGTTCTGCAGCCTGTCGCGCTGGAACGTAAGGTACTCGTTAGCCGGCAGAAAATTTACAAGAGAGAGCTATCAGTGACTCTCGCTCATGTTCACCACTACCTGCAGCGTAGGGGGACATATTTCAAATATGTGAGATGACTAGACGGAATGATGTCAGAGTATCGGGTCCCACAACTCTATCACCCTTGATGCACAGCAATTACCAGTCCGGATTTACTGTTTGCTGTTTGAACCTGAAAACGATCGTGATAACGCACATTCAAGGATGTATTTAATTGTCGCGTGCACGACTCCGAACAACAGGGCACAAGACTGCAAGTAGGATTAGGACCCGACAGGCAACAGTGAATGTCAATTTTGCAGAACATGCGAAATGCATGTATTTACCTACAAAATAGTTACTAGCAGCATCGAGGAGTGGATACGAGTGAATTTTTTTGATCTTGGGGGAGGAGGATATGAGCGCACAGTCGGACTGCCGAGCCGCCAAGCCGCCAAGTTTCAAGTTCCATCAGGACCTGGTAATTTCAGGAATGCCACTGCAGGCGACAGTGTTTGATTAGAATAGCGATTGATACGGAGGTGATCTATATCTGATAGTGGATGCCAAGCTGGTACTGTGTGATAAGGTCCATTCCGAATTTAGCCAGCGGGAATTCAGCAATACCTGGTCTATTGAAATATCAAGTTAATAGTCCTGAGTCGAGGTACTCAGGAAGCCGCATTTCGGTCCGGCGGAAAAACAGAGCCTCCTTCTCGCCACTGCTTCAAGTACTTGTGCATGTAAGGCGTCACAATTCGTGACATCTGAAAACCTTCAATAAACAGAGACGTACTGCAAGTGATAGCATTGATGATTTTCGAGTTACTGTGTGCAAAAAGGCACCCATAGGCTCGCGGGGCATGCAGATAATGGTATCGTGTGAACGGCATTAACACGCCAAGGCGGTACTCATGATATGGAGTCTGGACCGTGAAGTTTAGAGCGCGAGATCGTGTATGCACAGTGCCGGTCATCATAAACGAAACGCGATGCTACGCGTGGCTTCACATTCATCCGCGGTCTTCTCGCACCACTACGGATCATCGATGCGGAGCTTCACTGAAAATCAAACGACAATCATTCTTTCAGTTTGCTGGCAACAGAGAGGAAATCACCCGTTTCGTGTACATCATGATATCTTCATTTGAAAATAGGCAGCCGTATGGCGTGGCGCGTCGGAACATCCTATTCATAAATGTACTAGCCTTCGACTTGAAAGATCACGATGCCGGGCGATGCATCTGTTGTAATACTGTTCATAAAAATGGCGAGTAAGCTGAAAGTGTTCCACATACATTTCTGAATTGTTGGCCGCAACAACAAACACAATATGTGATATGATTGCCAACGTACGCACGCGGGAGTGGGCCTTGAAACGCTTGGCGTTCGTTCGGAGTTCTTTGCGTTACAAGCAGCGACAACCCCTCGCGAGCTCAACACCCTGTCTCAATTTCCTTTTTTAAACTCAGTACCTTGCTAAGTCCAATTTTCATCATATCTAAAAACTGTTGGCTGACATTTTTTTAAAAGTCGTCTTGGCTCCACTTGAGGCGATACAGATGATCTCGTAGACTAAAGTATGCCTATACGATAGAAAGCCGGGAGTAAGCCCCCCGCACTCGTATAGGGCTATGTCCGACATAGGGTCTCCGACCTCAAAGGACAATGAAATTGAAAAAAAAGGTATGCCTAAGGAGTCTGGAAACCTGGACGAGCATGTGGCAATGGGGATTATTGTCAAAGTACGCCGGCGAGTCTGCGGGATCAATCGATCATCTGTAGAAGACTATACAGACCCAGTACAAGGTAAACAGGGTAGCGATATCGGAGGAACACGATCCAGCATTATCACAGCATGTCAGGCCTGATCGATCGATCTATCGACATATGTTATGTCAGTTTATGTCGGGTTGGGTGCTCTCCATTCCGCCGGAGAGGCATTCAAGTTCGTAGTATCCTGCAAGATGAGAATGAGCCTCTGAATCGACAGTATTCGCAACTTGTGTCCGGCCTTTCGCATCTAACACATTGTGAGGGTGTCATACATGATGCATGATGCGTGAGCTCACTAGTAAACCTGGAAAACAATTCTCACGTCAGACAGAGATGCTGTCTGTCGTCGCCGTAAGTACCAGACCGCCAATAAACACGATTTTGAGGTCTGTGGTTATTGAGGTCGTGAGTGATATGGTTTTTCGAAAGCCGAACCAATTAACGTCGACATACACCCGAGGACCCTTAACACTGTGTCGAAGCCCACTGCCAGATGGGAATATAATAATAGTAAGCGGTGTGCTTACGAGGGGCGCAACGGGATTTTGGGTGGCGTAGTAGGCTGTGCTGGCGTGTGTAAAGAATTTTGTCACTGAAGCGCACAAGCTTGCAATTGGAGAAGTTACGTAATAAGATCCAATCCTGGGTATTAATGAATGAATTGTGTTCGTCTTCTTCTTCGGAGTGGATTTAGTCCATTTTCTCTGCTCAAAACAGTAACCAGTGGTTAACGTTATACTCGGATATCAATACAACCGCAGTCATTCTGAATGCGGCTCTCACGTCCTTTTTTGGCCATTTGTATTCTGATCTTTCCATCTTGATGGGAAGATTGGCGCGGCGCCACCCCGGTTATTCTCCATGACCTTATCAGATTTAGCGTCTCGCTCGTATCATTGTGACGGTTTCTATTACGATCTGCGCCAACGGGTAAGGTTTTCGGGACGCCAAGCAAAGGCGCTGAAGAGCCAACTACAAATATCTCCCATCTCATCATTTTCATGGAGCTAGAGCTGCCCCCCCAATTTTAGCATGACCACAGAACTCCAGCCTATCCGCAAAAAGCGGACCACCTCAGAGTCTAACTCTACTTCTGACGGAGACCATCGCAAGCGTCGACGCAATCGTACAACTCAGTCATGTCTTAATTGTCACACATCCAAGAGAATGGTATGTGCCTAACTTAGTACATCCTCCCCAGAGCAATCCTGAAATATATTCGTACTATAGTGCGACCGGAAGCGTCCTTGTGGCCGCTGCACACAGCTAGGCCTGGTGAGGGACTTTACATGAAGCATGTACTGCTATTGTCTGACAGAAAGTGTCATATAGACCGGCCTGTGCGTCTACGAAGTGGACGATCCTTCCCAGCGAACCGACGTTCAAGACGAGGGTTCGCGCCTTCGTCAACGAGTTGCCGAGCTTGAGGGAGTAATACGCGAGGTTTGTATGCTCATACCACAGGAAAGAAGTATCAAGCTCAAATATTCATAACAGTTGAAGAACAAGCCCCATCCCCGCTGGGTTCAAGCAGGTTCGACCCCAGAAGTAGAATTCGAGAAGTGGCATGCCCGTTCTCAGTCTCGTTCGGCTGCTGAGCAGCAACCGACTGAACAACAAACCGAGCCGCAAAGCACCTCTCCGTCTCGCACAGATCAATTGGTATCGGGCCCTTTGGATGAGTCACATTCGTCCCCTCGGCTTTTATCCCCCACACACGCACGTCCTGCCCTGACTTTTTCCCAACCACCTGTCGACTTGGCAAACACATCTGCATCATACTCTCCTTACTTCAGTAGCATATCATCTCCCTTGAGCACACCCTCTCCCTCTATAATGACGCCCACCGACGAGTACGCGCAAAATCGAGCTCTCATTGTGGGAGAGCAACCGCCCGCCGGAGAATTCGATTTTGCTTCTATGTTCGTGTCGTATCCTTTGGCTGGATATGAAGACAACCTGGGACACAACAATATTGCCGATGACACCTGCAGGTCTAAGCCCTGCTATGATACTTTTCCACACGGTCATTGCCACTGTCTGACTGAAGGATCGAGCTACAATGTAGTGCTCGAGCTTTCTCTCCGCTTACGAAAAGCCGCGGATATCCTAAGCCGGTCGGCTTACCATCATCTTGCATCTAATAATTGTACCCTTAACCAGCGAATTATGGAACTTGATGCTATTGCTACGTGAGTTCACTCATGCTTACACTTTATGTCAACTTATCATCATTCAACAGGACGACACTAGGCAATATTGCTACACCACCCAACGATGTCGAGCAAATATATCCTCAACAACATCCGTTCTCTCATAAATCCATTCCACCATCGTCTACGTTTGATGCATCATCTGGTCGCACTATGCCTGTTTCGACAGTCTCTCCGCACACTTTGCAAGGAATTCGCTCGTGGGACATTATGTCATGCGTATCGGATTCATCATCTATCTGCGAAGACTCATTTATGTCATGGGACCCTTCACGACGTGGCTGACTATGTAACACGGACATTTGGATTGTAGTATTTGTTCTCTTCAGCTATTCTTGTGTGTGTGTAGAATTGTGACCTGCCCTTGGCATACTGTGACTAATACTTCTAGAGTGGTGGGCATTGTACAATATACTAACGAGCAATATGATATCTGTAATTGTATTGAATATCCGTATCATGGCCGTCACACGCCTCCCATACATTCGTCTCCTGAAACTTCCTCTCCAGCAATAAAGCAACATTTCTCAAACCGAACACAGGATTCTCGGAGCCTCCTGATAAGCGACCTAGTTGTGAACGCCTTGTAATTTGTCCTTTCTAAAGGGGCAGCCGTCGGTTACATTGTATTCAAGCAATGACTACAGTCTTGTATATGCTTAGTGGTCAAACCGTCGTTCCCATGCACCAATTAATTAGGTCACGAGCCGCAAGGAAGTTGATAGACCCCGCACATCTTCTGGAGGTGGAATGATCTCAAACGCGGCTGCGAGGCCGTGCGAGGAGACAACGATGGCAATCGCCTTTATCAAGATCCAAAGTTTGAAATTGGGCGTTATCTTCCGATGTCAGAATATCTTTATTAGCCTAGCCAGAGACACTCGGAGCTCCATTCAACATAACTTTCCATCAGTAGGCAAATGCCAAGGAATCAAGAAGCCTACTTTTATCTCGAAGCTCTATATATTCCCTTGGACTTGTAGAACACAAGTTCCAATCAGAAAGGATGAAATGTTCGGGCTAGAATTAGAAAATGTATCACAGATCATCTGAGCAAAGTCAACTGGCTCCTGGTATCGAGTCTGGTGCAGATTTTTGGTGATATATTTGGATGTATCTGGTAAGACAAACAGCCGAAGCGGAAAACGGCTACACCGTCTTGAGCCGCAACATCGCCCAGAAAGGTCTGGAGAACAATATTTACCGATGCGGCAGTCACGCACTCACGATGAGAATTGCACCGAGTTGGAACGGATGGCTACGTTCTGCACAGGTTGAGCGCAAATTTGAACAGCTGTGCAACATAAATGTGTCTGTGCTGAGTATTGCTCTTCCTACTAGTAGTCTGACCTCGAGAGCGTACTACCTATTGCTTGCTTAAAAGCTAATTTGCTCACTTACCGGGTATATTACCTAAAATAGTAAATATCATAATGCTTACTCATCAGAAAGTTTTGGGACTCCGCGATCACTGAGTTCGCGTTGCACTTGTCGTTCCTTCCAACGAACCAAGCAGTATCGTATCATCAAACATGGCATCTCACTTGGTAAGTGTCGATAATTTATCATTATGAGTTATATCTTTTCACACCGTCCAGGCAAATATCTTCGGAACAGAGCAAGATCGTGTAAACTGCTCTTTTTACTACAAGGTACGTTGCGATTTACTGTCGCTTATAGTCATGCTGATCACAACCAATGGTTAGATTGGTGCTTGCAGACATGGCGACAGATGTTCAAGAAAGCACATAAGGCCACCATTTTCGCAAACGATTTTACTTCCAAACGTATACCACAATCCCGCCCACGATCCTGTTTGTAAGCTCACCGAGGCTGAGCTGCAAGAAGGGTTTGATGCTGTGTATGAAGATTTGTATTGTGAATTAGCAAAGTTTGGACATTTGTTGGAATTACATGTAAGTAACTACACTCAATCCGACATTCATGGTAATTTTAACTCCATCAGGTTTGCGATAATGTCGGGGACCATTTAATTGGGAACGTTTACGCTCGGTACGAGTGGGAAACCGAGGCACAGGCAGCTGTAGACAATCTAAATGATCGGTGGTATGCAGGTCGGTTACGGGATTCTTCATGGCCGGGATACCCACCTAACTTGTGCCTATCAGGACGCCCGCTGTATGCGGAACTCTCTCCTGTAACGGATTTCCGGGAAGCGTGTTGTCGCCAAAATGAGAACGGTGAATGTAACCGTGGGGGTTTTTGTAATTTCATGCATCTCCGCCTTGCCTCGAAAGAATTAGTTTCGTCTCTCCGCGCGGGACAAAGACTAGAGAGGAGACTCCACCCTGCCAAGACGGAAGGTGGAGGGGGTGGGTGGGAACCGAGCAGAAGGGAGGGCGGCCGTGGCAGAAGTGCTAGCCCATCTAGAAGAGGCGGAAGTAATGGGGAAGATCGTTGGACAAGAAAATAGTTCTATGTAAACCTGGCCTTGTCCTCATGCCTTAAACGTGGCCCAGCTAGGCGTAGATTAATTGTTCATCTTATGGACACTGTGAATCTAGTTGTCTTGCGTTTCATTATTGCGGCACCGAATACTTCTCACCGAACCGCTTGAAATGATTGGAGGTCGATGTGGTGAGCAACAGATTAATGACGTGTGTATCAAGGCTGCCAAGCAAGTAAGGAAGCAATAACTTTCTTCGGAGATGTCGTTACACCGTTGTCCAAGAATCGAACGTAAGAAACCTGTGTTAGAGAAAGTTGTAATGGAACAGACGTCATAAATTAGGCCTAGCCTCAGAGCCGAGTAGCTAGTACTTGTCAATGATGACTGCATGACAACTACATGTGACTCCACAGTTGAATACAATGAGCCCCGTCGATTAAATAACAATTATTATATGTCATACAAGGCACCCGCGGTAAATTTCTCGACCGCCGGGTTGCACCAGACCAGGCCACTGGACTACGAAGCTAGAAGGCGAATAAGTTATTTTCGCTGGAGATAACACGACGATCTCACCGATCGGTAAAATGATAGAGCAGCTTTCCAGAAAGTGACAGAGATTTGACACGGGCGAAAGACTCAACGTACATAACCCGTGGGCTAGGTAGTCCGATAAGCTGATTCGGGTCAATTTTTCCAGATCACGAATCAAAATTATGCAAGCATACTTTAAAAGAAATCTAGAACTTACCCTATTCAGAAAAATCGTTGCGCATAAAATGACACACGTTCCCGGGCCATTGAGGATCAGAAGGTCTACAAATGGTTGCCGGAATGCTCCTTTCGTGAACAATGGGCGGACTGAGACAAAACGCATGCAAGCCAGTAGTGATCTGACTGCGTCTGGCGGTGTACTAAGCAGTGACTGATGCACGCGACGCGCACGGGGTATAAACAAGAGCTTATACTGCGGTTGATCCTGTTTTGAATGGATCAGATCCGAGGGCTTTGAAATGTTTCGACACATTCCGTACATCGGAGAAAGCATGATCAGCGGCTTTAATGTGCTCCAAGGCAAGAGCTTTTTGTGCGCTAAACGTATCGCCTTCACTGACTATGTAAGTCCGTGGGGAGTAACGATCAAAATCAAGCGCAGAAACCAACTTCAGTGCTTCACTAGTATGCCCCCCTACAACCAACATAATCAAGCTGTCCTGGAGGACCAGTAAATAAATGCTCGACTTTACCTGAACCAAGGAAAATAGCAATGCTGCAGGTCTGTGAAGGCCTGGGGTTTGCCGAGGCGAGCCTGATGCGTGTGTAAGAAAATACGGCAAGAAATAACCTGATACAGAAGAACAGGAAGAGGAACACGAGGGTTGTTGTACAGCTGGACATGGTACACCTCTAATGCTACTAAGGATGGTACGCCGAACGTTCGAACGTTAACCTTCGACCCGGAACTGGAGGTAAGTTCAAATAGATTTCCGCCAGGCCGAGGAGCAGGTTCTTTCAAGTTGGAAAGATCTCGTGGATTGTTGAGCCTGAAGCAACTATTCGGCTTCAACTTGAAGTTGACAACGTTGAAGGATCGAAGGCGTTGACTCGGCACGTAAATTACAAGGCCAAACGATTACTTACCCGGTAAAAGCGTGGGAGCGGCATGGAGTACTATTAACATTAACAAGTTACTAGTCACCGACTATGCCACAGCTGGAAGGCCGTATTTCGGTATCTGATCCTTCAAAGTTCTCATCTTCGCATTCCAGAATTCATCTCTGCACGGCGCTCCGATTATCTCCAGCTTGCATTTTGAGTTTGCTCTTGGCTTTCTTTCAGATTTTCTCGAACCTTACCTCTTCCCGTATATCCGAGTCTGTTCCGTAAGGAGTTTGCAGACAAACTTGGCTTTTTCGCTATCTTTTCCCTGACGGTCGGTTCGGCTCAGTATCTCTTCAGGCTCTCTAACCGAGTTGACATCGGCCGGCGGCATCATGACACCTCCAGTACCTCTGATGGATGCCAGACTTGTTGCCGAATTGCGGCAGTCAATCCAGGACTGCACAGAAAGAGGGCTATCAGTTGCATCCAAATGGTGTTTTTTTTTGAAGCTGATGGTTGGATGGGGCTGACTTTAGATCTTTGTATTTCCTAGGTCCTCTGAATTATATTACGCCATCCCTTCAAACAAACGTGACACTTTGATTTCTGAGGCATTTACCACCTTTTCAACATCTACTCCTGCGTGCTCTCGGTCTCCTAGACCATCGTTATCCTTTGCAGATCCATCGCCTGCTTCCAGTGCTGCACTATGCATGCCTGTTACTCCTGGAAACCAGTCCCATCTTCCGTCACACTTCCCTGTCGTCCGTGCCCAAGAAACCGAGTTGGAAATACAGGATGAAGCTGCCATATTTGCTGCTCGAGCTTTCATGACAGCAAAAGAATTTACAAGAGTCGAATTCACCGTGAAGAATTGCAAAAGTGCCAAAGCACAATTTATTTATGTGTATAGCTGTTTCTTGGTTTGTCACGAAGCCCTGAATTTCAACAACAGCTAATATATTCATTGAAGGCTGCAGAACGAAAAGCTCAGCGAGACTGGTACAGACAAAATAGTGAGTTTATATCCATGGCATCTTCTATTGCCTTTCGGAACCCATGATTGGTAGATACTCGAGGACAACCCCCCGTCCCCATAAATCGTCTACTTGCAACTCTTCTAGACATGGTCAAGAATGCTACAGATCCCTGGCTTCTTTTCCTGTAAGTTCACCTCAGGCTCCTCGTACCATCTCTATAGAATCTTTGTTTTCATTTTTCTAGGAAAGCTGTTTTCTTATCACGACTCAACCGTCGAGAGGAAGCCATTGAAAGCATCATACGGTCCATCAGTGGCTACCACTGGAACTGGTCGGTATGGACCCTCTTGTGCAGTTGTGTGGGCGATGGTGACGAGGTTGGTTGAGAGCATATCAAAGCATACATTTGTTGATGGCCGTTAGTTGACAGCACTTCTTCCGCTGTTGCCCCTTCCTGCAACTCACCCCCTCATTTTAATGTTTCAAATTCGCACGATGAACGAGCTTCACAGTCCATCAGAGAATGAGCTGGCCATGTGCGATCGTCTTCTTGGGGATGACTGTTTCCGTGACAGTGCATGGGTCATGAGTCTACGGGCATGTGCCTTGTACCATTTGCATGGTCGGTCCTTTGCTTATGAACCAGTGCTTCATGTGATCGTGATAGAAAAAAAGACTTTGGACAGGCAGAAAAACAATTTGAAAAAATCCTGGCCATTGCTCCGCACCGTATCGATGATATCGATGTCTACTCCAATATACTCTATGTCACCGACAATCGGCTGAAGCTTTCTAGGCTAGCGCATGAGTTTCTTGAACTCGACAAAGATCGACCGGAAGTGTGCTGCTTGGTTGGTCAGTCATGATACGAAGCCGTAATCATTCGTGTGTGTTGACCTTTGGAACGCAGGGAATCATTACTCTCTTCGCGCAGAACACGAGAAAGCGGTCAAATACTTCAGACGGGCGACCGAGCTGGACCGAACCTATTTGTCTGCGTGGACGTTGATGGGCCATGAGTACGTCGAGATGAAAAACTCACATGCTGCCATCGAAGCATATCGTCGAGCAGTTGGTATGTAATTCACTAATGCTGGAACCGGTTGAATGCTCATTATATGTTCCTGAGATGTAAGCCGGAAGGATTACAGGGCGTGGTATGGTCTTGGCCAGGCTTATGAATTGCTAAGCATGCACCGATATGCGTTGTATTACTATCAACATGCTACTGCCCTCAGGTTAGTTTTTGAGACTGCCCTATTTATGTCATAGGAAATTGATATTTCACCAAGGCCATATGATGTCCGTCTGTGGCAGGCCCAAGGTGCTTGTTACGAGGAGATCGGAAGGTCCGTTTTTGTCCTCGTTCCTTGGAAAAAGGGCCGGTGATAGAGCTACCATACCCACAGACTGAAGGAGGCCGTTGAATGTCTGAAACGTGCTTTACTTGGTGCCGATCCCCGCGAGACTACCATCCATATGAAACTTGCCAAATTACACGAGGAACTGGATGACCAATCGGAGGCCGCGGCATATCACCGACGAGTTGTGGAAATCTGTCGTATCGAAGGTTTGGGTTTTTTTCCTTGGCCAAGCTTCCGTCAAGTTACCCTAGTTCTGTAGAGCGGCCTGTCCAAGACTATGCCAAGTCAAGTATATTCGTCGCGCGCCATCACATGGTCATTGCAGGAGGGGATCTATTGCTTGCTAAGGATTACCTGGAACGTGTCGCAAATAGCAATGCTGAGGAAGTTGGTCAAGCATCTGATTGGCTGAAGAAGCTCAAATCTGTCCTCATCACACGACCAGCCATCCCGATTACAGAGGAGACTTCTGGTCATTGAACTAATCGACGATTAAGTAGTGTACCTACTCTCTAATGTTTTTATTACACAAAATATGGACCGCCCCTTCGGAGAGGCTTGCCCTAAATTCTGCTGTTCGCGCGGTCACGGGGATTGTCACAAGGCAAAGCATCACAAACACGACAAAGTCAAGAAAATGTTGAATGCGCCGAGCTCTAGCTCCTCTCTGAAACCAGTCGAAAACTCGTCTAACGTAGCTACTTCGTCACCAAATGATACGTCACCTCAAAGTTTTTCTTCCTCTCTATCGCAGGACCTCGTCGCAGGTCTATCATCTCTACACATTCCCATTGTAAACGGATCTACCAGCAATGCGGCATCTGGTCTGCTGAGCTATCTGAACAGTCGAACGGCCGAGGACATGTGCATAATCAAGGAAACAGCGGAAGGGTATGTCTCGGAGATTCATAAAATGGGCCTTACTCATGCTCCGGACAGTTTTGCGTCGTGCCTCGCTGCTGATCATGCAGTAGTGCTAAATCCCGACGTGGATTCTCCTTTTGTTGACGCAGTAGACGTTGTCCATCGGCTTCTTCCCTATCACGTCTTCCAACAACCTGAAGAAGATCTGAGGATCGTTACAGAAAGGAGACGTGCGAAAGGAAAGGGGAAGGCCCGCGATACGATCCGGGATGAAATTGAAGGTAGGAAAACACTGTCACTTACTTCATAGTGGTAGAGTTTCTTATTTTGCTTGTCATAGATACTGAATTTGCCCTGGAATGTCACCGTCGACTGAGGAAACTTGAGTCGCGATTTCGACGCGCCAAAATGAAGTCCGGCATGGTTTGTTCTTTCTGTCTAGCGGGCTTTCATTCCCTGACTCTTGACTATGTAATCCTTAGCGCCCTTCTCCAGATGATCAAGGATACGTGCTAGCTCAAGCTGTGGTGGAGTACGAACGGGCAGAGACATCATCTGTCAGCACAGAGTTACGCAATGCACGGAACGAACTAGACGCGTCACAGCGTGAAAAACGCATAGCAGCCAATGTTACTGTCAGTTCCTTTCGTTCCACCTATTATCCTCAAGCCTCGCAAACCCAGTACTATCGCACGTACCCATACGCATTCACGCAACCATATACCAATACCTCTCAAGGGACTACAAATTCGAGTTTTTACTCGACGCCCACATCAGCTCCTTCGGCCGCTCCCACTGCAACATCGGCTTCTACTGCAATTCCGGTACAACTTCCCGTCAGTTCGTTGCCTGCCCTACACGCTCTCGGAATAGTGCCGATTCCTGCTACTTCTCTCCCGCCCGCAGATCAGCCGCAGCCGCCAGCTGTGCTACGAGGGTCTACTTCCAATGGAACAATTTTGAGTCTAGAGATAAATGTGTCACTACTACAGTCGCCGCAAGTGAGCGGGCTGGCATATTTATTGAATACTATGATGTCGAGGGGTACAACTTCTGGGCAAGGGAACGCTAGTTCGACGACAGGGGGGCAGCCTTCGTCTGTAGTTACGTCCGACACTGCGGCTTCATCACATAAGGATGGCTCGTCTGGAGAATAATCAAGCAGGGAGATGGGCCAGCATAATGGGGGCTGGCAGTAGGACAATCGTTGTTCCTGCTCTAGGGTAATACCAATTATAGTAATAGCTTGTTGTACGCCGTGTTAGTGAAGGTAGTCTCTGGCCTATAGTACATAATTCGTGAAACAGTATCATTCCAGCTGTGTGCAAATAGGTTACTAGCAAACTCGAGGTGTGCACGAGATGGATGTTGAAACGTTGACAGCCCTTATTTACATCTACATCTGCCTCAAGCTTAGTGCATCTAGTGACCTGTACACTCCTAGGTTGCGTCCCAATCGACAGCTCTTCCTCGTTCGCTGTCAGTCAACGGTGTTGTATGTGACGTGAGATCAATCGGAACATGCCGCACCCATCGAATACATGATTCAAGTATAATGCGGGCAGCCGACAGATGAAATTAACAGGAGATGACCGAGTACAACGGTAATACAATATGCATAGTATGTTTCCGGTTTGAAAGGCGCATTTGCGAATGAAGATGTGGTCCATGGAGTAGAAGGGAGGAGTTCGGCATGGACCAATGTTTATGACAATGCACCGCCCAGACTGCCCAATGTCGTCAACCACCATGCTCGATACAACGCGCCCCAGCCTTCCTCTTCGATAATCCTCTTCCCACAATCAATCAAGCTGACATATGGCTCCCTCTCGGTTCTCAGGCTAGAATTGTGAATTGTTATATCAGGGAACAAAAACGAGGGTAACATTACATACCCGATGACATCCTCTTCCACGCCAGCGTACTCCGTTGCTTCATCGGCATCGCCTTCCTCCTCTTGTGAGATGGAGTTGAATTCAGGGGCTGCGTGGTTCCGTTGGATAGAAAGTCTGATGGAAATAACTTCCAATGGGGTGAGGATGATTGTGCTCAGAAGCATGATGACGAGGAATATGGCGAGTTTGACAGGGGAAATTTCTTCTATGCGAGGTATGCCTGGGTTCGCGAGTTCTGGGAGAAGAAGCTGCCGCATTGATCGCAGACCAAGAACAATGTAGGCGATGTGGGTGACTTGAGCAGCAAGGAGACCGGGAGTGAGATAGAGAATCCAGGGTCTCCGACGTTCCGTGGGCGTCAATAGAACACGGAGTGAATAAATTGGATTGAAGTACGGTAACTTGTGTGGCGTTGTAATTGCACTAAGAAGCCGGGTCATTGTAAATTAGTTCAGAATGTTGGTGTCAAACGAGCCGAATAGAACGAACTAACCGGTTTGTGATGATTACCTGAGGAAGAGAAACAAGCATGGCGAAAATGCTATAGACGAGTATGCCGACAACGCCTGCATCAGGGGCACTGTATGTTCCATGGCGAAGATTACTGTCGCTCAAAAACATCATCAAGAAGAAGGTGATGACGAGAGTTGACAACAACGAGGGCACTAGGCGACATGCGTCAGATGTGGCATGATAATATTATGTTAGGCTCATACTTAATCCCTTGTATAGTCCTGGCCAACCCTACAAGATGTTAGAGCGCCGGTTATCTGGATATGCGGGAATGCCCACCTCGATTCTATGTACCCTTTTCAGCATTGAAAAGAAGGATGAGATGACTGGGCCAGTATGGGGCTGCACACCGCCCTCTGCATCAAGTTGCAGACCCTTTGGATTGTAGTGTGCTCTAAAGCGCACCAATGCGCCAGCTAATGGGACCAAGATGGCCAGTGACAGGGCCACTGATCCTAACAACGTCATCATATCGAAAAATTCAAGCATGATAGGTGCAGTAAGGAGGGAAATAAAGCAAAAAATAAGGAGAGAAACACTTGGGCGCCGGTGCTGGGGCGTGCGCAGTCCTGGGAGTTCGGCAAGTGCCTTGACACAGCCAAAGTGGTAATTTGGGTGATAACCATCTTGAACTCGAACCACCACCATCTCTTGCGGTCCCTCTACCTTCAATAAAGGCATCCACAGTTCACTTGCCCCTCTTAATTTTATGTTTTTTCTTCTTCTCTGAGACGTATTTGAGTGGCTCGTGTTAACTTGTTGGTGATCTTTCGAATTTTTCAGACACTTCAGCGAGTTCCTAGGTTCAACCCGTTTTCTATGTTGTCTGATTTTTCTCCCGGAAGTTCCCAGGTTTTGCTGCCATTGTTGTAAATTCCAAATGGGCCTATTTTTAGTGCTATAGCAGCACTCTCTCGTGGGCTTTTTTATATGGGATCACAAACTGTTTGGGCTTTTCATGAGTGTGACTGCTGGGCTGTATCCCTCCTCCATCTGCATACGGAGTCTCGCTGGGTCTCGCTAGATCCCATCTCTTGATAAATGATCATTTGGATGTTGGTCATTCAATACTGATACGCGTTATCATCCCTCGGTTGAAGTGAGTAGATCCTTTGTTTCTTTCAATCAAACTTACAGTTTGAGGCAGATATTCCTTCGCAAGGAACTTGATATGATCAAGTTCAAAGTTTAATTGGCACTTGGTGTTCGGGACATGGAACTGTGCGATCTTGATCTACTCATGATCCGTTGATCGATTCTGAGTATTTGTGCCACACATCACTGTGCTAAACTCTTCTCTATGTGCGTCGTCACCTCTATGTGCAGGCTCTTACATCTTCATGTGTAGTTCATATCTGATAATAAATCTTTCAAATTTGTTTTCCATCGTCGACTTCTAGTTTCCGAATACCAGAGACGAGTTACTATTTACCTCCCCGCTGCGTCTGTCGAAAAGCCGGCGTGCCCACGGTATCACCACATATTACTCCGGTCCTTTTGACAGGATCGACGGTGGACACGTTTGCTCTATGTGCATGCACCTTCTACCGACGCAGCATGTGTTCCGTGACCGTGCAAGTCTTTACTCCCCCATCCATGCGACGGCTTCAGTGTCCTTACATACCGTGCACCTATCTATTGTACAGCCTTTGGCTTTTCATGTCTATTATCTAGTGGAAATATAGTTTTCTTGTGCCACATCCATTGACTCTCCGACGTTACGGGTAAATGGCGTACATCCGATTTGCCTCCCACCAACTTGTAGGCAACAACTTTAAAGTCCTTTGGGTTCTTCTCATCCTCTCTCGAAAATTTATATAACTCAGTATGTCGTCGTCGTCGATGTCTGTCGACGACGTCACAAGCAGTAGAGTTAGTTGAGAGCTCAGCTTTTTGTATCGTTTTCTCACAAAGCGCCCGTCGTTTCTACAGAAGACGACTGCAGTTGGCGGACTAAGGTTCCAGAAGAAGCCCAACAAAGATGGATCTGAAGCTACTAACTCCTCAGCAGCTACCAGCAACGTCGCTTATCCTTCCTTTGTCCCTCCTCCGCAGTCCCGAGATGCTACGGCACCAGCGCGATACCATCCTCCAGCGACTCCGTCACGAGGCATAGTCCTCGTCCCCAATTCTAGCCCTTTACCTCAAGATGCAAGTCATCATCAGCCTTACCGACCACATCATCTCCAGTACGCTCAGGGTAGTTCCTCAACGACTGGCCCTAATCACCCCAATCTGTGGAGTCAGTCCGGTCCCTCAGCCGTGCCTGACGTCCTGTCCTCATCAAGTGGGTTTGTCCACGGTGGTGCTTCTGCTCACGCGTCATTCACGCGTCAGTCGCGTCCATGGGCTGGAGATGTGAGACCGTTATCGGAAGTTGAAAGTTTTGGGGATGAAGGTCCACCGAGAAAGCGTATAAATCGCGGAACACCCTCTGACTCTCTACCGCTCGGGATGGTAACCCCTGGCTCTCCAGATATTCAACATCCAGGGCAAAGGCGAAAACAGAATGTGAATGCAGAAAGGCAATCGCATTCGTCAGATGAATCAATGCTGGACGTCAGGCCATCGCTGGAAGGACCCTCGAAGCGGATCGTTCGTGGCCAGCGCCCAGACCACACTGACTCATATGTGTTCACTGTATTCCAGCTTTCGCACCCTGGTCATGACCTAGCTACCCTCAAGGCTGCTTGGAATGAAGCTAATGGGAATGACAACAAGGCATCCTTGCTCCTCTCTGATTCGTCATGGAAGCCCCAATCCACATCTACTCCATCTAATTCTGCCATCGCCATAAAAGCACCGTCTACGCCAGCGCTAGAACCACCTACTGTCGAGAATACCGGGAGAGTGGAAGAGGTCGATGAAGCCACCAAAACTCAGCGCGCTGCTCTCCGGGAGAAGGCCAAGAAATCATCCATCTATGCTAACAGAGCTACATTAGATACCACACGATCCCCTGCGATTCACAACATCCCTATATCCAGAGCTATGTCGCCTGCATCCCCATCCACACCTGCCATCATGGCCCCACGCCGCAAGCGACCAAAGAAGTTGATCCTCTCCGACGACGAGGCCGAGGCCAGTGAAAGCGAGGAGGAACTTCCACGAACCCGGCAGAATGGAGAAATTTCTCGGGAGAGGGCAGCGTTTGAGTATTTCAACCAGGCCAATGCAGACGCTATTCAGGAGTTAACTGGTAAATCTTTTCCACTGCTATCTCTATCAAGTGCAGCTGCTAAGACCACAAAAGGTTGCACCCCAGAACAAGCACAGAAGATCATCGAGCTTCGGCCTTACTCTTCAATAGCGGACCTCAACACCAAACTTAACCAAGGCAAGAAAAAGGCAGGACCATCTGGAATCAGCCCCCGCATGTTCGAAGACTGCCAGGAGATCCTTCAAGGCTATGACACTGTTGATGGCATCCTCGAAGAGTGCGAGAGAATTGGTTCGACTTTGCGCGCCGCTATTGCGACTTGGACTACGGAAGATTCGTTAAGCAAAGGCAAAGGGAAGGAAGCGTCACTAGTCCTGGACCAAATCGAGGAAGGCTCGTTGAGTCTACGTGCATTGAAGATATCAAATGATGCTGCATCCAAGGGCTTTATCTCATCTCAACCCTCAATGATTGCGGAGGGCATAACGCTTAAGGACTATCAACTTCTTGGGATCAATTGGCTATTTTTGCTCTATCGGAAAAAACATAGCTGTATTCTGGCCGATGAAATGGGTTTGTGCTCCCTCAGTTTGAACAGCAAGGACGCTCACGAGAGTACCCAGGTCTCGGAAAGACCATACAAGTCATCAGTTTCTTCGCTCTGCTCAAGGAACGTGGAAATTTTGGCCCACATCTCGTCATTGTGCCGTATGCTTAACCGTCCCTTGATGGTGTACTAGCTTTAATACCGTTTTCTTGCAGATCATCAACGCTGGAAAACTGGTGTCGAGAGTTCGCTCGGTTCGCACCTTCGATATCAGTGCAAACTTTCTATGCCGGCAAAGAGGAGCGAGCAAACTTGCGACAGATGCTGATAGACACACGGCGGGGATCAAGCAAGAATGGGACGGGGTGGGAGGTGCTTATTACCACTTACAACCTTGCACAAGGTGACGACAAGGACCGCAAGTTTTTCAGGAAAATGGAGTGGGACGTAAGTCAAAATATTCGCTCTATATCATCCGAGTTTTTACATGTGACCAGACTATCGTTTTCGACGAGGGACACGTCTTGAAGAATTTCCAGTCCCAACGTTATCAGGCATTACTCAAATTTGAAGCAAAATGGCGACTCCTTTTAACGGGCACTCCTTTGCAGAACAACCTCCAAGAGTTAGTGGTGAGCCTAATCTTTCGACCTGCTCAGTTCAACTTCACATCAACTGTCTAGTCATTGATGAACTTCATCCTTCCGGGTATGCTCTCGGAAAAGCTAGAGATCTTGCGAGCGATCTTCAAAACGAAGGGCGATGCCAAGGTTACATTACTTTCTCAGGAGCGTATTTCAAGAGCTAAGAAGATGATGACGCCGTTTGTCCTTCGACGGCGCAAGGATCAGGTAAGTTTATGACGCTATCATCATGCTTGATGTGTAACCTTCTTTTTATTACAGGTTCTAAAGGACCTTCCGCTAAAGACCGAGCGGATAGAATGGTGCGATATGACCGATATACAGCGATCGATATACCACGACGCTCTGCAACGGTCGCGAAAAACGATATTGGATGCAGAAGGTCCCACCCCCGATGCATCAGGTACAACGACGCCAGTCACGAATGGCAAAGCTGTCAAAAAGAAGGCGAAAGCCAATCATCGTGCCAAGGACAAATACCTGGAAAACAGCTCCAACGTGCTCATGGATTTACGCAAGGCAGCCTCACATCCTATGTTATTCCGCAAGTTGTTTGATGATCAGGCGTTGACTTCAATAGCGAAACAACTGCTCAAGGAGCCAGAATTCAAGAAGCGGGGCGCAGTCTTCGAGTATATCAAAGAGGATATGGAAGTCATGACCGACGCAGAGCTTCAGTTTTTCTGCCAGGGCTATAAGGTTAGGGTTGATGTGCTTTGCTGATGCGGATGCGCCGTACTCACGCTGCGCAGTCGACCCGAAAATTTCTCCAGGATCAAAACTGCTATCTTAACGCTGGAAAGATATCGGTTCTGTTGCGGTTGCTCGAGGACTATAGGAAGGCAGAACGAAAGATTCTAATATTCTCTCAGGTTTGTCCCTACTGCTTCAACAATCGATTTAAGAGGTACCATGCTGATAAGCCCCGTATAGTTCACACAGATACTAGACATTCTTCAAGCGATTTTGAAGCTGAAGGACATTAAATATCTAATTCTGACTGGCTCCACTGCCGTAGATGTGCGGCAAACGCTTGTGGATGAGTTCACCGAAGATGCGTCGATACCTGTATTCCTCCTGTCAACGAAGGCGGGTGGTATGGGTATTAACTTGACAGCTGCAAGTGTCGTTGTCATGTAAGTGATCTACATCATCGATGTATACGCGACGAGTTGCTCATCCTCCCAAAGGTTCGACCAGGACTTTAATCCCCACAATGATCGGCAGGCACAAGACCGCGCTTATCGCATTGGCCAAAAGCGAGATGTAGATGTTGTGAAGCTCATCAGTCGCGGGACGATTGAAGAAGATATGCTCAGACTTGGGGAGACTAAACTGGCTCTCGACGAAGCGGTGGCAGGAGAAAGTGAGGAAGGCGATGGCGACAAGGGGGTCAGCAAACAGGAAAAGGAGGTTAAGAAATCACTCATGGGCCAGTTAAGGAGGCAATTGGAAAGACAAGATGGTGCTTCCATCGGACCTGGACAAATACCCGCACCGTCCTCTTAATGATTATCAATATGCTCCGTTGCGTTTGCATTTGTTAGTGCTTTTTTGCTTATCGGTTACCATCTTGATTATGGTGTGGTATGTAGATATTGGTAGAGTTTTCGAGTAGTCAATTGAAAACTGATAATCCACGAACGAGACGGTCGAGACTAGCACGGAAATAATCGTTGTCAACGCCCTGAGAACGAGAGTCCATGGGGACGAGAGGGTTGCGGACAACGTATTCGAGAAAAGGGCCATTATAGATTTGACGCAGTATGAAGCGAAGACCATCGGTAGCCGCATCACTCAACATGATGAACTTGTAGCCAGATACGGTTTCGTACAAGTGAAGCCTGTATGACGATGTGCGATAGCTGGTAAACTGTTCATCTCTTTATATGCTGTCAGGTGAGGATTAGATGGAATAAGCAGGTGATGCACACCTTCCCGAAATCTTTTTGACCATGTTCCTGAGCGACAGGACGACACCATATACTAACTTTGCCTCTTCATCAAAAGGAAGGGTATTCGACCTTGCATGCTCAGTTGGATTTGGTAGAGATGTTACAGGATCCTCGCCCACGGCGACAACCAATCCTGATGTCGAAGATAATGTATTTCGGGGACTGCTAAATCCTGATGGGGTAGGAGCGGCACTGTCTGTTGTAAGCGGAGAGACAGCTTGGGAGACAGCATTCAAGATGCCTCCTCCTTCTCCAGCTCGCTTTGGCTGCTTGGTTCGGTGCCAGTCCTGATAGTAAACACATGCACAATGTCTGGCTCAACGGTTGAGCATCATCATCTACTGACCAACCAGCCAATTTGCTCACCTATCGTAGATGTATAAGCTATAGATCGTCATTGTGCGAACTACTGTACATTGCTCGCTCTTCCGGACAACTCCAGGAATAGAAATATCACATTTCCCACGGTCCAACTCATCGAGAATGACCTGCATTCTATTGTTTAGGTCTATCTACGGTATCTGGTGCGGCCATCTACACTACTATCTCCTTTGCATCATTGTAAAGCGGAATCTCGCCAAATTTACCATACCCTTGGAGACCCGAGAACCGTTTGGAAGCCTTGTAGGACGGCGCAGCCTGATCAGCGGGACGCGCGACATACTAGCACATCGTCAGAAATATATAATGAACAATTAACATGCATGCTTACCGGAGGTAAATTCTCAAGTTCAAAGTTGCTAGGTGGTGCGGGGAAGGAGACAGCCAGGACCTAAAGAACCCAGGAGCATGAAATTGACGTTGGGTAACTTTAATGTAGCTGAGAAGACTTACAATCCCGTCCTTAAATATGCCGGGCATGACGACTTTCCAGGTGGGAATAGCCGCATAGGACGAGGCAGATCGGAGATCGTCCTTGGCCCAGCGGTCAATCATATTGTTTACTCGCACACGTCCCTTTCCAGAACTCGTTTCAGTACACCGAACTGATAAAAGAAACCAAATTAAAATCACCATGTATTTCCATATGGTAATTGGCAGGAACATGACGATCCAAAGACCAACTACGACCACGAAGGCTACGAATCTAGCCTGCCAGACGATCTGAATTTGACGATCCTCGTCAATTTGTTCATCATCAAATTGATGAAGGTAGTCGTAGTAAGCCACGATCGGAGCTATAAATGTCAAGCTATGGTAGGAGATCAGAGAAAATAGGGCCATAAAAGAGACGAGTTTACATCACAGCTACGGACATCCAAGATCTTTCCAGCGCTGGTTTGGAAAACTGGGAAGCCATGCGCGTGATAGCACGTACACGAGTCTCCCACATGTGGAGAGAAACCTAGATGCAAGTGATAAGCACCTACGAAAGTTTTCTACATATGTGAGAACTCACATAGTTTTGCAACCCGATGGGAAGTAAGGGAGGAGGCTGCGTATCCGATAGTTCCTGGAAGAGACACGTTAACTGTGTTTGAGAGCAGGGAATAAACTACACACCACTACCACCTCATTCTTCCTGGTCTTGGGGCTGGACCAAAGGGGCAAAGCAGGTTGCATCGTGCCATCATACTTGGGAGGACTTAATGACATTTCAACGGAAGTCAGAACGAATGAGTAAGAGCGACGTTCAGGTAGATGCGATAGATCGTGCAACAACTTGAATCAAGACTAGCTTGCGATCAATATGAGACGGAAGATGAATAGCGAGACTGAGCCTGTCAATCCTGTTACAAGGCCTGCTTGTATGTGAAAAAGGGAGGGAAGGGAGAGAAAGGAATCAGGTCCAGCTCTAGGGTCAGAGTGGATTTTGAAGAGCTATGTAAATATGAGGCGGCGTGTGTGGCATGTTTGCAACGGGCTGGGCAGTGCCTTGTCACGAATAAACTGGCATAGCAACGTCGAACAATTATCACGAGGATTCCACAAAGGGGATTCTTGCTGATCACAAGCCAGGGCAAAAGATAGGCACTACTAGGCTGTGGCGGGAGCCCATGGCTGGTAACAGCATTATATTAGCTTACATTGACTACCTTTTGCTACACTATCAAAATGATGCTTGATGACATGTTTTAGATTTGCTTGGGCTTCGCTATGGGTAAACGATAGTTTGGTAAAGAGAAGTACTTCCGTGTTTCACCCCATCTTTCTTCATCATTCTGAGCGCTCACATCCACATCACTCCAAACAACATCTGCCCCAGCATCGGCAAGGTGTAGTTCCGACAACCGAGTATACACATCATAAAATAGCGCGTCTGTAGATATGTTGAGTTCGTAGAAATATATTATTAGAGTACAAACGCACTAGTTGCGCCTAGGCCATTGAAGAAGCTGAACCTCGATTCAGGACTCGCTAGAAGTTCTCGCAAATGTTTGAAAAATGTATGAAGTTCTTAACAAGAAATCATCAACATTCATATCCCGTTTTCTAATCCTTTACTAGTAGGAAGTAACTCACCGCTATAGTTCTCTGAGAAGGTGTCTGTATAGATGACATCGAATTTTCCAAATCCTTGAAGGGCCTCACTAGCAATGCAGTCTTGCCACTTGCCCTCCAATATGCTCACTCCCTTTTTGTCGTACCACCCTTGTTCTTTCATATGAGCGAGAACGTCACGGTGAGGCTCTACAATCACATGCAATGCGGGGGGTGTACTGAGATTTTGGAACAAATTGTCGATCTGTGTCATCGTCAGAAGAATGTGCTATTTGACTCAGCGAGGTCCTCACTATACCGAGACCAAACCCGACATTAAGGACCTTCAGCCCTTGATCTTTCTTTTCATGATCAATGCACAATTTCTCCACGGTTTTCTGCACTATTTCGGGAATCGCCTCGTTTGACGTCATACATCACCCAAAGAGCTGCACTTACTGATCTCCCGTTCCCATCCCATCATAACGCCCACTTCTTGACCGTCGTCAAGGACAAGCAAGCAAATATCCTGGCCATGGGAATCTTGAGTGTAGCGCAACTTAGATGACAAAAAGGTGTCTGTTGATGCAACTGCGGAGTTATCCACGCCCCGAAGCACGAGTGATGACTCGGACGGGGTAGGATTCAAGGATGTCTGGGAAAGTAAGGTCAAAAGCAACTCTGGAGACATCTATGAGCACTCGTCCAAAATGATGATCAAGATACTTAGTACCTGATCGGATGCCTGCGTCGCGGATTAGGTTGTAACATGCTACATTGTTGAGCGACAATGCAATATCACCAGCAGTATTCTGCAAGTTGTCGACTACACCCTCTACTTAGTCCACGAAGGCATTACTCGAGTGGCATCTGTCGCACCTGCGTTCCAGACGGCGCCTTCCTCGATGAGTAACTTCACAAGCTGCTCGTTTTCGACGTAGGCAGCAGCATGCAGAGCTGAAGTACCATCATCGTCTTGATACCACAATGGTGCTCCTGCGTCTATTAAGTCTTGCACGTTCGAAATAGGTTCCTTCTCCAGAATAGCCTGGATGAGTGTCGTTCCCAACTCAGTCAACGCGATAATCTCGGGATCGTCGATATCGTCAATGATCTCAAAGTCGTCCTCGAATGTCTCACTCATCGAGATTAAGTATGCTTCCAGACTCTTCGTAATAAGGCTCAGCGAAGCCAATGAGGCAAACTGCTTGCAAGATGATGTGGTAGCAAAGTAGTCAGACCAGTATTGATGCAGATGCGATCAACTATTTAGTAGATAAGATTAATATTGATCAGAACAATCAAAGGCAAATACACCTAAATGCTTACGTAGTCGAGACCCTCCCCCAGAAATTTTATTTCACATTTTCGCTATCTGTCAGGAAGACTTTGGATTGACTCGGAGCTCTCGCGCTATGCTTGCATATCTGGCAAGGACCTATAAGACATTCAAGGAGCCTGCGCTCGACATTCTTTGGCAAGACTTGGATGGATTGGATTCATGCCTCGTTTACATCTTCACAGCAAAGCTAGACACCATAGACGATCGGGTCGTGCGAGCTCTTAATTCTGCGCCATCACCGCTGTTGCCGAACCTACTTGATTTGTCCTGGCATGATGTCCAAGAGCGCTTTATTCCATTCTTGTGCACCCTCCTGGAGTCGACTATCACCACGTTGCAGATGCACAGTCGTCTTTCAAGCCACCCCTCTTTTGCCGAAGTTGCTTTGTTAGCTTCCCTTGAAGCATACATTCGGGAACTTGAATGTTTTTATGACGATGCAGCGACTGGATGCTACAGACACAAGCTCCTTCTTGAAGTACTTCTCTTCTGCTCTTGAAAACATCCATTTCCACTTCAATTTCCCACTCGACAGCATTGTCTGGGAATACATACTTCGTAATCCTATCTTCACACTTAGCCTTCGCACTTGGCTTTGATGGGATTGCCCCATTGCTATTACTTAGTCGCTTAACATACTTAGACCTTGATTGGATTTGCGCTTCGAACGTCGATGATGCTGCACTCAAGACAATGGTGTAAAATCATGGCCACAACTCGAGAACTTCTGGTTTGGAAATTTGGCTCGTCCCGCCGTATCTCAGCTTTGTAGGACTCGTCCACCTTGAACATCATTGTTGGTGCTTGCGTAGCATTGGTAACATGATGGACGTTCTATGTCAGGGCCCACCCTTGTCGTGATGCAACTAAAAACCACGGAATCCCATCATCCAACTAAGGTTGTGATTGTCTCCAGGGCCCTGGACCTTGGGGAAGCAGTTAGTAGGTGGGGAGAGGCAGTTTTTGAACGCCGTTGGGTGTGAAGACAGGAAGAAATAACCTAACCTAGAGACGCTGATCGCTGAAGCGCTGACCGGTTAACCGGTCCATCTGCAGACTGTAAAGTTCCAGTAATCGACCAGTGTAAGGATGACTGCAAAGTGTGTTTAAATTCAAGACACAAACTGCTCACGCGGCCGACGCAGCCGTGGCAGTCCTTCTGTTTTAGGCAGAGCGTACTAGCAGGCCATTTCTGAGTATTGGCCTGACGCAAATATGGATGTATCAGCAACAGAAGACATAGCAAATGTTGACACTGCCATCAAAGCAGCAGCAACAGCGAGGACAAAGGAGATGGGCATTATTTGAGGATGTATAAAAGGGGATCAAATGAATCTGAAGGGGATATTGGGAAGACGCCAACTTGCTTTATAACCACCTGAAATTCCCTTTCGAACAGTTGATATCTACAGCGTGTCTGTGCGAGCTATGGAAGGGATAAACTGCGGCTCGGGCCCAAATCGTTAATTGGAAGGTTGAGTCGGTAACTAGCCCCAGAAGGATAAGGTTATTCAAATTGGACTAGAGGATGGATGATAGATGCTGGTTCGTTGTTAGCTAGTTGTATAAGCCTGCAACGGCTCTGATACCACAGGGCTTCTCGACCTCCAGCTCCTCTCCAAAGACAGCAGATAACGTCTCGCTGCCTGATCACACAAACATCGCCTCCGCCACCACCAAAGTCCTTATATCCTAGACCCAATGGTCGAGCACCCGATCGAGGCTTCCACGTCTCGCCATCGACCATATACTCACTACGTACACACTAACCGGTGGAAAATATATATATACTATCACGCCGGTGAGTCAGGTGGTGAAATCTAGGACGCGAACTACTCACGCAGTTGGTCGTGGTGCAGCCAAAGCAGTCGATATCTTTTAGGCAAAAGACAGGGCAATTCTCAGTGCCTTCACTGGTAGATATTGATCTGTCAGTGACAGAGGGCATAGCGGATATTGGTACTGTCAAAGCAGCAACAGCAGCGAGGACAAAGGAGAAACGCATTGTGTGTGAGGATGTCATAGAGGATCAAATCAATCTGAAGGGGACAGTAGGAAAACGCTTTGCTTTATGTGCTGATTATTGGCGAAGCGACCTGAAATCCCAATGCTAGCAGTCTGTCGACGTAGAACAACCTTGCGAATTACCATGCGGAGCAGATTCAAGATAAGAACAGCAATTAATCAGTTAAGAGCATACGACCGACCCCTAGTAACGGTTTCTGCCAAAAGAACGGTGAACATCAATTGATTGAAATTTGCGTGCGTTGTTTGCTCTGGAGATCAGGTTTGAGCAGGAAGACATGCAGGTGAGTGGAAAGCAAGCCTAGTCATCCTCGTGAAAAATTATTCGTTGCTCCTGTGCAATTCGGGGTACTTCCTCGGTTGGAATCTGCTCTGTTTCCAAGTCATTCGGTAAACCAAGTTTATCGTGTCCCTCAGCGTCATCCACCTCTTCCTCTTCGTCGCTCTCCTCCCCAGGTTTCCTAAACACGAGCTCTTTTCCATTGACTAAGCGTCTCTTCTTCAATGGAGCTTCTTGTGTGCCATCCTTCCCGTCGCCTTTCTCTGATGGCTTGACTTTTGCTCTTTCCTTCTTCTTTTGACGCTTGGCTCGGTTTTTGGCTGTCTTGGTTTCAGCTATATCCTCCGCTTCTTTCCGCTTTTTCTCAAACTCTGCTGTTTCAGTTTCCTGCCAAACCTTCAGAATATGTCATTTTCATGGAGTTGGACCACGTACTAATCTTGCTTCATCTTCCATCATCTTCAGTCGTTCGTATTCTCTGCGTCTACTGGCCTTGTATACGTGAAACTCGCCACTCCCAGCACCAGCGCTTGATCCCTGGACATTCTTCATCATCTCGCGAGCCGGGCGAATAGTCTTCTCCTTCGGTGCAGGAGGAACATAGGCAGGCTTCGAGGGATCCTTGAGGAGTCGTTCAAGTTGTGAGCGCTGGCGTTCGACAGCGGTGAGTACATGACGCCTCTTAGCCTGATCAGGAGCTGGCGAGGCAGAATGTGAAGCCGTGTTTGAGGTTGACATGGACGACTACACAAGAGCTTTGGTAAACAGACCACAACAATTAAAGGCCCTCCCAAGTCTTGTACGACGACTAACTTAACGCTATTTGAACTACCAATGATCGGAGACGCTGAGACCGACTGGTACCGCCAAAACAACATCATCATAATGACAAGACACCGTCTAAGTACATTGTTTCTTGTGGCGTTACGTGTTAACGCGTATAGAGGGTGACCTGAGGCCTGAACAAACGTATGCATCTCTTGCAGTACATATAATAGTGAATTGAACGCTACTTTGAAACATTGAGGAGACCTCTCGACAGATTCGAATACAACATATTGCAATTGTCGACGGTCATACAACTATAAGATTCGAGTTAAGGCAGCGGACTTGCAATCAAGTGGAATAACTTACGAAGGACAGCATTTATGCAACCATCGTTCTCAGGATTATTGGTAATCTGAGCATACTTCCCGAATACTACCTTGCCGCCCGTCGTAACCATTCCAAGCTCTGAAACGTTGACCTCGATGACAGTGCCTTTTGTCAAAACTCCGAGTTGAGTATACATCGGTGACTGTGGATTCTTCTTGACCCCAAGAATTTGAAGCTGGAAGGTGGCCTTCAAGTCCGCTGCAAGATGATGAGGTCTCAGTTTCGTATACGACAACGAGACTTACGATGGGTAACGTTGGCCTTCTTATATCGAAGTGCCATTGGCCGAACAAATCTCTCCATCTTGACAGGTTTTCTAGTAAATCCTTCCCCAACGAACGTCGCTTTTGTAACCATCCGCTTCCATGATTTGCTTTTGCTCTTCCCTGTCTTCATCACCTTGAACATTTCATCCTCAGCGATCCCTCGAACTTTAGGTAATGGAACCGCGAATTTAGCCGCCTTGTCCTTTCTCTTTTGTTTGATTGCAGATGATAGAGCTTTTGCATCCTTCTGGCCTTCACGATCGAGTAGATATGTAGGTAATGCACCCTCTGGAACGGCAGATGTGTCGGCCTGCTTGACATTGCGCTCATCGTGAGCTTTGAGGGTCTTTTTGAGTTGAACCTTTTCTGCGTGACGTTTCGCATGCAGGATCTTAGCCTTGAGACCGAAGGCTTTCTGGGCTACTGCTGATGATTTATGAGCAGCACGAGCCTCCTTTTTACGTCTTAACTCGAGAGTGTTAGCACGGACAGGTAAGGTAGAAACTAATCACGCACTTGCGTTCGTAGTAATCTAATCGTCTACCATGTCGTTTTATATGTTCCTCGATATACTCGTTCTAAAAATGGACATTGGCCTATGAGAGTCAATTTTTGTTTACAAAATATGAATTACCTGCGGCTGTTAGCAGAACGGGAGGATGTTAGCAGAAGAATGAGAAATTTTGGTAAGGATACTTACCATGACTGTGATAGACGAAAGGAACTTGGGGACACGCCGGCAATTGCCGTCGGAGCGCTTCGAAGTTGGCCGCAGGCGAAAGAGAACACGAGTGCCAGACCAAGTGCAGAAACGTGGCACGTCACTTCCATCCAGTCTTTTTTATCTTCCTTTTTTCTTTACGACTTAAATCTTTATGTGGCAGGACACTGCAAGTCAGTACGGCGCGTCGTCGTCGCATAGCCAATACTATGGTCAGACTCCTCAACAAGGCGTACCCCTTCAATTCTACGCGCCTGGACCAGACCAGGGGCAGTTCTATCCAGGGTCTCGCTCCAGTCTGGAGGGAAATATGGGTGCACAGGTGCCAATAGGGCAAGGAGGCGCTGCTCCAGCATTTGGAGGGAATATTCAGCAACAACCGGGAGGGTGGTGGACCGCTTTCGGGACCGGTGGTTTTGAAGGAGAACCACCGTTGCTGGAGGGTAAGTAATTCTATGAAGACATGTTTCCGGGTGACAGAACCATGCATGCGACAGAATTGGGGATCAACTTTTCTCACATACGTGCCAAGTCTATGACAGTTCTCAATCCCCTACGCCGTGTTGATGAGCGGATAATGGATGATGCAGACCTCGCCGGCCCGCTCTTGTTCTTTTTCTGTTTTGGAGTCCTTTTACTGCTGGTGAGTGTTTATTCTTTGCCACAGTAATAACGTGTCTCATCTGGCATTGATAGTCAGGGAAGCCTCAGTTCGGATACATATATGGCTTCGGATTGCTTGGCTCCATCTCAATTTACACCTTACTAAATCTCATGTCGGAAAATGGCATCGATGCATATCGCGTAGTATCTGTGCTAGGCTATTGCTTATTGCCAATGGTAGGTGTCGGTGCAATCAGCGTGGTGGTTACATTAGAGTGCGTGATTCATTGCTTTGCTTCCAATACTCAGTTGTCTCATGAGTACCTATTTTCGTTGTAGCGGCATCCTTGGTTATGTCCTGTCCTTGCTGTCTATCATATGGTGCACTTTCGCTGCTTCTGGAATATTTGTAGCTGTGTTGAGGATGTCGGACCAACGTCTTCTCGTTGCATATCCAGTCGCACTTCTCTACGGGTGCTTTGGCTTACTGAGTGTATTTAATGTTGGTGCAGGAAGTACAGCTAGATAGACACTTGCATCACATTTTTTTCCCTGCCATAATCATGATGTTCTTGGGAAAACTACAAATGAGAGAACTAAGTGCTGGTCTTAAAAGCTTAAAGTACGGTAAGTAGTTTATCTACATTATATCCTAACTACTATGTATAGTATAATCGTCACCATCATAACCTGTTTTAATCTTGACCAATCCCTTTATCGGTTTTTAGTTGTTTTGAATATAACTTGAGCAGGGCCTCCATGATTTCCTCCAGAGGAATCGTGGCATATTCATGAACGTATTGCGGAAGAGAATCCTCGAGGTTGAAACCAGCTGTCTTCATGAAGAATGGGTGCATAACATCCGGAGTCGCTTCGCCAAGTTGTCGCATGGTCAGTCGCTCTATCACGCGATCACGAGCCCTGTATACAACGGCTGCAGTTTTCGTGGCGATAGGGGGTGGAAGCTGTACAGAAGGATCGAGTAGATCTGCTAAGGAACGGGCTTGGGAAGTTGGCAGTGGCGGGTGTACGAAGAGTTCTGAGGGCAGCTGAGGCGAAACTGTGACAGTTGATCTGAGACCCAGTGACAGGGCTTTTTCGGGCAATAATGGGCTAGATGTGGAGCTATTTGGACTTGATGCATCCATCTGAGCAATGTCCATGCCCGGAGCTGGTTCTGTAGCCCCTGCCCTTTTGCGAGATGATGGACCTGCTGTCGCATTGCGTGAGTCTTGGGGTCCCTGAACTTGTTCCAGTTCCCTGGTCAAATTCTTGCGAAGACCAGTGAGCCATGAATACAGCGCTACGTTGAGCGAGATGTAGATGTCCTCGTGCTCCTTGGTACCCTTGCCTCGCACGAATGAGCTGTAGAACTTGTAGTCGATGTACTTGGCGGGTTCTTCGACCACCTCGTCGGTGAGCATTAGCATGTTCATCGTGGGCAGACCAACGATGTTTGCTTCTGTTGGATGTTTGAACAATTGATCCACCCAAGCTTTGTCGTCAGACACTACTATAGTTGACGGGAGAAGTGGCTGAGGCTGGCTGAACTTGGAAATAGTCAAGGCCGTGAACGATAAACGGATCTCCCTATGAGGCGGGCTTTCGCCTATCACCACACGCTCCAGGCTCGCATGAACATCACGTCCAATGAACTGCGCAAGCTCGGTGTCACCCATGGTACGAGGGAAGAGGATAAGCCGAAGAGTCTGTAAGCGGAAGCTCAACTGCTGGCGAATTCTGTGGGACAGCTCCGCGTCTGCTTCCTTGAACCGGTTACGAGCAGAATAAAAGAATGCCGAAGCGACTTCGGTGAGTGGATTGTCAGGCTTGGGCGATTGTGTAGCACGGAATGCGGCTGATTCGTGACTTGCGCCCTCACGCTGCGCGGTAATATTGGCCTGGAATTTGTTGGTATACATCAACAACTTCGGTATAGTTGCGATGGTAGCAAGAGCAATGATTTCCTCGCCATTGACCGTGAATGTAAGCAGCAAAGGCCGGTCTTGTCCTCTATCTGCGGAGGAAACAAGTGACCAATCATCGTGGATATCCACTTGCACAGGATCAGCCCTGAGGATACTCGAGGATCAGACAAAGATAAGGCGCAACATAATAATAATAATAATTACCTGTAAATCAACAGCCGTTGATGATCTGACTCGAGCTCGGCACTTAAAGGACCACTAGTCATGCTGAGCTCGAGCATCCTAACTGTGCGCGAATCATCGGACAAGGCGCCTTCGTTCCTGCGGATTGTCTGAAAGACACAGTCCGGTACATTTATGTGACCCGCGACGTTTCCCCTAGCAAAGATGGAGACGTTTGCCACTGAGAGCGACACCTCAGTTGACATTTCAGATAAACGCATTCGCGTAATTGTACTCTGGAGATTCAGAGTCACACTGCTAATGGACTGTCCTAAATCTACCTCCAAGCGGATTTGGCGAATGCGAATTATGAGCGCAGTAGTGACCTCTTGTTTCACAACAGGAGTGGTGACCGAGGAGGAAGAGGCTGTCGGCGGACGTGATCTATCAGAGTTTGCATGCTCTGCGACGAACAAAGGGATACGATCGAGCCAAACCGCCTTGAAACATAAAACGTCTTGCAGGCGGGAGAAACGCACACCACCAGTAATATCTGTATCTACCACCAAGGAAATCATGTTGTCGATATTTCCAGAATGGTCCTCGTTCTTGGAAAAAGCAAGGAAAAATGCGAGATTGCGAGCTGCAATATTGACGCAGTCGTCGCTCAAAAACCCGTGCTTGAGGCCAATTGTGAGACCGCCCACAGTGCCCGTCAATGTCACTTTGTGAGCACCCGGCGAGATGTTCATAAGGAAACCGCCACTTTCCCAGCGTAAAGCAGCCGCTACATTGACATCCGGCTGACAAGTTAATTCGAGTGTCGACTTGTCTATGCGGAGACTGAAGGTGATTTGCAAACTCGATGATGCCTCGGATAAATTCTCCAGGCGGCTCGAGGTCAGCAGCGGGGGTGGTTCGTCTTCTGTAGGAGATGGCGCAATGAGTAGCGTGTTTCCTCGGCTAGTCTTGCGCAAGCGCATCTGCACGTAATCGATGATCTCGGTCATGAAAGGCAGAAGACTCGGTCTCAAAGTGTTTTGGCTGGAATGAATAGTGGTTTTGAATATCAGGGCTGCTGGACCGGCTCGTATACCTGAAGCACGATATTCAACCAAAGCAGAGACTATAGGAAGCCTCAGTGTCTCCTGCTCTGGGCGCAGCTGTCCATCCAACAATTGGTGAGTACCCAGAGGCGAGGCCTGTGTACTTTTTGAATCGCTATGAACGTGCACTTCTCCGCTCTGGAAGACCATATTTGCAAAGATACTCGACGCCGGAACATCTTGCTGTCCGCCTCGCGGTGAGACATCGTCCCTCCCAAGGTCAGTATTCGATGTAGTAGCCCGGGGGAGGCTTGCAGCAATGCGGATCATTCGTTCTCTTCCTTGACGGTACACGTCAATGAGCGAGAATATGTAATCAGGGATGTTTGAGTCCAAGTCCAGAATGAACCCACTGACGTTTCCAAAAAACCAGATATGGCGACTGAGCAAAGAAGTATCGGATCGTAGCCGCGCAGTCATGTAGGGGTACACCAGTCGGTTTCGGCTTCTATGCTTGTCTGCTGCAAAGTCTTCGGACGAACATTGCCTGAAACTAGGGCGCCATGATCAGGACTAAGTGTGATGAGCTCACTGGAGCGCCATCAAGTCTTACCTGGGCACAAATAGGAAGGATAAGTCTTTAGTTGACATCTCGCCCGCTTCTCCTCTCTGAGCGCTAAACTTGATGCGTCGAACAGTGAACAGGAAAGCCCTGACTGAAGGACCATTACGGGATTTCGTCCCAGGAAGCTCCAGCGTTTGTTCAAGACTGAGGGGGAAGGCCACTCCAATCTTCTGAATGACTACATCTATGGTATGTTCGCTAAGCCAAGGGGGTTTTTGGTCGCGAGTAGCCTCGTTCGTTCTCATATCGAACGTTTTCAAAATACTGCGGGTCTTTTCCTTGAACGCTGCTAACTCCGCAGCTCGCTGATCCCTCCGAATAAGCAATTCAGCCTGAAAATCGTTGAGCAACAAGGACAATGCCGAAGATGATGTCGTACTTGTTGATGGTCTAAGAAATCACCAATCTCTCCTATAGAACTGGGTTGCATCACAGCATGGATCTTTGGGATGCGGAATTCCAATCTGTGGACATCTCCCCTAGCACGAAGATCCACGATGAGAAACGCAGATCGATGATTTCGATTGAAGGTGGTTTCTCGTGACACAATGCCTGCTCTGGGCGCAAGCGACAATGCCAAGTCACGCAGCCTGATTCGCCATGCAATACCTAAATCGCTGCTGGATATGTCTCCACCAACATCTTCGCATTCTAGATAGGAGGTGGAGGAACGACCTTCAAGCCCAAGTCGAAATCCCTTCACGTCGACATGCCCACTGAATGATAAAGAGGATCGCGATGCATTTGACATTGATTCAGACGGATTAGACCTTCGTTGGCGAGTTTGGTGTATCAGGTCCATCAAGTCAGCAAAATCTTGGCCAAACTTCTGTTGGACGACGAGAAGTGTATCCCAATGTGAGGGCTTGATTAAAACGTCAAAGAAGTCCACAGAAGCAAGAATTTTGACAAAAGCACGGCCTTGGCGTCCTGTCAATGAGAGCGAAGGGAGCCTGACTTTGATGTGTGGCGTATCCGTATAATCTTCAGTGGACTGTTGTTTGTATGAGACGCCCAACGTTTGCGAGCCAAATTGGATGCCAAAGGACGTGGACTGCTTATGTCCTGGTCCACTTGGCGAGGAAAGGGATATAGTCAAATCGTGTATGTTCCATGATAACCACGTTCCTCGCATGACCTGAAGGAACACGCCAAGTTCCGAGATACGCCCCGTAACATGGGCCACTAGTGCGTTCCTCTTGGCAGCACGAGGGCGAGTCGGTGCTGTTTGTGCATCATTTCCCCTTCCTTCCTTCAACTCTGCTAGAAAGGCTCGTGTGGCGGCTTCAATGCCTGGAAAGAAGTCTGCTTGCCACTCTTCCATGAAACGGTAAAGACGAAGGGCGCTACGAGGCACGGAAATAGCAGTACTGTGTAAGAGGAATGCGAGACGGATAGTATTCGTTGATGATTCCTGGCGCCAAAGCAGGTTGAGCTTGCCAGAGGAAAAGGTCAAGGAAGCAAGAACATCCTGATCCCGGACCCAAATTCCTGGGACAATGCCGGTAGCCCTCGCGCGTATGAAAGCGTTGCTGAAGCTAGCGGTGTAACCGACAGAGTGGACCTCATTGTACATCAACGGATCGACTCGTTTGAGTGATGTGAAAAAAATGTCCGTATTCGTGGCCCCGATCTCGAATGCAAGTTTTTCAGCTGCAGCACGAATGTTAGCGCGGCGAAGGGCGACCGTGAAAATGAGGTGAGACGGCCCAGAGTTTGAAAGTGCTTGGCCGGAGACTGGCTTCCATTTACTTGATATCCTCCGTAGGCGAAGTACAGATTGTGCGAAGACCATCAGGTGAGGGGAAACAATGACATTAACGTCACTGACAGCGAGAGTGCATGCAGTCTGCGGGATGGCAGCGATATCATGGTTTGTCAGGGAAGGGTTCTGTGACTGTAATTGGACTCCTTCCAAAGGGACCAGCTTTGAAGAGCGAAACCGTAGAGCACAAGAGCTGATGTCTAGACGACTGGTAGATGCTGGCAACTCATCTGCGATGATGATGCTAACAAGGTCGGCAGTGAAGTCGAGGGAGTCAATGATAATTCGCGCGCCATTCATGGACTTCGAAGAGGTAGGAGGATAAATCATTTCCGACGGACTAGGTATACCTTCCTTGGAGGAGTCCAGGTCCACCATGAGTTCTGCGAGACACGAATTTACCAAAGCCTTCACGTCATGTACTGCAATGGATTGGCCCGTGCTATTTGTGCCAATATCTCCTTGAAGGCGGGCAAACTGGAGAGCAGTTCGTAGATGGAATAGAAACTTATAGGTAGGATGTGTCCGGAGAGCTTGAGGGTGACCCCGTTGGACGAGGAAAGAAGGTTGGATAATCGAAAGTGGATCGACAGCTGCCCTATTCTGAGTGAGATCCAGAGTATAGTAGACAATCTCAGCAAAACGAGTAGTTGAGTCAAACTGCACAGAGGGGTCGAGCAAGAGGTCTCGCAAATCCTGTTCCAGCATCCGAAACGTGGCGACAGCGTACTCGAGGCTGGTGGGCTGAAGCTCCAATGCAAAGCGGCCAACAGACATGCTAGCATGATTCTGCGTGGCATCTAGTTGGAGGCGACGAAGTGATAATATTGGGCTACTTCCAGGCAAGAAATTGGAACCCAGAGCAACTCTGGAGTTATCCATTACTCCCACAGACGTTTCGGATATTTCTAGATGGCAAGCCAATTTCTGAGTCCCTTGGGACATGGCGAGGTGGCATCCGGAAGCCAAGCAATTGATTGTAACCATGGAGTCTCTTTGAGCTGATGCTTCCTTGGAGGAAGTTGGGCAGGATATGTGTTCTAGTACCTGAAGACGTGCTGATCTTATGGTAATATCGAAGGCCGTCGAGAGGGGGGAACCTGGTGAGTCACCGAGCTTTGCCATGTGGCTCGACATCACTGAGTCCAATGTCAATTCTGGACTGAGCCGCTGCAGCAAACCGTTAAGATAACGCAACACATTGGAAAGATAATACGAACTCGCGACTGCAGGTCTTCAATCATATCTCGGATTCCCATGAGAGCCAAGGGAGTTAATCGAACCGCGATCTCCCTTTTGCACTGTATGCGAAAAGTTGTAGAGTGGACAGAGCTTGTTCTTTCATTGGCTTGTGCCATCGGTCGTATTCTGGGTGAAGGCTTGTCCTTTGGAGTTGTAATTCTAGGTTCCTGGTTTCTAATTGAGGAATATTCGGGAAAAATGGGTTTGCCTACCTTACCTTAGTTATAACGAAGGGCGAGTCCTCCCAGCTGTTGATGTCGTCCAAGTTGATACTCTGGTACCACCTAGTGACACGACGGTAGCGCTGGATCAGCGAGTGCCTTTGAGTTGCGGCTGTCTAAACTCAACAATTGTAACGTCTGCATTTGGAAACGACTCACATCTAGTCGAGGACCAGCCGCTTACTGAGGATTCGGTATCTGTTAGGTCCTCGTCATCTGACTCCTCCCCTGACACAGAGATGTCGTCGACGACAGCGGTCGGTGGCGCAAGTCGACTTCTCCTGCAAAAACTGTTAATCTAGTGGGGCGAACTAGAAGATGGACAACATACGCCAGACGTGCATCACGATCTGCCTCGGATATATTCTCCTCTCCGTCGGATTCTGAGAGATAGGAAAGACGAGGCCACCATGCAGCCGTGCTCTTGGAGTGTGCAGGGCTTGTGAGCGGTGCTGGAGGGTGTGGTTTGGCTCTGCAGAAATGTGGGAGGCGTGGAGGAGGAAGATAAGTCCATTGCGATGGTGACTAGAACGCGTGCGCTGCAGCGCCTGTCGGTTATCAGGGAAAGAGGCTTTCCGAACCCTCTCTACTTCATCAAGTAGATGTTGTGCCCGACGTGTCAGCTCATCTTGTCCCTTCATGAAATCCATCTGTGATGGATTGCGGATCTTTGGGGATCTGTATATATCCAGGTTGATGTCTGTAGACAGGTCAGCCGCCTCACACCAGGTTGTCTTCGAATCCCTCGATGACAGCAGAATCTTCAGTAACGCGAGGGGAAGTCTGACGCTCGTGAGCTTGCCGCAAAATTGGCCTTCCAGATCATTGGTATGCACACTGAAGCCCGAAGGAATTGACAGGTTTACGGCTGTTGCACCAGCAGACCAAGTGACGTCGACATGGCTAGCTGAGAATCTGATGAAAGTGACTGAATAATTGGGTCAGCGAATGCTCTCGTGCAAGGACAGTTCCTTTACCATCCGGATCTGCGGGTACTCCGAACTCGGTCGCGGGAGCGTTGGCAAGGTCCGTGTAATTAAGACGGACCGCATCCATAGATGCCAACATGATTCGAGCATCATGAGATGTTAATAGAGCCTTGACTGGTCCGACTGCGATTTCCCAAACACATACATATGTACGAGTACGCGGCTGTGGCCCGAAAAGTCTGTTAGCAGTGATATTCAGACCTTGGAATCGAATGAATTATGTGCTGTTAAGATCAAGCAGAATCGACGGCACCATCAATTAGGAATGAGTCTTCGTAGCGTTGATGTCCCTGGGTAAAGAAAGCGTGCTCGGAACAAGCGCCAAGGATAGAACCTTTGATTGCATTCAGATTCAGCGACACATCTGTTGCACGGTTAAATGATTACGATTCATCGTCTGACGCTGACTCACCCTATGAAATAGTCATGCAGTCGTAAATCCAGTTGAAGAACTGAACACGCCATGACTGTAGATGCGCCAATATCATCGCATGATCTGTCGCTTGCAACACGCACTTCGTAGCCAGGTAAACCCGCAGGTAAAAGCATTATCCCGGACTGCAATTGTATCGATACCTGAACCTGTAGGGAGTTTGACTATATCTCGTCTGTTAAGTGACTCCAAGATACACAGGTGGTTCACTGACTTTGCCTGGCCGATGCTTCATCTCCAGTGGATCTCCAATCAAATTAAATCTGCTCCGTTTTTCAAGATACTCCACGAGCGTAGAGAAGTGGGTGAAAGATCCAAAATAATTGTCCCGAAGTACCATCAAGTACCTGACAGACCATCCGAGGGCCTTGTAAGGCGACTTTACTAGTCTTAGTGACAATGAGCCAGGGACGCAATCAGGGAATGCTAGACCTACCTCAACAGTGAGTTTTAACTGATCAATGTTGTCAGCTTGAACATCAGCCCAGAAGTAATACGATGACGTGATGCGAAAGGTTACTGCATGGATTATACGATGTTCTTTCCCTGAGTTGTAGAGGCACTGTGTATTCCACCTCGGCAAAGAGAGAGAAACGTTTACATCTGGAACATCGACAACGAATGGAATAGACGTCGCCTCGGGTCGATATTTATTTGATGGGAAGCTAACTTGAATGTTGAAACGCGGTGCACGGATCGTCACCAACGCTGAATTTTTATGAATAATGATGTTTCCAACCAGGTGATAGAATCCACATACTGTTCTCCCCCTTAACCAGAGGCTTGTCGATGATGTTCTGGTCGTTGGCATATAGATTGAGCTCAAAGTGATGCAGATCAAGCTCGAGCACATAAATAGTCGGCACAAAAAGATTCCATTCGGTAGGCGGCCCAAAGGTCCAGTCCCGCGTCAAATCAGTGAACATATTGACGTGGTCTCGCAAGAGGTATATAACCGGTTGACGAAGAGATATGGAGAATGGCCAACGACGCTCGGCATTCCATACAAGGGGTGACGGAAATGACGCATGAACCTGAATGGTTTTTAGTATGATCTCCGTGGGATAGTAGGACATGTACGAACAGCGACACGACTCGGCCTCAATGAGCTTGATATCGTTAAGGCTCGACGTTACAGAAACTGTATCAAGATGAACCTCCAGACGGGGTTCATATCCGTCGGGTCCTGTGACCATAGGCAGAAGGTAGCTAATGGAGGAACTGTCACCTGCCGTGCAATGAAGAGCTGCGTGGTCACGCTTCCTTGGACGCGGATAGTCGTTGACACCATCCCATTGCCAGTTCTAAGAGAGTGTGAACAAAGAGATACAAGCCTCTTGCCATTATTTACCTTTGAAGGCTCTCGGAAAGGAACATACAGTACTGTCTTATCACGAAGTTCGATAAACACTTTCATTGCAGTCCAAGTACGTTTATCTCCTGGCTTAAGGTGTTTTGACACCTCCAAGTCGTGATACGTTGATGGGAAAAATGTCCGTTGCAGATGAACACTGGAAATAGAATTTAAATCATGAGCGTGCTTCCCGGATAAGAAAATGTCCGTTACCGTTGACGATCAGCCCATGGTCCATAGCGAATGGTCCCTTTTCTTATTACCAGATCTACACCCCACTCAGGAGGCAGGTCACCATTGCCGATGTCATAGGATTCCAATCCCATACCCCTTGGACCATCCTGTGCAACAGGCACATCGCCGACGACGTCTGTGTAATATGATAGCTCCAGAATGGGGGCTTCGATAATCCGCCGTTCAATAGCATACTCTAGAGCAGTAAAGTCAGCGCCAACAGGTGTTTCCTCATCAATGCTCTTGGTTGATTTTCTGCTTGGCATAGGCCCAGGACTCTTTTCAGCTGCACGGCGGTCGTGAACGGACGAGCCATGGCCAGACGTATATAACTTCAGTCCTTTCCAAACTCTGGAGAATGCCCGGAATGGAAGATAACCCAAAGGAATTAATTCTAGGAACCGACTTGATTGCGGCACAGCAATGTCGTCGTCAGTCGAAGCCATTAATCACAAACGCGACGAACCTCGATGATTCTGCATTCTCGCGAATACGATGCCCTATCATAGACATGCTACCCTGGTAGTTGTCATTCTCAACAAGTTGTACAAGCACTTTCTGGAGTTTCAGATTCAAAAGTTGTTTATAGAGGTCGCACTTCGACCTCGCCTGTCCAAGTGTCAGTATCCATATGCGTACCAAAGGTGAACAGGCCGACCTGGACAATCCCAAACGTGCCTTCCACTCTATGACACTCTGCGACCAACAGACTTGGTGTCGAAGGATTACCGCAAGTGATGGCAACCTTGGACATTTCGAGTGCAATCGGTAAAATGTCATTCGGATCCAGGTAGGGCGTCTGACGTTTAATCCACGCCAGTGCAGCATGAATGATGGGAGGGGCTTTGATATTTGCCAGTGCAGGAGGTGGGTAGAGACCCAACCCTACGATCAAACAAGTGGGTTAGATGGATAACAAGTAAATGTAATGACATACCTTCAGCTCCTGAAGTACGAGAAAACACCTCTGCGAGGTTCCGAGACCTCCGGACTTGGGGATGCCTTGGCCTGCATTTGGGAAATGATATGATCATATGCTGCAGTCTTGTTGTATAGTAGCCACTCAAATCCTTGAACAGAGACTTTAATCCGACAGGAAGGGAACGGTGACGTATGGTTGACTGTCAGAGCAGGGACTTGTCATTCAATGCACAAAGGCCAAATAAATGTCAGTCTTACATTCTTCTCCACCAACATGAGCGTGATTCAGATCATCCTCAGTAGCTGGGACACGCAACCAATATCTCCAAGATATTTGAGCTGTCACAATTCTGACGGTCATATTGCTGGAATGATATTTGACGTCTTTGAGCAGTATGCGTCCCGCGAGGATTGAGAGGTGTATGGATCCTGAGTTATACCTTAAGTGGCGCCAATGAGTCGAGTGCAATGAAAAACTGACCGATATGTACCCATATACTGGAACCTCCTTGTCGCCAGTACTTGATTCGGAGGAGAAGACTAATAAATCCAGAAATAATGCGGTTCCAGTAGAAAGTATAGAAGACTGCGACTATGAGCACGCAGACGCAAGAAACCAGGAGGTAAATTTTGAGCATGTTATAGTGACGCTGACAGATTTAGGTTCGACGACGGTACGACTAGGACTTTGAAAGACTGTCGACGTATACCACGCTTTTGAGTGTCGGATGACTTGAAGCCCTTAGTGGTTTGTAGTGGTGGTGTGTGGGTTAGAGCTGCATCATGTATTCGGTTCTGTCAGTGCACTGTGATCAGTGGAAGTACTTTCCGAAGCCGCTATTCGCCGTTTAAAGTATAATTTACAGCATTCAGATTCAAAGCCGATTATATAATCAGCGATTCAAATTGCCGGAGGTGTCATGGTGCTGCTCCTCCCAGCCTATGCAGACAGCGAAGACAAGCACGACGCCTCTGAGGCAATTAGCACTGCATTCGACTACCACATGCTCGTCACACGCAACAATATACGGAAAATGCATACTTGCTGCTTATACAGATGTTCGCAAAGATTCGTGCAAACAGGAATTTGAAAAGTTCGGGCAGTGTTTGCGTGAAGCTGTATGTCTTCTCGTGGTGATAAAGAAAGTATCTCCTGACCCTGTTTATTTCTTAAGATGAAACGCAAATGGTGATGCCTAGTTAAATACATGCGAAGATGAGACGTCCGGGAGATGACATAGTTTTGGGTCCTTGTGGAAAGCCATGCCATTAAAATACATACACTAAACTAGTCAACATCCTCGGTTCCCATACTCCCTGGTAACCTCTGCTCCGTCTCAGTTTGTGCCTGTCCATTTGAAGCTGTGGAACCATGTTCGGGCTGTGATGGACGCCCTCTCGTCCTCATCAATGCCTGAATACGGAGGGGTATCACGGGGATGTTGGTGGTATTAGGAAGTGGAAGTGCCTCGATAGGTTGCTGCTCTACTACCTCTGGAGCCGGCTGTCGTATGCGATTTATCAGGGGCGCGAGGCGCAGGTCTACTATGTATGTTCGTTGACTACGGGAAGGTTTCGGTTGTTCATCCTCGATCGAGTATGAGAGTGGCGGTGTGGGGACGAGAGGGTGTCGAAGGAGAACTTCGGAGGTGATAGAGGATGATTGCTGTAGCGACGTCTCGTACGCGAGTGTTTCCAACAGCAATAGGAAAGCCAAGATGAGGACGTCGAGTAGAAGGAGGTGCATTTTAGATGGTGCATACTCTGTGAGATCATTGTTATGGTTTCAATGAAAGCTAGTGAAATAATAAATAAACGCACCCATTCCGACAAAATCCAGCACGACCGTCCGCCCCTCAACCGTGCCTTCCCGTGCATGCAACCAGAAGCTTGGGAAATTGAGAAAGAAAGTGAGCAGGAACCACGATCGCAGAGAGACTTTGGGGTCGATATCCCTCGGCTTGTAGCACAGGATTTGACAACACATAGCTCTGGTAACCAGTGGTACGAGTGAAGGCGCGAGGAAGAAGGAGACGGCATGCAAGTGGAACAATAGGTCATGCAACTGTGTGACCCAGCGTGAGTTTCATGCACGACGTTCAGAAAGACATGAAACGTACAGAGTCGATGATGTGCTGGCGTTGGGCGTCATGACGCTTGTGCATGTCATCTAGTATGTCTCGCCGTGTAGATATAGTCGTTATGCTCGCCCCTGCCAAGTATTGTCTCTGCTGTTAAGTCTAGAGGTTGGCATCAAGCTCGATGTTTGGACCTGTTGTCCAACAGCCTCAAAACAGCATTTGGATGTCTAGATAAATAAATATACATTGGCCTAAAAAGTCCATTGAAGTGCAATAGAACAAAACTACATTGTGTCGTAGCGATAAAAAGCATCAATAATAAAAGTCCAAGTAGATCGAGGAATTATTCCATCGAGTCCATGCTATCTCTCAGACTGACGATATGGTGGTGGTAACTCTGGAACTAGAGATGGTGGAGAGAATCTTCGCCACATAAATGAAGCATGTTCCAGTAATGCTGCATGTGCGCTTGTAGAAACAGAATACGTTGACCGTCGATCAACGTCACCATTCGGATGCGTTGATGAATCATAGCTCTCGTACGGGAAGCTCGACGGGGGGTCAGAGGTTGCTGTCGCACGTGGCGTTCGATCTGATACTTGTGGTGATATATGTGTTACTGGGATTTCAGTAACTACACTACTCGACGGTCGAGGGGGGAGTGCACGGAAGCTTCGTGAAGGTGAAGGAGTACTGGCTGGAGGGTATACGCTTGAGTAGGATGGCTGCTGATGATGGGCGGGAGTGCTCGACGACTGTGATGGCTGTTGGTTATGGGAAAGCATATTGGTGTGATGTGTCGGAACAGGCTCATAGCTTGTAGGTGGATGCGTTATGTCAAGAATGTCGTCACCATAATCATACCGACCTCCAAGCGACGAAAAAGTGGTGCCAGAACTATCCCGAGGATGAAGCAATTCTATGTCATCAGACATGCTGCTTGGATCACGAGGATAACTGCGAGGGATGGTGGCAACTGAATGGTATAATCCCAATCTGCGACTGTGCTCGACCTTCTTCTGCTTTGTGAGTGTGTTGAAATATCTAGTAGCGATGAGAGCACCATCTAAAATGACGATAGACGCCCATCAGTATTGAGCAGAGGGGCATGGGTTGGACGCACATAATTCAAGAAGCAATACAAACGAAACAACAACGATGAAAACGTATGTCGGGACATTCATGAGGCTCTGACATTTGGGTTCAGATGCATTGTTGGCGAGCATATCAAAGCATTCCCCAACTATCTGTTGTCGGTTGCTCTGGCGGATGGTAACGAGGAAGTAGATGCCGACAATGACATTGAGGAGAAGATGGATATAGACGAAATACGCGTAGATCCCGACAAATCGTTGTTTGCGTGCAACTGCTCCGATGAACCTATGTGAAAGCCACCAGTAAGTGAAAATCAGTCCAAAATATGAGATATGTATGACACGCACCCAATGATGGACACAGCAAGCAATACAGTTTCTACAATACCCACAGACCAAAAGGAATATTTCTCCTTGCTAGTCAGTGAATACGAATCTAACAACATCGTCAGTGTTATATCATGATAATGTGATAGACCTGAGTACACGCACGAGACAGTTCAAACCACACCAAAACAGATAGCACACCCGAAAACAAGAAGGACAGACAAGTCAATAGCACGAATCCCAATCGCACTGGTATGCAGAAACAAAAATATGGGGAATACAACAGGTAATTTTTGAGGCTGAAGGCCATGGCGCTAACGGAGCCTGACAAGATCTGAGAAGGCACATTGTAAGTAAATAGGCGATGGTGTATGGACAAGAATGAAATAAAGCACAGTACTGACCTTGAAGCGTAGTCGTGGCGGGACTTAATTCATTAGCAAACACAACGGATACCGTACGGTCTACGCAGGGCTCGAGGTAGCTGGCAAGAATACATCATGATAATTTGACTTAGCTGTTCGTGATCACTATGGTGACATCCAAGCCAAAAAAACTCACCTAATAGCGCTAGCTTAGTCCTGGGATCTTGATGCGGAAAATCAGGTTAGCGGTGCTGATGGCACATGGTACATGTAGTTTGTAGTTCAGTCATGTGCCTCGCCGACGAGGCATATCCTCTTTTTGGTTACAGTATGGCAGGTTCACTGGTGTTTGGTCTTGCTTTGTCCACTTGCCCTCCTTGTCTATAAACTAAGGTTTTGGATCTACAGTGATTTTATCTCTTTCATTCTTCTTTCAAACAAGTCTCCGAGCTCTATCGAGCGCGGCTGGCACTGAGCTTACCATGAACGGACAAGTTGCAGGAACTTCAATGGACGTGGATGGAGAAGAATATCACCAAAATCAAGTATCCATCCAACGTTCATCGAGCCCTGTCCAACGTGCCTCCTCCGTGCCGCACCGTCTGCCACATTTCACGGTCGGTTATGTCTATTCTCAGGACATGATGCTCCATTCATCGGCAACTGGGGAGCATCCGGAGCAGCCAGAACGAATATCAAGAATTCGAACGGCAATTCGCGACGCGAATTTATTGCAGAAAATGAAACAAATCCCGATTCGACCTGTAAAGCGAGATGAAGCCCTTCTTGTCCATTCTCAAGAACATTGGCACAAGGTCCTTGCAATTCAATGTGAGTGGCGGCCCGTAAATCGTATCCGCACTAGTGTTTCACGCATAAGATATATTGCTTACTTCGAGAATTTACCTGCTTCTTCAGCAATGACACCGTCCGAAATTTTTGAATCAGAAGCTTATTATGAGTCCCTATCTCTGTACGTTACCAGCGGTACTACCCGAGCTGCGCGCTTGAGTTGTGGAGGCGTGATTGAGGCATGTCTCGCTGTGGCTCGTGGCGAGCTGAAGAAGACCTTTGCAATAGTACGACCCCCCGGCCACCATGCTGAGCCTGAGGAGCACATGGGTTTTTGTTTTTTCAACAATGTCGCTGTCGCCTGCAAAAGTTACACAGTTTCTGACACCAGTCAGAAAGATCTTGATACTCGATTGGTAGGTCTTCAAGATCTTTCTTTTATTCGTATTCTCACTCTTTATGAAGGGATGTACATCATGGTATGTCAATTACTGAATGGATTTCATCATACAAATGCTTGTGTAGGTAATGGAACACAGCGTGCTTTCAATGATGACCCCTCTGTCCTGTACATCTCGTTGCATCGCTATGAGCGAGGGCAATTTTACCCATGTGGACCGTTTGGTAGCCTTGAATCGTGTGGTGAAGGGGCTGGTCTTGGCTAGTAAGTTAACACCCCGTCCAGCTTCACAGATATTGATGAATGCAGCTCTGTCAATATACCTTGGCCGAAGAAGGGCATGACAGATGCGGATTATATCCATGCCTTCCAACAAATTGTGATGCCAATAGGAATGGAATTTGCTCCAGATCTAGTGATTAGTGTGTTCTTTTATTTTTCACGTCACCCGTAGGCTAATATTACGAAGTCTCTGCTGGCTTTGACGCTGCTGTTGGGGATGATCTTGGCGAATGTTTTGTTTCTCCGGCGGGATACGCACACATGACACACATGTTATCGGGGCTCGCCGGTGGAAATTTAGTCGTCGCCTTAGAGGTAAGTTTACTGATGACGCTGCTTAATTTGTGACATTCTGAGTTTCCGATTCAAATTTCCACAGGGTGGCTATAACCTTGATTCCATATCTAACTCTTCTCTCGCAGTTGCTCGCGTACTTCTTGGCGAGGCTCCTCCTGAGCTCCCCCCTATGGTTGCATCTGAGGCAGGAACAGAAACGGTTTGGCAGGTCGCTATGGAGCAGAGCAAATACTGGAAGAGCGTGAACCCCAAGGCATGTGAACCACGCGAAGGTTTGTCTCCTCACATCCGAAAATAGTCGAGTGCTCATACAAACTTACTCGCAGAGGTCGATGAAATATCATTCTCAATCCCAGGTAAGCATTTCCTTCCATGCCATGTCGTGTATCTCGTGTTTCATGGATTCCTTGCAGAAATTCTTAAGGGCCACAGACAACACTTTCTATATACGCAATACCAAATGCTCCAGGTTCCATTAATGACCAAGATGTTTGAAGAACGTTTCGGCTCTCAAGTTATGTGCACGTGCGTAGTCTGATTTATTACTACTTTGTTGGACTGAGCAAAATGTAGGAGTGACTTTCTACAAAATCCTACAATTATTGTATTTGTCCATGAATTGTGAACATCTTTCGAGTGGTCTCGTTGTTTTTTGCTGACTTTATTAAAGCGGAAATCTGCGCATAGAACTAGACGGAAAGCCTACGTGCGACGTGCAGATGGAGAACTCTTACCTAGTCAGCTGCCCATCATTAATGGCACATTTATCCAACTCATGCTGTCCCAGATCGACTTTTCGAAGGAACTCATTTCATGGGTTACGAAGGAAAAATATGCTCTGCTTGATGTCAATGTCTTTCCGAGACCGTTTGCCTCGCCTTTGCCGGTACGTATGCTAGTGATCATGTTATAGTATTGACCATATAGCCTATCAGCGCGGCCACAAACACGTAGAGTCATGGTCAAGGGATGTTCTCACTTACCTATGGGATAACTATATACAGTTGGCTATCTCCATGAATTTCCTAACTTTAAAAGCTAAGTTTTCTTCAGGCTTTCGGGAGCGAAGAACATAATCTTCATTGGACATGGCCCCGGTTGTCATGCACTTATGGAGCTTATGGAGAGCCGTCGTACGTATCTTGTACTCTAAGCATACTTGAAGACAGCTCACTCCTGCAATAGCGGTCGGCATGATTCGCTATGTCAATACGGTGATACAGGTTGTGGGAAACATGAACATCCCGTTGATACCCAAGGACGCAGATGAACTCCGAGCATGGTATTCCAAGGTTTGCATCGTGTTTCGTTGCAGCTGCCATATCTCACATGCCACAAAGAACTCGCTCGTAATTGTCCATCCAGAGCACCCAGCATTTGCTCCTGAAGCGAGGATTCTCAAGAGACATGGCAGGGTCCTTCAGATTGGTTCGTGTCTCTTAGAAGCAACCATGCTTAGATCTGATTTGATCAACGTAGAGGAGAGCAAACCCATCAAGCTCATTATGAAAGGGCTCCCTTTGATCCAGGACCACATCAGACAGTCCCTCGTAGGAAAGCCGCGATAAGCACTTCTCATAAGTATCAAAGTCGCGTCACGCTGCGCTTCGTGGTATCATCCTTACCGTGTATTGCTATCTTGCTGCTATCCTATCTCTATCTAGATTAGGTCGACGATGCCTCTGCGAGCTGAGATGATGCCGACGACTTTCGCTTCGGAGTCGAGGACTGTACCGCCACGAGTTACGACCAAATCGCTGAGCGTTCCAGAGGGCTTGACTCCCAACAGCTTCTCAAGATTGACTGACGCAAGTGCGAGAGCTTGTTCCTTTGAGATCCTGTCAAAACTCTCAAGGGCAGCCTAATAGCCATACGATGAGCCAGAGACTTGATGAAAGAGAATCTACACACCCATGCTATGTCGAAGCGTGTGTTGCGAGCACTCCACTGCTCCGCGGTACCAATACCAACAGTAACACCATGAGCTAGGAGGGTGGTAATAGCACTCTCATTGGTCAATGGCGGACCAGGCAATCTGGTAGATAATGAGTTTGTGGACACGGTATAATGTATAATCACTGACATCCTCTTTGACTCCCAGACATCAGGGAAGGGACGGGATGGTGTGAGGATGACACCAACTCCCGCCTCACCAAGTTCCTTGGCAAGAAGGTGGGCCTCAGCAGCACCTGAGATAGTAAGCTGAATATCAGTCCCGGTGCGCGTGCGGATCTCTTTCTTCAGCTCGATAAACGAAGCAATGATATCCGCATTCTGGACTTGCACAACCAGGGGTATGGTGCCCTATGAGATATACATCAAGATACATCACAACACATAGAAAGACAGATAGAAATGCACCTTTGCAACCTCAGCAAGTGTGGTGCTACTCTTATCACCCAGCAGTATATTCCTTAGCGCTGCAATTTGCGTGCTAACACTCGGTCCCCGTTTTGAGTGACCAATTTGCACATGCAGTGCTGCAACATCTTGGATGACAGCCCCGTCCTCAAGTTTGTGAGCTGCGCCAGTGCTAAACGCCGTACTCAGTCCCGCAATGAGGCCACCTGAGCTTGGCGCAGTAACACCTGCAGTGACACCTGCGCGGTAGGCGAGGCTTTATTTAGCGTGGATGTGAGTTAGAGCAGAAATAGCGGCAATTCGAGAGACGGCTTACAGCGTGTCGCGCCCAGTAAACTGGAGACCATCCGAAGCCTTAATGAGCTCGCTTCCCGCAAGGATGCTTGGGATAGAACCGGTGAGAGGGTCGAAAACAGTGCCGTCGTGCGTGGAGCTCTCGCCCTGAATCTCGTCCAAACCAAGTGGGGAACCGTAGGAGATAAGTCCAGGACTACGTAAGTCACGGTGAAAGGGAGAATAGGGTTGAAAGTTGGTGATAACGCACGCGATAGACCCGCCCTCAAGGTCGATCCATTCGACATCTTGCGAGGCGAATTCGCTCGCACAAGCTGCAGCACCCCAGCATTGCACCACACCCTTCCTGAGGGCTACCACACCCCGCTCTCCTATGTCAGCCACACTCATCACACCACCCACTCCATCCGGCACATAAATGCTACTGACATTCGCAAACACCACTAAATCTTTTGCCTTTTTCGGCATCAGGGGTGGGAGTCCTTCATACTTGATAGCCGCGGCAGCCTCGAGATCGAAGTTTGGTGCGCGTGGAACCTGTTGGAAGGACACGGGTTTGGAGGCGACGGCGGGCTCAGAAAGTTGGGGGATGCCGTCAATCCAGACTTGTTGCGGCGTTGTACCTAGTGCAAGAGGGTGACTATCCCAAACGACAAGATCTGTGGTTAGAATTAGTCACGATCCCCGATGAAGATGCCGTGAGTGGACCGACCAGCATCATATCCTGGTATTGGAAATATGTCAGCGTGTACTTAATTGTGCAAAAATAGCAGCAAACCTTCACGCACGAATCCAATCCGATGGTCCTGCCCCATAATACGTGCGGGCGTCGACGTCACAGATGCAAGAGCAAGGTTCGCCGGAAGGCCATACAAGTATGCTTGCTGCGCCTCGTATAACAAGAAGCGAGAGTTGAGGACAGGATGGTCACTCTGTACGATATATCAAATCAGGATGGGAGTCAGAGGAGGGAACACAAATGTGCAGACCTTCATCACGACATCGATCCCATTCTCGGCCAGAATACGCGGAGCGAATTCCGACCCGCGGTAAGCCTCACGCTTGTACCGGGCATTCGTAGCGAACAAGGCTGCCGCAGGGGTCTGGCCTGTAAAACACATCAACACAACGAGACGTCAGCAAAGCGAGATCACTATACCATATGCCTGCTTGAGAGTCCCTGGGACGAGGTATGTCTCATGGGCATGGTGGAATGCAGCGATCGGGAATTGGAATTCGTTGGTAAGCTATGGTTCATACCTCATCAGCACCCATAGCAGCACCACACCCACTTCAACGTTACGCACACGGACAAAGTCATCTAGATCAACTGTCTCATAGCAATGCGTGTGAACCTTATATCAAGGAGAGAGATATCAGAATATTCTCTTACACAACAGGAGACACCGAAACATACCTTGACACGCCCGCGCAATACATCGACAAGCGCTTCCCACTGTAGGTTGTCCGGGAACTCGCCGAGGTCTTCCCATTCACCTGCTAGCGCACGAGTGCAATACGCGTCCTGTTGCTCTTTAATTTGCCGAGCAGTGTCATATCTGTGTGTATGAGTGTTGTCATGGGAAGAAAGCCAAGGAGAGGCTGTAAAACGCACGCCTGTCGAAAAGCCCAAAAAGTATCCATACGCGTGTTACCGTATACACGACCTCAAATTCGTATTTGATAAGGACATGTGAGATAAGGAAGAATAAAAACTTACTGGGATTCTCGCCGCACGCGTGTCTGCGATTGAAATAGATGAGTGCATGTGCTTCAAGAAAAAAAAGGACTCACTTCATCTGTCTCCATCTTGGTGGCAAGGTCGGATCAACATGCGTGCCATTGAGAGTATAGGGTGGTTCCAGGAGCATAGATGAGGGAGAACGTTCTGCAGTGGGACGAAGCTTGATAACGAAGGCCTGGCCACCTGTGGGAGATGTTAATAGCACCGTACAGAGGAATCAAAGTGATCGCACCAATGGCATTAGCAGAGCCAGGGAGAACATTTGCGGTAGTTACGCCACCAGATATGCTGAGCCTGTAGGCGTCGTCGTGGGTATTGAGCCCATCAAGGCTGCGGAGCCAGGGTAAGACAGGACCTGCGAAGAAGATGGATCTTTATGCATTACTGAAACGTGAGACGATGTAATACCCTTCAATGAATTAGTATCGCCTGCGCCACTTAGGTATGGGGCACTGTCGACGCCCAGGTGGGAATGAAGGTCGACTATCCTGGGTATAGGATTAGAGAGGAGTGAAATATGTTTGATCATGTGCGCGCCTACCCAGGTGTGACCCAACTTCCGCCTGCATCCAATGTGACCAAGTCCTTAAACTTGTTGAACATACTTGGGCTTGCATGCCCAACAAATTTGATGATACCCTTGTCGAGTAAAATATCCCCCTGCGTGATCTCATGATCGCCAGTCCAGATGGACGCATTTCTAATCAGAGTCGCGTGGGTTCCTTGGACGAAACGGTCTGACTCGGTGCGTTGGTGAAAATTAGAAGGTGGGCCAGGCTTTGCGTGTAGCATGTAGCATTTCTGCAGTATCTGCTCAGCATGAAGGGGAAGCTGAACGGATTGTTTTCCCAGAAACGCAAGCTGGGACAGAGATAAGAGTAAGCTTGCTACGGATATAAAACATAACGTGAGTGCTATTGATGCCATTCTGTGCTTCAGCCTCCATCTTGCCAGCCGCGGAAGGTCGACTGGTGGGGACTCGGAGTAAGTAGGTAGCTTGTCCATCTCGAACAAGGAGATAAACAAGAGCCACGTAATGACAGACGCTAGTTCTTATATTTATATGCTTGCAGTGGATGATAGCGAAGTAAGATTAGCTCGGAAGTCACTAGGTCAGTCCTTGTGGTCATACGGAATCTCGGATGCACGCGGTTGCGTGTCACGGGTCCTACGACATCCGATCATTATGTAATACTGATTTTCAGTCGTTCGAATGACGAGCGTGTCAGCAGCGGCAGGGGGATCTGCTGCCCAAAAAGCTAAACCTCCCGTAGTACAGCCCGGCACAGGCAACAATATCATCATAAATCCCAACCAGGTCAGTGCCTCTTTCAATTTCTTCGACTCAATTTTGATGTAGACAACCTCAGCGCTTGAATCCTGTCCTTGAATGCATTCGCAATGTTGGCAAAGAATTTGGCGATATTGTCCCCGACTTCCAAGTGGGGCGTACTTCCGGCGTGCTCTTCCTCAGGTGCGCTGTCTCGCGTTGCTTATTAATGTCATTGAATTACACCCTTCACATTGGAATAAAGTCTGAAATATCACCGCTTGCACCCCGAGTACATTCATACTCGCATAGAGAAACTTGGACATGCATATAATCTCAGGATTTTGCTTATCATGTGCGATGTTGTAGGTAACTCTCGAACTTCCACCCAGAGCTCTCTAAATTCCTTCACCTAGAGCGAGCATCAAGAGCTAATCCGGGAGCTTACCAAGGTCTTCCCCCTCCCATGACCGTCAATTCTCAACTTCACAACAATCCATGTAGGTCTGTCTCATCAATAACATCACCATCATCGTCGCATGGAGGTATTCGTTCGTAGATCGCGTGATTAATCAGACGACTGAACGCTTCACTTTTGCAGCATCGAAGAAGCAGGGCAGTACATCTCTACACTCAAGCAATTTGAGCACAAGCCACCAGATCTTATCAAGGAGCGCGTGGATAAGGACTACGATGCCGTCCTCCGCACCGCGCTCACCAGCATCAACAAGGTGAACAAAACCGACGTCGAGACGTTGCGCTCGTCACTTGGGGTGTGTCATCTCTGTACCATTTGGATTTGAAACGTACTTAGCTGGTGGGCCAGAGCTTCGCCGACATAGCTCGCGCCCCATCTGATCGCCTTCAGACCTTACCAGGCTTTGGCCCCGTAAAAGTCC